TGGGTGGACGTCCTAAGAAGCTCACTATGGCTGATGAGAGGGCAATCATCAGCCAAATCAACTCTGGAAAAGCTGAGAATGCTGTTCAGGTCACCAAAAACTTGAGCAAAGTCCTCAGTGACCCTGTCTCCACACAAACTGTGCGCAATGTCCTTAAGAAAAACGATATGAAGGCTGTGGTGAAGAAGAAAAAACCCTTTCTATCGGTCAAACATCGGAAAGCACGTCTTGCTTGGGCTTTGAAGTACAGGAATTGGACAGTGGAGGACTTCAAGAGGGTATTGTGGTCAGATGAAACTAAAATCAACAGATTTGGGTCAGATGGTAGGAAATGGGTGTGGAAACAGAAGGGGGCACCTTTGCAGGATCGGGAGGTTGAAGGAACTGTCAAGCATGGGGGTGGAAATATTATGGTCTGGGGGGTGATGGGATGGAATGGGGTGGGGAGAATGGTTGAGGTTGAGGGGAGGATGGATGCCCAGCAATATGTGGACATTCTAGCTGATGGTCTCCTTCCCACCATTGAGGAGTGTGACATTCCTGCAGAGGATGTGATCTTTCAGCAGGATAATGACCCCAAGCACACCTCAAAATTGGCACAGAAGTGGTTTGAGGATCAAGGGATTGTGGTCATGGACTGGCCTGCCCAGTCTCCTGATATTAATCCCATTGAACACCTCTGGGAGCACATCAAACACCAACTCAACACCTACAGTACACCATCTAGAGGAGTACATGAATTATGGGAGAGGGTTGCAGAGGTATGGGATGGGATTGATGTGGAGGTATGCCAGAACCTTATATCAAGCCTTCCCAGGAGGATTGAGGCTGTTATCAAGGCCAAAGGGGGAAATACCAAGTATTAGATAGTACACTCAAAAAACCCTTTCAATGCATCACTTGATTAGAAGTTCTGTAGAATATTCTAGACTTATCCGATTGACTTGAATCAAGGTTTGTCACTTAGCTGAGAAGGGGCACTACAAACGCTACACTGACCCTGAGCTACCATTTTCAGTAGTTCCCCTGCTATTTAGTGTTTTGTGCAAAAGTGACCAACATAGAAAGGGTTTTTTGAGTCACTGTAGGTGTTGAGTTGGCGTTTGATGTGCTCCCAGAGGTGTTCAATGGGATTAATATCAGGAGACTGGGCAGGCCAGTCCATGACCACAATCCCTTGATCCTCAAACCACTTCTGAGCCAATTTTGAGGTGTGCTTGGGGTCGTTATCCTGCTGAAAGATCACATCCTCTGCAGGAATGTCACACTCCTCAATGGTGGGAAGGAGACCATCAGCTAGAATGTCCACATATTGCTGGGCATCCATCCTCCCCTCAACCTCAACCATTCTCCCCACCCCATTCCATCCCATCACCCCCCAGACCATAATATTTCCACCCCCATGCTTGACAGTTCCTTCAACCTCCCGATCCTGCAAAGGTGCCCCCTTCTGTTTCCACACCCATTTCCTACCATCTGACCCAAATCTGTTGATTTTAGTTTCATCTGACCACAATACCCTCTTGAAGTCCTCCACTGTCCAATTCCTGTACTTCAAAGCCCAAGCAAGACGTGCTTTCCGATGTTTGACCGATAGAAAGGGTTTTTTCTTCTTCACCACAGCCTTCATATCGTTTTTCTTAAGGACATTGCGCACAGTTTGTGTGGAGACAGGGTCACTGAGGACTTTGCTCAAGTTTTTGGTGACCTGAACAGCATTCTCAGCTTTTCCAGAGTTGATTTGGCTGATGATTGCCCTCTCATCAGCCATAGTGAGCTTCTTAGGACGTCCACCCACCAGGTTTTCCTTGTTAGGGATTACCTGGCAAGCTACCCTAGAGACAGTAGCTGCACTACAACCCAACTTGAGAGCAATCTTGGCCTGAGAATGGCTGGTATTAAGAAGGGCAGAGGTGATATCGGTGCGAAGAGAGTTGGGAATGGACTTCATTGTTGTAGGGAAGATGAACAACTGACAGAGCTTATATATAGTGCCGGTTGTGCCTGGATGAGTAATAGATGACATCATATGTGTCATCCTGATGATACTGAGACTTTATGATGAGTAATAGCCAGGAACAAGGCATTCAGGAACCACACTCAAAAAACCCTTTCAATGCATCCCTTGATTAGAAATTCTGTAGAATATTCTAGACTTATCCAATTGACTTGAGTCAAGATTTGTCATTTAGCTGAGAAGGGGCACTACAAACACTACACTGACCCTGAGCTACCATTTTCAGTAGTTCCTCCGTTATTCAGTGTTTTGTGCAAAAGTGACCAACATAGAAAGGGTTTTTTGAGTCACTGTATAATTTGACGTGCATCCTCAATGATCTCGCCATTGGCATTGAATAGAACTAGACGGCCGGATACTTCTGTAACGAAGTCAGATACATGAATGAGCCAGCCACGCCCCTTCTTGCGCAACACATTCTCGCCTTCCCGAAGCCTGCAGACAATTTGTAAGTCTCTTACACTTTTGTCGTTCAATATACTTACCATAATGAGGGTGCATACTCATTAGCGTGAAACGTTGACTCGTCTTGAAACAACGCAATCAGTTCCTTCTCACCAGGTGCAAGAACTGGTGGGACAGCAATTAACTGTCCATTCTCGAGTTTATATTTTGTCATGCGAGCCTCAAATTTAGCCATGGCCGGAAGGAAGACTTTGTCTCGATACTCCTTGACATCGTCACGTTCATGGCCATCCATATAAACACCTTTCCGAACTGTCGTCCGTCGATAACCCAGTTTAACAAGCCATCGTCGAGCTGTTCTCTCACACAGGGGCTTCTTTGTCGTGACATGCAGGGCAGGAAGAATTTCCTCATTCAACGCTTCTTGGAACAGGCGAGGAGTGATGGATCCCACCTTCTGGGACGCAAGCCAATCGTGTGCCGCCGTCTTGACACCCTCATCGAGCAGAATGGTGCGAGCCTTTCTTTCTCCCCCCCTCTTCTCCTCTGGAAGCCGTCCCAACTGCTGATAATGCCTTGCCAGCACACGGAGCTGTCTCGCAAACCAGTGTCCTTCGCCCTCATGCCATGCGCCGGCCACATGTTTGCTTGCCTCCACCCACCCCATGCCCTTCAGTCGGAGATTGCTGAAGCAACGGAGCGCAATCAACTGGTTGATTTTGGACAACGGTAAGTCTTTTCGCTTCAGATCCTTGTTGATGCTCTCTTGCAGTTCCTTCCACCCAGGACAATGGTCATAACATGCTGGACTGCGCCACGTAGTCTCTTCCAGCTCCTCGTCAATGTTCCATTCGCCAGCGGAGCTGGCATCATCAGCGCAGCAGGTGTCAGGAGAGTTGGACGGCTCGGGTGCTGGTTCGTTGGTAGGTTCGTGTTGCTCTTCAACGTTGTCTGAATCACCATCACTGTATGGACCTTGCAGTTCACAATGGATGTCACCTGGTTCGGGGGTGGATGACACTGTTGTTGGCTCGGATACTGGGTCCGGGCGACAGGCATGGTGCACTGTCCGCGTGAAGCCATATACATCGAGGCTTTTTTGTCTCTGTATGTGCTTCCGATACCGCGACCGGGTCCGCTCAGACTTGCTTGCAACATCTGGGCCATTCTTATAATGCTTGGGACGTGCTAGACTCTTAAAGGTGAGTTACTGCGCTCATTGAGTTGAAGCATCACTACTCACGTCTTTTCATCTCCTGCCTCTTCTTCTTAAGACGCCGCATTCGTTCTGGCACCCAATCTTCATCCCTTGGGTTGTCTCCACACTCGACCGCCAATGCAATCAACCGACTGCAAAATTCTTCGTCATCCATATCTTCCTCCCACTCAGAATCAAATCCCTCCTCGTCGGCATCAATCTCGCTCTCGTCAGAACCATTAGATATCACGTCGTCCTGTTCGGAACCATAGTCGCCTTCACTTTCGCTGTCATTCACCCTTTCGGCTTCTATTGGCACATTGTCGGGCTCCGGATCACTGGTAATGGCTGGGGTGAAGGGTTCTTGAGTAGCTGGTTGCGCATCGTTTGATACTGTCTCTCCTCTTTGGCCGCGGAGGCCACTTATGTTCCGATTTACTGCTTTGCGGCGACGTTTACCTGCCATCTTCGACGAAAAGTAATATTTTTTTTTAGCGCCAACCAACGTACCAATTGATGCGCCCTTTCGGCTGTGGTATCCACCAACGAAAAGGAGTTGATTTCTGATTTTTTCGGGATTTTATTGGCCTTTTTTGGGGATCCGCCAAAATTTTCCGAGTTTGATTCTCAAAACCTTGAAAACGGAAAATCCTATCGTACAAATCTATTCATTTGGTCCATAATATGATGTCTTTACACTCTATGGGGGATATGGATGCATTTGGCAGCACATGGAACTGATGACGAAAAGTTGCTGTGTTTGATTGTCCGCGACTGTAGTTTATCTACATGAACTCGCAGGATGCTGTGCCGCCTTGGTAGTCACAAATTCCAATCATGGACACCGATTCCCATCCACGGTGCGCAATTTTCTTCATAATGGCCAATATCCATATCGACGCCATCCCGACAACGACCTGCTTGTCGTCCAGTTCAGCATCTCGGCTCGTCACAACCGTCGTCTGACGGGCGTCTCTTAACAGATGTTTCACCGCACAGAACAACATACTCTCGCCAAAGTCTGCTCGTCGCTTGATGAACAACAAGCAAGCGGTAAGCGAGGTGTTTGGTTTTGGATGCGGCGGCGCCCTGGCTAGCGGAAGCGTTTTGATCTTGTACCTGAGCGAGTGTATTTTCTCGTCGTGGAACGCGTTCTCCACCTCGCCGACGCCGAAGTGTGCTTGGAGAGCACCTTCACAATCGCAGCGATTAACATTATGGCGTGAACTGGCTCAGTATACATTATACAGGAATTATTTTCGAACACAGACACATGTACACCAACTTCGCTGGGTGGCACTTCGCGTTTGTGCCAGGCTTGACGTGTATGTCCTATCCAACGACAAGTAATAGTGGCAATCGTTCATAGCAGGGGCCGCGTCACCAGAACCGGATGCTGATGGGTTCCTTCCCATCCACCAACCGCCGGTGGACGATATTGCTCGTAAAGGAAGACCACTACATTCCGACAGCATATCAGCAATCACATAGATTATAGATTTAACTCCACTCACCCCATTCCCAATGAACACCGCGGCCCGCCTCGCGATATCCATATCGACCGCCATCCCGACGACCGCCTGCTCATCGTTGAGCGCGAGATCGCGGCTTGTCACGACCGTCGACCACCCGTCGTTCTTCAACAGGCGTTTCATCGCGTCGAGCCATTCCCCTTCTTCGTTCGTCAGCAGATACATCACATCCAGCTGGGTGCCATGCGTCTGCGTCGAGTGCCTGGCAAGGTCTTCGCGTGCCCGACGTGCTTTCCACACTATATCCTCAGAGGAGGGTAAACATCGCTCGAGGTACACGGCGGTGTTCTCGGGCGTGTTGGAGCCCCACGACCCGCCTGGAGGAGGGGTAAACTTGTCAGGCAGGAACGGCAGGAGGTTCCAACTGTAAAACGTCGAATTCCACCGCGCCAACTCCAGACACGCGCCCTTGAAGTCGCCGCGCCGTATGTGCATGGCCATCATCCGGTCATACGAATCACCACCCCCGAACAGATGCTCGTTCCTGGCGACGGCAGAATTAACGAGCGGCGAGGTGGCGAGCAAGCGCGACGTCGGCGATTTGGAGAACGAGTCCCACAGCGACAGTATACGTTCGCTGCCCCACAGGTATAGGTCGAACGTCTGGGGGTATGACTCCGCGGGCCAGGGCGCCGCCTCAATCTCGATGCACCGCTCCGGGGCGCTCAGGAGGAGGCGTTGCCAAGTCTCGAAGATGACAATCCCGGAGGCTTCGTTGATAGCGGGCTTGATGTCCTTTGTGTTGATGAGCCGGCGCTCCGACGGCGGGCACACTTTGTCGAAGTACTTCTCGGTGACGGAGCGGGGCATGTGTGATGAGTCGGTGTCCCAGGGCCCGCCTGCTGTTGGACCAGCGATCAGCGCGCTGAGAGGCGTGTGCGGCCAGCGGCGGAAGCGATCGAAGGTCATGAACGGGATGGCCCAGGGATAATATTCGGGTTTCCAGACATAATCTTGGAATACATACGCGCGCTCCGACGCGTATGCAAGGTGTGCATTCATTAGTCTACATGGCCATTAATTGGATCCTCGTTCCGTATAAAACACGACTCACATTTCGTTCAACGCGTTATTCCATCCCAGCCTCGTTACTTGATTTGAGAATTTTATGTATCTCCCCGTTTTGCCCTCAGGATATGGTAGACTCGTATTATGCTGGGGCAGGCTTTCTTGCCATCGCCACTGCTCCTTGAACCTCGGGGGCGACCCTGCTCGTTTGTCTTTCGGAAACAGCTCCCGTCGATAGAAGAAAAGGCCATTTGGTTGAACAAACACCCAGAAGAGGACTATGGCAATGAGGATGGAGAGCAGGAGTCTCCTAGGGCGTCGCAGAGCAGGCGGGGCGAGCTCCTTCGTCGACGTCGGTCGCCAACGAGGCAGCATAGTGAAGAATGCACCTGAAACGGTTCAAGTCCGCAGTTTGCTGCTAGAAGGTCCCTTGTGCCTTCGCCGGTTCTCCGATGGGTGTCATTAGTATTACCTTTGACGCTGGTGCAAACAGCGTACCCCATTTCGCCTGTTGCGACACCTGCAGGTGCCGAAGATGACCATGCTTGGGCTTAGGCTCTTGGCAACGATATACTTCCATGTTCGTAGCCGAAACTTGCTTCGAGGACTACCTTCGCTTGAACTTGCCCCACCGGGCGCAGTGCTTCGATGTTGATAACTAAACATCAAGATCATGGTGCTAGACGACTGCGCAGTAATTAAACGCCTAAGCCTTGCACTCCCACAAGCCCCCTTAGTTGCCAGTGAGTCCAAGCAGGAACGCAACAAAGGGATATAATCCAACGGTCGCCCACAAGTGTCCTCTCCATCGTAGTGCTTAAACGCGAATATCTACCACCAACTGACCCCCTTCCAACAACGGAGCGAACGCTTGCACCTTGGCAACCTCCGATTCACTGCCACAGCTCAACTCGACGTCAAACCGTTGAGGCAGGAAGTCAAGTTCGACACGCTTCAAAGAGCCGCGCTTGTGGAGGGGTTCTGTCATGCGGTATAGGCCTCCATAGTCTCCGAGGGCGGCACGATGCAATCCTTTATCCAAGCCACGGCTAGATGGTGTGGAGTTCCCAGATTCCTTGAGATCGTTAGATAAGACGGACGCATTGTGTCGAAGCGGGGTACACTAGATTTCCGCCTCACTGAAAAGAAGAGGGGTGAATATCCGAAACGTTGAGTGAGCTACAATCACCATACCTTCCAGCACGAGCTCCGACAAAGAAGAGGGGATCCATGGGGGGACCGCTCAAGGGTTGTCGTTAGGACACCAAATCTTCAGTGATTCGATGTTCGGACATTCAATGTACCTGCTTCGGTGCTTCGGTGGAGCTGGGGCGATTCTTCGAAGGGGGAGAGCTTGCGGAGGGCTTCCAAACAAACGGTCGATCGATGTCTTGGCACAGATGCCAATCCGGTGTTCCTCAAGCGAAAGCTCCTTGAGCATGGGACAAGGATAGAAAGCAATTCCGAGTCATCTTCAACAGGGTCATGGCATTCGAGGTCAAAACGTTTGATACGGTCGATAGCAAGCAGGGGCACGATCCCTAGAGTTTGCAGTGCAGGGAGCGGAGCAGCATAACATTCGACGTGCAAATAGCGGAGGTTCTTCAATCGCTCAAAATAGTCTGGAAGCCACTCCGCAGCCGATGTAACATCGTCTTCGTCGAAAAGGAGATGAAGGTTGAGAATGCATTGGCAAGAAGGGGAGCAGTAAAATGGAGGAAGGGCCTGAGCTGAGAGGTGACCGACTCGCAGCCAGTCAGAGAGATAGTCCAAAAGATGTGATGTGCGGTCGACATATACGGTTCCACGTTCGACATACAAGGGAATAAGGTGCCAAAGTGTGTAGCCATTCCGCTTCACGAGGGCTTCAACGATATGGTGAATCGGCTCAAAGGGGAGTAGGCGTGCACCGATTCCTGATGAGTTGTTGTCGAGTTCGAGCTACTGCCTTGAGCTGCCAGGGTAGGTACTATTAGACATGAGGTTTGATAGTCTAGAAATTCCTAGATTCAGAAAAGGCGAGTAAGTATTTCAATCGCCACAGCAGAACACGAGTCGCCACCGTACGCAGTGCAGGTTTGTGGCAGGCGACAACTGGTGGACTTGGGCAGGGACGCTCATCCACGGATTCCCAGGCTGGCGCCCAGTGCATTACCTAACACAACGGATACCAAAACGACCGCCGAATCTGACGCGGACCGCCAAACCCACGGAGCGCAATGGCCCACAGTCTCTCTGAGGAATGCACGCCTCTAAAGCACAAATACGACTCGTGCTTCAACGCCTGGTTCGAAGGCTACCTCGAGCCCGCCATGAACGTCTCTGCCGACGCCCAGCAGCGCGAAACCTACTCGAAGCAGAAGGCTGCGGAGTACGAGGAGAAGTGCGGCAAAATATGGGAGAGCTATAGGCTCTGCGTGCAGGTGCGCCGTTTCCGGGGCTCTCGTGGGGGTTTGCTGCTGACAGACGCGTGTAGAAAGCCGTGAAGGACAAGGGACTGGACACGCTCTTGCAGCAGGCCAGAGAGGAAAATCCGCTGACAGAACCACCGCCAGTGGACAAGAGCTCGTCGCCATCGCCGAACTCGTAGCGTGTAGTAAAGTAATCTGCAAGTTCCCTGTATACAACCTTTCCTCTACCCAAGTCATATTTGCAGTGCGCGGCACAATTAGCGCCGAGATCTCGCAGTTGCTTCAGAACCACCATCATGAACTCACCTCCAGAACCAGCCTCGCCCTCGACTTCCACCCCGTCCTCAGGCTCGCCGCCGCCCGAAGAGATAAATTTCCAAGTGCCTGAGTCCCAATCGTCTGGCTCGTTTGCCGCTGGCGTCGGTCAGCTGCTGAGCAACTTCGTAGGGGGATCGAGCAACCCTGGGCCAGCTGGTGCTTCATCAAAGAGGCGTCTCCCTGCGGGTGGATCGTTTGGAAACGCCTCGTCGAGAGATCCCAAATCTCGTAGGCGAGACGATCCCAGAAAATATGGCAGCGGTGGAGGCCCTAACTGGGCAGAAGGACCCAAACGAGAGAAAGAAGATTTGGTCGATCAACATGTAGTTGACCTCCTTCGCAATCGTACGTGGCCACACAATAAATAGTGTAGATCTGTGTTGCTAATAACAAATGAACTAGAACTTGGAGATCCTTTCCTCGAGTGAAATCGGTATTATTTTGATTGTGTAGTGTTCAACTTCTAAGAGCTGCACCTAAGGTAAATTGAGTCCACATACTGTAATAATATGGCATATCGATGATAAGAAGTGAAGTGTAGTGCTTGGGGGGTTAATGCTTTGCTTGTGATACAGTGGCGACAAACCAATACAACAGAGATTTCAATAGATAACAAATCATGACTTTCAGAAAGCACGAACGAAGATAAAATAGATGTAATCAAGAACGAATTAAAATCAGCCAGTCGTTCACCTTACTCTGTCTTCTTCGGCGACGGAGGTTTGCGCTTGAAGGGCCCGCGTCGTATGGAGAATACATGCGACAGCGTCTCTCTTCTTGTGGGGTGTCTCTGTCCACCACGCGCGCTAGCCAATTGTCGGCTACTCGTTCTTCTCTCCGACAAATTACTCTGCATCCTTCTCATCGCGACTCCATTCTCTTCAGTTGCGAAGTCGAAGCCCCTGTGTACGGAGGTAATGCCAGTCGCCATGTCTGTTCTGCTTGCGCTGCGAGCATCCATAGACGGTCGAATAAGTTCCATCGGTATTGACATGACGCTTTCTGTTCTTGATGTTCGTCTTGACACAACGGATGCTGGACGCTTCATATGATGGAGGCCTGACGGCATACGACCTTGGGTAGCGAGATCGATGTGGGGATGATGCTTGCGGATATAACGCAGTATGTCGATGTCGTTCGGAGCGTAGCCAAACATGTAGGCCTTGTAGAGATATCGGGGAAGAAGGGAAAGGAAGATCGTAAGGGGGAGGCACAACCAAAAGTAGGCAGACGGGAAAAGGAATTCGTCGTTGCCGAAAACTGGGGTTGAAAACCATCCAGGAGAAATGAGAGAATAGATTGCCTAGTAACATGTGAGCAGGATATGCTGACAAGTGGGAGGGCGACCTACTGTGTAAGCCCAAAGAAGAACGACACCAAGGAGAACGGCGAAAAAGACCCAGCCCGTCCAGACATTTGTGTTCAAGCCGTTGAAACAGTTGGCAGTAAACACCGCGGCGAAGACCATCGTCTGCAAAGAAGATTAGTTTGGAGTTTGTTCATCATAACATTTCCACATACGGTAGAAAATTCGTAAAGATAGCTGTCATACCCATCTGTTCTAGAGGTTGGGGACATGTAGGCGTAAAGGATTAAGAAGAATATGATCGCAGACTGTCAATGCACGAGTAAGTGTCGAATACCAAGGAAATGAATGAGTGAATTATATACCTGGTAGATACCGTCCAGCATGAAGATGCAAAAGGATTTGAAGCTGAACCATGTTCCCTCTCGCCCGAAACGATACAACTCAGGGAAAGCCATCAACTCTCGATCATCAGCCAACCTGTCGAATAGACCAATAGCGATGACTGGTGCGATGGTCCAGAATGAATTCCAAAACAAGAGGTATGTATATTCCATGACACTGGTTGAGTCGCTCGTTAATCGTTGCTGAATGAGGGAAGAAATAGAGGCTTACTAATTCGAACTCCAGGAATCGTAAATTTGGAACCACCAGAGTACCCCTATGCATACAATATTCTTGTAGAAGAAATTGAGGATCCTACCGGCACGCATGAGCCTACTGTTTCAGAAGGCGGAAGGATTGGACCTACATGTTTCCGTTGCGAGCGTAAGACCAATGACCATGGACAAGTAACAACCTCTTCAAGAAACGGAATTGGCCAATCGCGTAATCGGAAGAGTTGACGGCTTGAAGACCCTCTTCACCAGAGATACCAACCCCAACGTCAGCAGCCTTCGCTTGAGGGTTAGCATCGTGAATACCAATCAACTAGATAACGTTGACTCACCTGAATCATGCTAACATCGTTAGCGCCATCGCCTATCGCCAGAGTCATGGCACCTATGCCATCCTTGACCAACTTGACGACCAAGGCCTTCTGTAGTGGCGAAACACGACAGCATATAACACCTTCGCATTGGATTCCAAGGCGTAGGAGCAATCTTTTGTGAATTTCATCCGAGAAGGCCTAGAAGGAGTATTATTGAGAGCACGAGATACCGATAGATCTGACGTACCTCGGTCAAGGCAGGACCATCGATGACAAGGACGAAACCACCAGGCCGTTCACCATTGTCATGCCCTACGATGGAAGATACACCAGTGTTGATTCGAGCGAGAGGGTGATGTTGTTGAGGGCGTTCGCTCGCGGAAGACGTCGACGTTCGCGGAGGAACGTCTGTAATCACACCTTCGTCGTCCAAAAGGCCGCTCTCCGGGAAAAACTGTTCAACAGCACCAACCATTTGTTCCATAACGGGGCGATGACCACCTCGAATGACGATAATGTTAGAGTCCTTGCCAATCAAGTTCGTGCTATGTCCAATGGCTACCACAACGTGAGTCTAGGCGAGCGAATAGGCAATATGTTAACTCACCGATAGCGGTCTCGAGCTTGTCTCCAGTAGCAACCCAGATCTTGATACCAGCTCTCTTGAGGTCAGCGATGGCTTCAGGGACGCCATCCTGAAGACGATCTTCAATGGCCGTGGCACCCAGCAGGCGGAGATCCTGTTCAAGTTCGTCCGATATACGTTCAATCTTCTCCTCTCGGTCCTCAAGGGACACGGATGCTTCGTGATATCGCTCTGCCCAAGCTTCGTATTCGTCCTCTGCAAACGATCGAGTCAGACATAACGGACAAAAGGTAGGGGATGCATACCGTTGACAACTTTATACGCAAGGGTGAGCGTACGCAAACCTTCGCCAGCAAACTCGTCTAGGTGTCGCTCTGTTTCTGCTTTGAGCTCATCCGATCCTGCCTTTAGCCGTTCGAAGATAACGTTGTCGGCACCCTTGCTCAATAAGAAGATGCGGCCGTCTTCGTCGTCCAGTTTGCGCAGTACGACACTCATACGCTTGCGATAACTCGTGAACTCCAAGATGTTGAGGAGTTCGTAACGGTCTAGTTCGTCCGAAAATGGAGTTTGGAGGCTGAGGATTTCCTTGTCGCGGCCTCGGAAGATATATCCAACATCAGCAGCTGCCTGTACAAGTGCTGCCTCGTCCGGAGATTGTGCCTTGTACTCTATGGCTCCTGTTTCTGGGTCGACCGTAGTAAGCACAGAGTGGCACAAAGCTAGAACATTGAAAAAGCCATTGAGGGCGCGAGCGTGTAACGAGTTCTCCGATCCTGGGGCAGCATGCAAGGATTCTTCCAAGTCCTGTGAGAGGGTCGCATCGCTGAAGTGTAACAATACCCCTTCTGCCAATTTGACACCTGGCGCAGACTGGGGATTAGGTGTGGCAAGTTCTTGCGCAGAAGCAGATGATGTTGATTCTTGGGCAGCTGAGAGACGGATGTCAGTCTTGCTGCGGACTTTCGGAATATCCTTTTCCAGAACGATATCGTCTTCCTCATCTTCCTCTGTTAGGCGAGGATCACCCCTGTACGCTTTGCCTCCAATCGAACACATTCGGAAAACCATGGAATTCTAAAGACGAGATATTAGGTCAAACGTGAGAGCTGAGTGATATTTCACGAACCTGAGTCAACGTTCCCGTCTTGTCAGAGAAGATGTACTGAATTTGCCCAAGGTCGTCTGCTAGATTCCAACTACGAGCCAAAGTCGCTTGGTCTGTCTTTTCATACCATATTTGTTTGTCGAAATAGATAAACGCGGCTTGAATAGTTCGGACGAACTCGATGGATATATACAACGAGATGGGAATGATGTTTTGAAAACTGCGGAAGACCAGTTAGTTGCATATCCCGTAATTCACAGCTCGACACGTACGTAATCAAAGCAAAGGCCCAAGTAACCAGGCCGTTGATTGAGGGGTTGTCATCAGGTCTATCAGCACCATACATCCACGGCGCATCACGTCGATAGTAATAATGTTCCAAGATCGAATCGACGATAGCACAGGCTATGGCCATCAAAGCCAGTAGGAGCAGATTGAGGAAACTGTATCAAGGAAGCATAAGTGTGAGCCCCAACCGGGTATGAGAGTACCTACACTTGGGGGTTCATTTGCCGTTCAACCTTACTCCGTTTACTGGGAGTTCCACCAGAATTAAGGACGATCTTGCTGTCGAGCCCGGTGAATAGAACAATGCCGATAACCCACCCGGTATTACGAAGGACAGTACCGCGCAGAAGGACGTTCTGCATGTCGACTGCATATACATCATCTTGCAGTTTAACCGCGGCGTTCATCCTGTACATGTTCACTTCGGGCCTGTCGCAGTCGATCCTGAAGGAGTTCAACTTGTTGGCACACTCCGCGGCCGTGCGCAGGTGAGTGAGAGCCGATATCGCGTTGCGGGATTTTAGATTCGTCTCGCCGTCCAAATTCTTCGTCTCTACGAAGGCAACATTCTCGTCTTCGGACGTGCTACATATCAGAACGTCGGCCGGGATAGGTTCATTGTTCATGATTTTGACGTAATCTCCGACCCTAACGTCCTCCCACATCGTCTTCTTCCAGTGCGGTTGTTTCGGTTCTTCTTCTCCCAGTATGCCCAGATGCAAATGATGGTGATGGTCGCCATTAGATGGGTGATGTGGTTCATCAAACTCGACATCATGGAGAGGCTCGGGCTGTGCGGGGGCGGGGGGGTCCAATAGCACCTTGTTTTTGCCGCCCAAGAGAGTCACAGATCGGGGGATCCTGAAACCACCATTCGGGACCATACCGCGAACAAAGGTTTTGGACTTGGCGGACATAGTGTTCTGGTTGACCCACTCGCCGCCGCGTAGAGCGCGCACCTTTGACTGGTTAACCCGCTTATCAGACTGATGGCGCTTGACGTCCTCATAGCCATCCTTCAAGGCGGTGATAGCAATAACGATAAGCAGTGGCAGAATGACAAGACCAGGGGAAATTGTGGAGAATTTGTTGAAGAACTGTAGAATAGCGATCGCAAGGAAGAAGCTACAAACCAGGCGACGTCAGGCGGTAGTCTAAAGACTAATGAAATGCACGTACACGTTGGCCACTCTCCTAAATTGCTCCAGCAGGTTTCTGGGAAGAAATGTGATGATCGTGTACTTGGAAGTAATGACTTGGTTCGTAACGTAGATGTGTTCTGGCTTGACACGGCCTTTGTGGTCGTAATAGTCGCTGGGGAGGTGCTCGTTGACGAAGACGATCCTTGGCGGACCTGGGGGCCGCTTCCGAACGAAGAGGGTCTCCACGTTGAAGGCAGCCAGCCTAGCGTACCACGCTCCTAGCCTTGATTTGCCTGCGGCCATTAGTGCAGTAGTGCGGAAACAAACGGGCGAGCTCGATGTTGGCGACGACGAGCTGGGGTCCAAAGCTTGTGGGAGAGAGAAGCAGAGGAATCAAGCGGACATGGTAATGGCGTCTGGCAAGGAGTGATCAACGGCTGATTTCTCAGTCACAGTTGTTTTCCACTGAGCCGCACATGCTGACTCAACAGTATGACCATTACTTAATGACGTCTCGACGCCGCCAGTGGCCCGTTTTCCACGGTCATTCAAAACACATAATATTGCTCACTAATACGGAAACAAAAACGAGGGACAAATATCAAGAAAAAAGCATCTCATCCAGAAACCAGCGAGCGTTCGGGCGCTGCAGTACGCAGGCAAGGGTATAGTTTTCGCAACAAGAAACGTAAAAGAGTCCATCCGAGCAAACTGCGGGACTGCCACCTAGCGGTCGCCAGCCGGGCGCTGGTTTACACCTTCCTTCAGGGCCAACAGTTGCTTTGACCGGAAAGCTTCGTAGTGGATTTGGGCGGTGGTTTCAATGAGATCTTGCAAGTGCGACCTACGCGCACAAAGAATTGTCAATATAACTCAGGGTTGGCAAGAGGTTGACACAAACCTGGTGAGGAAGTTTCGCAGGTGCACAAACTCGCAGTGCGTAGCATCCTCGACGTTTACTACGCCCCAGCGGTTCTTGCGACCCCGGACAGCCTTTCCATCAATGATTACGTTACTCTCAGAACCGACCACAGCGAAGGGAATGATTTCCTTTGGCACCAATGAGGGCACGTTAACACGCCACAAATGTTTCACTTACACGAATGGACTCGTTGAGTTGCACTTCTTCCTCATCAGTGTCCTCGGTGTCGAATGGGTATAGGCGAATGCTGTGGTGTACCATCTCCTCGCGAATCTACATGATATACATCAACTTCCCTGAACAACCGGTCGCACAGGAGATCTATACCAACCATAGCTTTGAAACGATCACGCTCCTCGATAGTCAAGCTATCCGCCTTGGCAATGACCGGGACGACATTGACGACCTCGCTTAGCTTCTTCATCACGATGACATCAATGGGTCGTAGGGAGTGGCCGGTGGGGTTGATGAAATACAGACAGCAGTGAATACGAGTGTCCTGGATGTAACGGTCACGCATAGCTGTGAGCTCTTTCCGGAGGTAAGCACTGTGCTGGTCCTTGATATATTTGATAATAGGATCCCAGCTGCATGAGCCAAAGCGTACGGTAAGTTTGCGTTCAACAAGGCCATGAATAAAAGGAATCTGCGCACCAGCCCTCGTTGTTGATCTGGTCCCCGTAGCCAGGTGTGTCAACGATGTTCAGGCGCAACTTGACACCGTTTTCGGCAATAACTAGTTATGGTTCGTTTCACTTTTGCTGCGGCATACGAGCACACAGGCACTCACCGTGAGATACGGCCTGAATCTCCGTTGTCTGCCTCACTGGCTCGTCTGCTGCAAACCGTCCCTTGGAGTCCATCAAATGCGACGCGAAAATGGTGTTTATGAGCGTAGACTTTCCAAGACCAGTCTGGCCTGTATAGCAGTCATCGTCAGACTTATACGCGACAAAGGGCCTCGTTTTGGGCCAGAAAAAAGACACGTACCAACGACAATGATGTTGAACTGGAAACCTCGCTTCAGCAGCTTGTGCTCAATTTGCTGCGTGATGGTGTCGAAACCGACATAAGAGTCGGCGCGAATTTCCTCGACGGGAGGGAGAGCTACAGCTGCGGCGGCCATTTTGAAGACTGGTGGTTGGGATGGGGAAGAAAGCGAGCAACGTTGGAGGAAGGCTGAAGAAGTTGGGGCGACTTTAGACTCGCGAACCAAATTTGATGCTTATTCTCACGGTCAATATTAGTGTCTACACTTTCGAGATCAATTCGAGACAGGACCTCTTCACTTCACTTCACTCATTTCCAGGCGTCGACTCAGGGCCCTAAGCACATTCACCGCGAGAATAAACTCCTGCGAGATTTGTGCGCATCTGCGAAACATGGAATCCACGAGGCTGCTCGGCCTCCGTATCTTCCTTCTGCATGCACATGGTACTTCCCAAGTTAAACCAGGAGAAAGTTCAATTCAAAAGCTAGAGATACGCCACAACAACAACGTACGTATCTCCCAGAACTACGGTTTCTGGTGCCTACTGAAGTGTCCTTCTTCAAAGTTCACAGCACTCAGAGTATTCATTTTTGCGAGCTACACACGGAAACTAAGCTCATAGCCTATGGGGCACACTCCCCGTCGTTTGGGTGCTCTTCTGGCTTCCTGATCTTCTTTTCCTGCCATTTCGAATGACATAGTGCGTCAGCTGTGCTGTAGATTCGATCAGAGCCACTCGGGGTTTGCTGAAGGGCGGTGACTGACGGCGGCGCACATCTTTGCTGTTACTATTTGGTATGGACTTGCCTCGTGCCGACGTGTTCTGGATGGCCGAGCGATCAAGAAGGTTGCACAACATGTGTCCCTCGCATCCAGAATCGCCTCAGGCCCTGCTATGACGAATTGAGTTTCTCACTCAAGGCTGTATGTTATTTCTCGCCAAGCTACGCGGTCGAGGGAATTGTCCATAGGCACCAGGTGCCTATAACATCGACGACATAGTGGCGGCGGTGGTGGTGTTGATCTGGCAATCGACAGTGCGCCGATGCACGCCTAAACAAGAAACTGCTGTTATTAAGTATGTATGAAGCTTGGGACAAAGGCGAAGGTTTTGATTTACACGCTGATTCCTTCGTCATACCTCTGTGACAAAGGGACACGCACACTGTTCGCCAAGTATGTTCAAATGTTCACGCAGCGGTGCTTTCCGCGAATAATTAACTCGTATCCTAGGACTTAGAATATGGAAACGAGCGTACCGTCGGCGCCGCCGGCGGATCCACACAGTACTGGTGCGCGTACGCGAACCATGGAGCCCACGAGGCTGTTAGTTTCCTCTCTGCCTCCGTCGGTATGTATGCACCTTCTACACATGTCTTTCCCCAAGTTAAATCAAGGTATACCAATGAAAAATTGATGGAAATGCACCACAGCAACAACGTACGCGCGGCTTCTCGTATGGAGAAACCTGCTTCGACGCTCGCAGGGGTTGTTTGATCTTGTCCGACGTCTTCGTGAATACAAGGCGTTCAAGAGCCAAACTCAACAAACTGGTCTTGTGGGAGACGTGTTCCTCGTCCTTGGCAAAGGTTTGGATGCCACGAAGCGTGCTGTTCTCTACGTTTCGGTGCGGAGGATTGTGTGGGTAACGGCCTCCCTAGAAGCTATCTAAGTTGACCGTCGCTTTCCCTCGCTGGTTTGGATCTCATCGATAATCGCCCGAGTGGTTTGCATCGTCTCCTTTCGCCGCTAATAACTGCTGTGATGAAATAGGTTCCATAGAGCAGAGACCATACCTGTGGGTGGTACGTACTTTGTTATTGTGGCGTATTTCTACATGTATAACTTTTGAAATCGAACATTCTGATTTAACTTGGAAGTACACATGCACAGAAGCAACGAACGACAGCCTCGTGGGCACTGGGCTCCATGTCTTTCGTAAACGCCGAAGTATGACATAGGTAATTCTTGTGGTAATTCCAATTGTCCGTTGCAGTGCCTGAACGACGGCGGGAAGGGGTGAGTGAAGTAGTCGCGTGTACTCTCCAGAAGAAGTCCACGCCGCCGTTCCCTGGTTTGGACCTAATCGTTCAAGCGGTGATATTAACTCTGTTTGTTCTAAGACTGAGTGCATGCGTCCTTCCGCTGAGAATATGATAGGTACTAATCGTTGTCTCCATGGGGTCATAGCCAGACTCCAAACGTTCCCGTAGTCCAGTGTATCGTGGATCCGCGGGTAGTACTGAAGGTTTCCCATGCAGCCACGACGCGTCAATAATATAATTCGGACGCGACGTGAATTCACATCACGTGCCCCAATTCCGTTGGCCAGCAGTTTCAGCCGTCTACGTTTTGATTCTGCATAGTACTACATGGATTACAACATTTAGAGCACCTTCTTTGAGTTGTACGATTAGTCTACCGTTCCCAGTCCATCGCAATGCTTGGTCGGCAGAACTAGAGCTCGGTTCCCAACCTGTCGAGAAAAACAGCAAGTGCCGTTCAGTGGGTATATTCATAAAGATTACTTAGATGGAGGCGTGGAGAAAAAGGGAATGGAGAAAGCAGCTACAAGAACCAGTGTGGCGATAATAGCAGCTGGGACATAGGAGGGGCGTGGCTTCGACGCAAGCGCCGATTTCTTGGGCTGGGAAGAAAGAGTGTAGGGAAATATCTGGACATACCCGATTGACTTGAAACCATGGATACTGGAAACAGATATTAGCCACTACTACCGTGAAAGTCAGGCGGAGAACGCACTAGTATCCTTCTAGATTCCTAGTTATCTCCTCCTCTGATCCAGTGGGGACGCCAGCAAGCGAGAGTGTAATCTTCGTAGAATCGCTCCCTTGCTCCAACGTTGTCGTCAATGTCGCGCTGTGACCTGTTGAAAGTGATGAACCCTGATACTTGCGACCAACGGACTTGACAATAGTCGCGACGAACCTGATGGCCATGTCGGACTTTTGAGGGACCACGACTGCACAATCTCTTTTCCGGGTGCGAGTGAGATGTACTTTCCACTTACACCTCCGCCGAACAGCGAGTATTCTCCACCTACTGTTGGCGACGACTACAGCCTCCGCGTCAGCAACACAAATCGTCCCAAAATGGGAGCTCATACCTGGGCCGCGGCGTGTGTCCAAGCTGGCAACCTTCCTGGCTCCGTTAAAAGACTGTACAGATCGTCGGCAGACGCGACGAGGTTCGCGTTGACGCTAACAGTAGCGGTGTTCACGTTCTCCTTCTTCGCGGGCTTGGGAGTGGGTGCAGGCGGCGCATTAGCTGACGTCGCCGCAGGCGTTGCTGAACCCGAAGGCGCTGGTGTCCCTGTGCGACTAGGATCTGCACTGACGGTCAAGTCCTTGCCATGTGTGTTGATGAGGACCTCAGGGAACTCAGCAAACTTCGCTTCCAACGCCGCAGGCAACCGCTTCTTAATGACTTCATACAGGGCCAGGACGGCTGGAGAGGCAGAAGTGACCAGAGACCAGTCGTACTGTACAATGTGTTAACACCGTTGCTTTCCCCCAAATTTCTCTGAGCGTACTCACCACATAGTCGGTTGAGCGGTCGAGCGTATTCTCATGAGAAACTTCAGGAATAGTCAGCTTGCCCTCGACGTCGGTGCCATCGCTGGCCTGGCCCGACCAATCTAAGGTGATCTTGCAATCATAAATCGTGATCAGCCTGGTCGGTCACATCAATTTCGTGAATACGCAGGTTCTGCAGGACGACGCACTTGGACTTTCTCTGCCCGAGCTCGACGTCGCCATCGACCTCCGTGACGCGCGAGACGCGGGCGACCTCGCCGTCGGAGTCCCCTTTGACAGAGATCGTCACCAGCTCCTGCTCAAACCACTCTCGTGCCCATCGCGTAACGTTTTTGTTTTTCCAGTGCCAGTTCGCAGTCGACGGTGGAAGAGCCATTTCGTGTTGCTGATGACGGTCAAAGGGGAGAAATTATTTATTTGGTCAAGCACGCTTCGCGAGAATGTTCCAGGGCCTTCGCCGTTTCTCTACCGGATCAGGGCATCGATTCGCCTCTTCGCCGCAGACGACGACCTGCATGCTCAATGTCGCCCTTGTAGTCCATTATCATTACGAGTGTGCGCGAGCAAATCCCGAGATGAAATTATCTGGTGACAGGCATCCTCGAACTCGTTCAAGCTCGACTCCAGCAAAACCATCACGGATCACCTCATGCTCGCCTCATGCTTCTCTCATATCTGGTTCTCCTGGATGCTGCGTTCGCAACTGTGCTTGACAGCTACTATTCGGTGTAGAACCATCGGAACTTTTTGCTGAAGACGTCCGCGTAATCTTGGAACCCCCCGAGCACGGTACAACGTTGAAAGGGGAAGTTGTCTCAGCCGAGAATCAAAAATGCGACGGAAGGGGGTCCTTGTGGAAGCTAATACAAATGGTGCGAGACTTCATATTTCCGGACGTTAGCAGACGATCTGTCTTCTACAGGTGTTCGCTGCGGGGTATCGTTCAGGCCCTGGAAACAACCGTTCGATATTCCACTTGCTCGATAAGAGGTCTACTGCTAACACTTAATATTATTGAACTACGTGCCTTGTTTTTGCTTCCCACCGGCCGGAGTAAATAAGGTCGCGCCGAAAGAGAACACTGGATTCTACAAAGTTTTTTGGAAGGGATTTCTCAGCTATACTATCTGGAGGCCTTCAGCTCGCTCGACGCGATCTATCGGTGTGGGTCTTGCGACTAGAAGCTGTATCCTCTTCGCATGAGCGCGCCTTTAGCTTTGGACGGAAGAAATTGCCTTTACTCTCGCACGGAAGCAGATACCAACGAGCCCTGTACCCTTCTGAAATCCCTATCCATCCCAGCCATCCCAGTTCCTCCCATTGGCTGGGCGCCCCGCTGTCCTCATCGGCTGTCCGTGGAATGCTGTGTTTCCCCCTTGGCCTATGCCCAATAAAACACAAAAGAGCCTGCTACCACGGCCCGCATTATCTTTTTGTTCTGCTTAAATTGAAATATATATGGGCGATTCATGTCGCCCAAAGGTGGCGCGCGATATATTGGGTCATGACTCGTGATTTGTCGTGTGCAATGGGGTCTTTAACTGCCTTGACGTTCTGGCCCTGCTCTACAGGCATAATCCTTGTCACCAGCAGGAATATATTTCGGGCATAGTCGCTGTACGTGATTCCATCCTTTGTTGTTCTCAATATTCCGGCATTCAAAGTTCATATTCAAACAGGATGGAGGTGTACAAGTGAACATCATGTGGCGGGAGTTATCGTTGAATATGATCCTGCACGTACAGTGACCCTGTCGCCCCTCTCATGGAACCTTTTCTCCCGGTAAGACAATGCCGTCGGTCCACAGTGATGATGCAGCTATAGCTTGGGGCTGACCTTTCTTATACTCTAGATCATGATCGCGATAAATCAAGCACCCACAGAGATTAGCTCGGAACTAGATTTTGCTCCCAGCTCGCCGGCGAAACCCCAAGCCAAGTGCCTAACCTGAAATCGCGAGGTAAATTGTCAATACGCCATTTCCCGAAATTATCCTGCGCAATTGTTGCATTTGTTGGGAAGTGATTTCGCGTAAGTAACTTGCTCCACTGCTTTCTTTAGGGAAATCGATCGTCGGCGTAGGTCTGCGTCTTTTCACTTGTTCCGTCTTACGAAATGGTCTGCAGGACATGAGGTGAACCAATGACAGCCGTGTTGCCCTTTCGATTGTTACCCCATTCCTCCTGACCGAAAGGAATGAGAGAACAGGACATTTTCTCGTGGCACCTACATTGTCTTCGCACCGACCTACCGGGGATACCAATATGTTTTCTGCCTTACCCCTACCCCTTGCTTCACCAAAGATCGCTGTATTCCCACTATAAAATGACCGGGCTAACGGACTCATATTCCTATCACACCCCCTTGGATCCAACTGCTTTATAACGGAGCGTACAGCTTAGGGTTCTTTCGGCCCAGCTTTCATCACTTTCTCCCTGTCCATCACATTGCCCTTTGATTGCTCGACTCTTCCATCGCTCTGCCATGGCCCCAGTCGCTTCCTTCATCCAAGAGCCTTCACGAGGACCTTCCTCCTTCATACTCCCGGATCTTGTCTCCCACTGCAAGTTCCCCCTTACCTACCACCCTCAGGGGGATGCTATTGCCCTCGAGTCCGTTACATGGCTCGACAGACTATGCCCAGACCTCTCTCCCAAGGCCAGGAAGGCCCTCTGGGGCCTCCAAGCTGGAGAACTCACCGCATACTGCTACCCCAGCTGCTCGCCCGACCGCCTCCGAGTTGTCAGCGACTTCATGAACTACCTCTTCCACCTCGACAACATCAGTGATGGCATGATGACTCGCGAAACCGACGTCCTCGCTGATTCTGTCATGAACGCCTTGTGGCATCCCGAAGAGTACAGACCCACTCGTTCCCCTGGGAAGGAGCAGCCTGCTGAAGAGCTCGACGCTGGGAAGATTGCTAGAGAGTAAGTCTATCTGCAGCCTCTCAACTTCGCTGCATCTTATCATCTGTTTAAGCTACTGGTCCCGTTGCATCCCAGGCGCAGGTCTGGGCGTGCAAGCTCGCTTCAAAGAGAGCCTCCAGCTTTTCTTTGAGGCCGTCAATGTGCAAGCTCGTGCGCGTGACGCAGGGGAAGTTCCAGATCTCGAGTCGTACATTGATGTTCGCCGCGACACGAGTGGTTGCAAGCCCGTTTTCGACCTCATTGAATACGCGATGGACTTTGAGCTGCCAGAAGAAGTTGTCAATCATCCTGTCATCAAGGCCCTTAATCAAGGAACCAACGACCTCGTTACTTGGTCGAACGTGAGTTGCGCGTTGCGCCCTCCTTCTCTCGCTTCGTATCTGACTCCCTATTCTCACGGCAGGACATCTTTTCATATAACGTGGAACAGGCTCGAGGTGACACGCACAACATGATTGTTATCTTGATGAAATACCACGGCCACACGTTGCAAAGTGCCGTCGACTATGTCGGTGAACTTTGTTGCCAGACGATCAACAACTTCTGTGCCAACCGCCAAGTGATTCCCTCGTGGGGACCAGAGACCGATAGAATGGTCCAAGAATACGTGCAAGGCCTCCAGGACTGGATCACTGGGTACGTAATTTGCCTCATGTACTCCATGTTTGTTATGAGTGCTGACACACTTCTGCTCTTTTTGTGTGACCGTCATTACTTAGCTCTTTGCACTGGAGCTTCAAGACACACCGTTATTTTGGCACCAATGGTGCCGAAGTGAAGAAGACGAGGCTTGTCGAATTGTTACCCTTAAAAAACGGGGCAAAACCATGCGCCGGCGAGGCCACGAAGTGACCTCGGAAACACGCAGCCTCTCGCCACTCGACATACGTAGTGGGCCTCTTTGCGATGCCGTCGTGGCGCTCGATACCTGTCCTACGAGCTTACGACATGCCGCCACGCTATTCTATATGATTATATGAAACGACTTCGACCTTCACACGTATTATATGTTTGACGACTTTTGTTACTGAATTATCGATATATTCGCTTACTGTTGTATCCCTTTCGATGCCCATTTTATAGACGCAACTTGTGTTAGAGAATGTATCACCTGTATGTACAAGCTACGCAGCCCGAAATGAATATACCGACCATCCCATCGCGCAGCTCGCGAGTTAATGAATACTAATGCCAATTGGAATGGGGGCGCTGATCCACATAACGTACTCTAACTGCTCGGGGTTGAGCAAGGGCTGGATTGCTCTACCGTCTCCCGCGAGGATAATTAACGGCGAGTGTTCAAGGATATCGCCTTGCTTCTCGAAGCTAAGTGGCGAATGATGGCGGAGGTTTCTCCGGGTTCCTTCAGTGCTACCGCGAATGGTTTGATTAGCGGTGATATTCATCCTGTTTCTGTTCGTCCTGCAGCACAACGTGTTGATTGATTCATGCAGGTGCGAGGAGATAGGAGGGCCTTTCATGTTGCTATTATTGTATATCTAAACCAAGACATACAAAAATAGTGCCGACGGAGGTAATTAACTCGAATGTTCTTTGAAGAACGGATGGTCTTATTGTAAAGCAAAGAGGACTCCATGGCAAACGGAAATTCTGACAGACCAGGCAGACTACAGAGTCGGCAAAACGCGTTGCAGGTACAGGTGCATATGGATATGTGAACATGGCGGGTGCTTTACAAGAGAACTAGTTTGAAATTGAGGATAGTCCGTGGTTCGCAGTATTTTGCTCCGCCGGTCGTTGACAGGGCCTGGGTCTCAGATCCCAAGTCTTCCATATTTCCTGTTGCCTAGGATAAGGATACTGCCGTATAACGTACATGGACATCAAAATGAGCGGAAGCGCATTTGGAATCAATTTCAAGTCCAACGTTCCCCTGTCTCCCCTGTACAGGGTCTCAGGAGGCGCTGGCGCCTAGCTGAAGCGCCCGCCAGTATGACGTCGAGGAGGGCCTTGGGGTTCATAAACTCGAATCCACGAAATCCACAGCGCATACAACTTGAACAAGAACCATGATCATCTCCAGAATCCCTTCAATCGCCCGCTCTGTCGCCTTGCGCAACGGACCGCTCTCAATCGCGAGGCCCGTAGTCCGCCCAACGATGCTGGCATCGCGAAATGTCGCGAGCTCGGTCTCAGGTCGTCCAGCGAGTCAGACAATGGGTCAAGCAGCCCTTAATATCAAAGAAGAAGTAGGGAACTCTGCTGCAGACCTCGCGAAAGTCATTGCTTCAGCAAATATGACCAGCGACGCTGTTGCACCTCAGAAAGACACATTTGTGCGTGTAAAATCCAAATTGGAAGACGAAAAGGTTGATAACATTGGCGCGTAGCTTGGCATCACAAACTCAGTAGCTTCGTCGGTTCCAAAGCCCTACCTGGTCTTTGGTCTCGCTGGTAGGTTGAATCGAGGAATACTCCTGTCTTACTAACATGTGCGGACAGGGGCGCTGCCTTATGTTGGAACAGCTGCGGCGACAGTTTGGACTGCTAAGCAAGCTGGTTTGGCGGCCACCGGAGTTGTCACAAATATCGACCCAGGCGTCGCGATCACGATACTGGACCAAGCCCTCAACCTCCAAGTCACGTATGGGGCCGTCATGCTTTCATTCCTTGGTACACGCGCATATATTCTGATGCTGTATAAATTACTTATGTTCCCCATTCAGGTGCGCTGCATTGGGGCATGGAGTTTGCGGGGTACGGAGGGCATAAAGGATATAGTCGCTTGGCTCTTGGGGCTGCGCCAATTCTATTTGCATGGCCTACGTTGGCGCTTCAACCTGTCACCGCACTTATCGTCCAATGGGTCGGTTTTACCTCTTTATGGTGGGCGGATTCAAAGGCCACTCAACTGGGTTGGGGTAAGCAGCGATTTTATTTGTAGAGATCGCCCACTCACGCGACGCATCAGCGCCCAAATGGTATTCGCAATATCGATTTTACCTGTCCATCCTCGTCGGAACATGGTAGGGCACCCTGTTTATTGATTGTGAATTCCGTGAATACTCATTGATACATGTGCAGCATTATTGGCTCGCTCGCCGGCACTTCGTTCTATGGCCCTGTCGGAGGACATGGCCTTGTGTCGCACGACCTCGACTTACTCCGAGAGCAGCGTAAACAAGCTAGGCCAGAGGGGGCTGGTGTTATTCACGGTGATATTGAGGCCCTTCCAGCCGGAGAAAACGACGACCACTATGTCAACATCAGGAAAAAGGCGAAAGACAGTGAAAAGAAGAACAACTGAAGAAAATACGTCTGTATTTGTAAATGAATCAATTTCCCTGAATACTCGAGGGGTCCCTAGGGGTAGTACTTTTACATGGACAATTTTGGACCACAAGTACATCGTGTAGTCTCAGCGGCACCTCTGATTATATGGATACCTATTGATACGATATATTGAAATAACGTAATACCTTTGTATGGAGTTATCGAAGTGGTAAATCAACTGTATGTCCGCCTACTCCCAGTACTCAGTATCCACGGCGAACGGACCGCCTTCCAACAATGCAGCAAATACCTGCTGCATCGTGATGATTTCCTTCGTCATATCAGCAGGGATCGGCTTGAAAGGCCAGTTTTCGGTGGCGAACTCAAGCTTGACGCACTCTAACACGCCGTGCCTGTGGAGGGGTTCTATAACGCGGGATAGTTCTTGGTGGTCTTCGAGGGTGGGATAATCAAACACCTTGATGGGGTGAAAGCAATATACCTTGGTCCGGATGGTAAGCTGACGGAGGTCGCTTTTAGATATGAGGTGATCGATGCAATCTTTTATCCAAGCTAGGACTGGGCGGTATGATCCACGGTCTAATTTGTAGATCTCAATAGTCAGACGAGAGGGGCGAATGGTCCAATTTCTCACTGACTGGGAAAACAGTGAACGGACAGCGGAATATACGAGTGGACTACATTTACTGTACCTTTCAGCACGAGCTCACGCAAACTGGCGGGGAATTACCCACGGACCATGGTCACTACGCGCAATCGAGGGATTCGAGGTTTGGGCATTCGATGCGATTTGTTTCATGAAGCCGAGGGAGGACTTCCTCGAAATCGAGCTTGCGAAGTGCGTCCAAACGAACGGTCGATTGGTCTCTTGGTTCAGGTTTCCCATGTGGGAATGTCGCATGGGTCGGTCGACGCAGACACGAAGCTTAACCTCTTCAAGGGTAGCTGAGCACAGCGAAAAAATAGGAAATCGTCTTCAATGAGGTCATAGGATTCCATCTCAAAGGATTGGATACGGCCAGCAGCAAGCAGGGAGGTGATCCCAAGCGTTTGCAGCGCAGAGAATGGCGAGGGCAAGGAAGCAAAGCAGATGATGTGCAACTTGCGCAGATTCTTGAGTCGCTCGATTCAGTCCGGAAGCCAGCCTGGAACCTTTGCGAGGTTGCCTTCGTGGAAGGTCAGATGGAGGTCGAGGATTTACTCAGCAAGATGGGGGGCTGTAAAATGGAGGAAGTTGAGCCTAGAGGCCACCGTCCCATCCCACATGGTGTGCACAAAGATAGACCGGAAGATATGATGTCGACAAATGCGGTTCCACGTTCGACATACAAGGGAACATGCTTCCAAAGCGGGGGGTACACTTCCGCTTCTGGTGCCACGCTCGGCGAGGGGTTCGACGATGTGGTGGATTAGCTCAAGAGGGAGCTGCTTCGCCCCTGATGCGCCTCGTTCGTAGCGACGAATCTTTGGGTGCAAGCGGTGAGCGTGTTGGGTCTGTGGCACATGCTTTGCTTGTTATTCCCAGAAATTTCTAGGTCCAAAGCGATGAGTCAGTATCAAGGTTTCATCAAAGTAAAGGAATAGATGCATACGGTGCGCTAGGCAGGGGTCACTTCACGCATGGCTTGAGTGTCAGTTAGAGACAAGTTTGGGCGGTTAACCATTGTGAGAGCCGCATTATGTCTAGCATGATACTACCCCATCAGGGCTACAGACAAATTCGTACTGGCTCCGCTACTCCCCCCCACCGCTCAAGAACGATCTCAATAGCTAATTGATTTGCTTCTAACAGTGGGGTGAACACCTCTTTCAGCTTCGCCACCTCCTCATTCATGGTATTGTCAGCAGGTATTGCAGCACGGTGGTTGAGCGAGAGGATACTGATACTGAGATTAGTGTGCAAGGCCCCATGCTGGCGAAGGGGCTCCAGAGTGCTGTATAGTAGTTCGTAGTCCGCACGAGTAGGGTAACAACACTCCTCCGACTCTCTAAGCCGGTTACTCTTGATTTTGATGTTCAGCTGACGAAGGACATGGGGGAACGGAAGACTCTGAAGACAGCCCTTGACCCACGAGAGAATCGTGAAGAATGAATCGTCGTGTGATTTAGAGATATCAACCGTCATAGAGGAGGGACAGATAGACTGGCCGAGGTCAGGAATGTCAGATACTTCAAAGGCTGAAAGGTGATTGGATCAGAAGAGAGAGGGCGCAAATCAGTATGAATTTACCTTTCAGGCTGACCTCCGACAGTTTGTCGGATATCCAGTTCGGAATGGTGCAAAAGGAATTTTGAATTTGTTCATAAACCAACGAGCGAAGATTTGGGCTTTCGATACGGCTCGTCTGGAATGCCCTGGAGTCTCCTTGCAGCTTGATTTTTCGCAAAGCCTGCAAGCAGACTATCGGAGGAACTCTTGATTCCGAGACTATCATATTTGGCATCGTTCCTCTGTCGGAGACGCTGCAAGTTTCAAGGGACAATTCCTCGAGTGTGGTCGAACAGACAGAAAGTAGGAGAAGGAGATCCGACGCGTCCGCTAAGAAATCCCAGTATGTGAGGGAAAGGCATTTAAGGGGTGCTTTGTCCAGCAAAGCCATAACCCCGAGCGCGAATGGTCGCGGGAGAGCTGGCGCACCAGACGTCATCCGACTCTCAAGGTACAGCGAGCGCAGATTAACAAATCGGGGGAGAGTGTTCGGAATCCATTCCGGTGCGCCGTATACATCGCGATCCCAGAAGAGAATGAGATCGGTCACATATCTGTAGAGATGGGGGGCCGTGAAGTGTAGGAAAGAGAGCGGAGAATCGCGTTCTTGGCTTATGCAGATGTCTGCGGTAACTGTGTGGAATATGCAATGTCGGCAAATATCGTTCCAAGCCCGACAGACAAGGGAACAGGCTTTCAAAGCAGGAAAACCAACTTTTTGGTAGTTGCGTCTGTCGCTGCGATCGTTGAGGAATGCGATGATATGGTGAGTCAACTCAAAGGGGAGCATCACGCGAACTGGGCGCCGTTCTTTGGCATCTTGAAATGACATCCTCTGCATCAGAAGCAAAGATCAATATTGAGCTAGATAAATCCATGACAAGGAACTTGCGTGGGACGTTGTGGTACGGTTCTGAGTTGCTTGGAACTCAGATCTTGGCAGTCACCCAGAGTCGACAGGGGTATCCAGACATCACGTGTGGCAGAGCCTTGAAACGACAGTCTCAGCCAAGTCGCATCAATTGCCCCTTCATAATGGTCCTCGTTCTGGTCATTGGCGACCTGCACATTCCTCACCGAACCCATGACTTGCCAGTGAAATTTAGGAAGCTTCTGGTTCCAGGCAAGATCCAGCAGATTCTATGCACGGGGAACGTCTGCGACAAGGAGACTTTCGAATACCTTAAGACCGTGGCTGCGGATGTGCATGTCGTGAAGGGCGACTACGACGAGGTGGGTGTTGATCTGGCTCTGTCAATATAATGTATGGCTGCGCTCTGTAAATATTGGTCCCTGCGGTGTTGCTGAAGCTTGCGACTCTGGTGTAGACACCGACTTTTCCACTATCTGTGACAGTGGTGCACCCGCCCATCAAGATTGGTGTCATTCATGGGCACCAGTGTATTCCTACGGGCGACTTGGACTCACTGAGCGCCATTGCACGGCAGATGGACGTCGATGTACTGATATCCGGCCACACTCATACGTACGTGAACCTGGTAACACTTTGGCTCGCATCTCAAGACTACGTTTATAGTTTCCAAGCCATTGAATACGACGGAAAATTCTTCGTCAATCCAGGCTCAGCAACTGGTGCATGGACAGGCCTTCACACTGCGTAAATATATTTACCCATCTACTATCCATATGCCTGCTTACGATCGCTCACAGGGATCCCATACCCTCCTTCGCTCTCATGGATATCCAAGGGCCTGTGGTTGTAACCTACGTGTATCAGTTGATTGAAGGCGAAGTCCGCGTGGAGAAAGTCGAGTACCGCAAAGAAGATGACGTCCCGAAGGAACCGCCAAAGAGTGCTGTTCCTCCACAGAGTATACCAACCAGTCCTTCCATTAGCAGTGGTGGCGGTGGTTGGTAATGCTAGATATGTCAGTGGAATCATATCTCAGGGAGAGCTTCTCATTCGAACTACTTAGGATTATCATCTGTGTCGATTCCGTTCCACAATCGTGTTTTTATAAGTATTGATGGAGTGTCGATACCCTTCTCCCTTCACTGGCCATCAAATAGGAATTGCCAGAGGGCGTCCGCCTTTTTGTAATCGTGATGGACGATGCTTACGAGCCATCGTGTATCCCTGATGTTTTCAAGGAGCTTTCGCTCTTCTGACCCCGGACGGTAAAATGACGACCATTCTGACCAGATTGCGAATGCTTCCTCCTGTTGCGCAAAGTCAGTCAACGGCCGAGTGTGACGCTGTGTAAGATCCAACCTTCCAGTTCAAGAACGAGGCCTGCTCTATGATGGTAGACTGGACGATCTCCTGCCCAGGGAACACACCCCACGTCACCGCATTTCGTGCACCTTCAGGTATGTTGGTTCTAATTTCTCCCTATTCACTTGATTTAACCTAACACGGTTGAAAAGGGCGAGAGGTTGTTTAAGAACCTTATAGTTGCTAGCAATCAAGTGTACCCATCCTTTCCCGTGTATATCCAGTCGCTTTTCAAGTTCGTCCACGTCTTTGGTCTCGCAAAAGAATTCCACGAAGCCTTTTTGGAAGACGTAGCCACTACGCGGCCCCCAGCCGATTACGGGGTCGCCCGAGTCTATACCATCCACAGCAGGCTGAGAACCAACAGTCCACCACTCTCTCTCGTTCAATCGTTCGAGTTGAGGTAGAATCATCTGCGATTCCGGGATAAGCGGCCCACGGGAGAAAGGAGTTGAAGCCCTGCGCCCGTGCAAGTGATCCACGAAGAGCTTCGTCAGGTCCTGGACACTCTTCGGACGCCCCCATTGAATCAATGCTTCATTACGCTACCACCAGCGTGAGTTATTTACCGTCATTTCGGATGCCACGATACTTACCGAGATCAAGAGGCCTCCCCAAGGACCTTGATCACCGTAGGCTGGACTTTTGAAGTCGCCAAACCGGCCGTTGGGGAAGTCGTCCCATGTGGCGGCGTTGTTGAGCTCCCCTTTGCCAGCCTCACCTTCGACTTCAGGTAGATTCATTAGATGCATTTTCGCGGAGCCCGTCGCATTATGTGGGCTGACAGTCAATTCTGAATCCTGGACCTGACTCGTTTCCGTGTCAGATGCTTCCTAAGAGGGAGTTAAGCGAGTAAGTGATTATTCGTAGCATTTAAACTTACGACGATGAGCTTGTTCTGTTCTAAGGTAGAGGGTCCGGTCCATTTCAACGTTTCCAGAACCCGCTGAATGCTCTTCTCAAGGTTCAAGGTACAGAAGTGAAACCCTTTGATGCCAGAGGCTGAGAGCTTGCGAAGCATGCTGACAGCCAGGGACACGCCGTAGTTCTTAACCCTCTGGTCGTCATTCTAGAGGGAACAATGAAGAAATGGCCAACATCGAGACGATGGTAGCACGTACGGAGATGGGCTCTAGTTCTGCCATTATACTGGGCGGCACCCTACTTCCACAGAGTTTGATTAATCTCTGGAAGGAGGCGTAGGTTTGGATCGGCATTATTCCAGGAATGACGGGAACGGTAATTCCTTGCACAGGAAACATTAGAATAAGCTGTTCAACAGGTTGTAGGAAGAGACTAACCAGCATCTCTAACTTTTTGAAGCCATCGTAGGAATCCGTCTACGTCGTAGAAGAGTTGGGTGATGATAAAATCAGCCCCTGAGTCAACTTTGTCCTTGAGGTTAGCAATTTCCTCCTCTTCAGTGAGACTGGATTCTGGGTGCCCGTCCGGGTATGCTATGTAGTAGCTATATGAGGCGATGCATGGGTTCAAACATGTCATACTCACCAGCTACGCCGATGGCAAAGTCAGAGGCAAATTCGGGTGTCGAGCGTATGTAAGATACTAGATTTTTGCCATTGGTGAACCTGTCGTCGGTAGCGATCCAATCTTCTTCTCCTCTGGGTGGGTCTAGATGCTAATTATAATGTGCTTCCACCCTGCTGCACATAGACTGACCGCCGCGCAGGGCAAGGATATTCTGGATCCCCCGGTCTTTGGCTGCCTGTGAAGGTATTCATATCTGATCGCGATCGAATAGTAATCACAAACCCTCAAAGCTTCGTCTACCAGTCCCTTCTCCATATTCGTACATGTCAGATGGAGAATGGTATCGACGCAGTGTTCCCGCTGGACTATTCCAGCCAACTCGAGGCTCCTATCTTTGGTCGATCCTCCTGCGCCCCAAGTAACACTGACGGCGAGGGGATTCAGACCGGCCATTCGAGTTATACGAGGAACCAAGTTCTCGAATCCCTATTGTATCGACAAGTCAGCCTCTCCTTGATCTAATGAATATATGATGATTGCGAACTTGGTCCGTTCTTGGAGGGAAGAACTCAAAGGTATAGAACGGCCTTGAGGATGTATACGACGCGATCTTCTCTGAAAGCTTCATTTTCGTGATGTTTATCTGGTCAGTACAGAGAGATGAGAATTCCACAACGAATCTGTAGAGCCCCGAGTAAGTTCAGGCGAGCGGGTTCAGTGGTCCGCGAGTTGAATGTTTTTCCCACATGCAGCGCTTTAGCGCCCAATGCTTGTCGCGCATCCGAACCCTGCATCACCGCTGCTTAATCTCGTGTTTCGCTGTGCTCTGTCACGGCTCTCTTGTCAGAAACCACATTGTAAAGGCTCTTGACAAAAAATGGACTCGCCTGCAACTCCCTCAGCCGACTTCTCTTCTTCGCCGCCGAAGCGGACCAAGATCGTGCTCTTGGGCGACCAGAGCGTCGGCAAGACCAGTTTAATTACTCGGTACGTTGGTTGTACTGGTGGCTTAGTGAAGACGATATTGAACGTATTGGTGTAAGGTTTATGTACGACACCTTTGACAACACGTATCAAGCTACGATTGGGATTGACTTTCTGAGCAAGACGATGTATTTGGATGACCGGACTGTACGGTTACAACTGTGGGATACTGCTGGACAGGTGAGCGTGGTGATTATGGACGCTTTGATATGTGCTGACATACGAGGCTCTTAGGAACGTTTCCGCTCGTTAATACCTTCTTACATTCGTGATTCGTCTGTGGCGATTGTTGTATTTGATATAACAAGTGAGTATTATGACCGTTCTCGCAGCAGACTAGGCTCACCTTCTATGTGCACCAATAGACCGCCAATCATTCCTGTCGACATCTAAATGGATAGACGATGTAAGATCAGAGAGAGGGAACGACGTAATTATTGTCTTGGTCGGAAACAAAGCCGACCTTTCAGACAAGCGGTACGCCTGCTATTGCTTTCATAACAGTCGACATATCTCATCGGGTATGCTAGGCAAGTCACACTAGAAGAAGCAACCGAGAAGTCTACGCAACTCAACATAATGTTTATGGAGACATCGGCCAAGGCTGGCCACAACGTGAAGAGTTTATTCAAGAAGATAGCGATGTCGCTGCCTGGAATGGAGAAGGATACTCAAGGGGACGCCGCGCAAAGTACGTGTTTGCAGATATGGAATTACCTGGTTATAAATTGGAGGCTTGAATATATCAGAGATCGATGTCACAACCCCTGCACAGGCGGAGGTACCAGAAGCATCACAATGCAATTGTTGATTCAAGTTCGCCTACTACACCAACTCCGCATGTCACCCAGTCCATCGACTACATTCTACGGCTACATCATGCATTTTCCATGTTCTACGTGTTTTGTCAATTTAGATTCTTCTTCATTGGACTCATAGCAGCGGCTAACACAAGCGAATAAAATCTTAGAAGGTTTGGCATCAACGATTGGAGAGACGGCACTTCATTACCCTACAGCTACCGAAGTTCGTACGGGGTTGGGCGAAATTCATGTCTACTGTTTGGCAAGTCTTCGCACCAAGCCTTATCTCACATTTAAACCAATTGATCCAACCGCGAGATTGAGTTCAATGGACCCATCGCCCTCAACCTCTATTCATGGTGTTCCCTGCGCCTCTGGGATTTTCGTCCGTAAAAACTGCCCAGTTCTCATCTTTCTGCCGTTTCTTCTCAGCATTCGCTTCGCCCAGCAATGTTCCGTCTTCCTCCGCATCCAACGCTAGCTGCTCTGAAGACGTAGGCTCGATTTCGGAGGCAGGACTGCGTAACTTAGTAAACATGGAGAAATTACAGGTGGGGATGTGCACTCACCCGCCACCAGTAATGATATTACCACGTTCTTGCTCGATCTGCAGATACTCGTCAATCGACATAGAGGGGAGTCTGTGGTCAGGACCGAAAACTTGAGCTTGAAGCCGCGCTCGTGCGGACGTGCCAGCAGGCAGAATGGTGAATGGGCGGAGGGGCTAAACACAATGTTGAGAATCACCATCAGTAGGTTCAGGCCGACGTACCTTTCCATTTGGGTCCAGGAGAAGTCCCTTCCCATCTGGCCCACCACTGACTCTGGGAGCGTCTAAGCGCCACATATCGTCTAGTTCTTTCCTCTTGTCCCTCCGTGGATCGTCGGAGGTTTGTGTCGGGGGCTCGGGAGGCGCAGATCGTAAGAGATCCGATTCCTGGTCCATGCTTTCAAGCTGTGAGTTGGCGTGTGTATACCCAAGTCGGAGCAGGAGGAGAATGGCGTCACGGGCAGCATCAGAGGTGGCCTCATCTTCGTCATCTTGCTCGTCGTCGTTTTCTACTTCGGGCGGAAGCAGTGCCATGATTAAGTCAAACTCGGACGGCGAAGATTTCAGGGGAGCAGCTTGATTTCTTCGGATTGCTATTGCCTCTATTCGCTGCTTTAGCTGTTTCTCGTTTTTGTATTGCTTGATTTTCAGCTCCCTTCGTGTCGCCGGATCCCTGATGGTAGATGCCTTCTGCTTGTACAACTCGCGATCTTCTTCGGAGATGATATGGTAATCATCGAGACTTTCCAAGAAACTTCGCAGAAGGCGCTGTGGTGACGTTCACGGAATGAGCGGTCATATGAACAACATAGAACTCACTGGCCAAACACACCTGAGCCTGAGCCAAGGACGCAAGGCGGTCTTCGCGCTCTGTAGTTCGGATACGTTCTATGACTTGAGCATAGATGTATGGTACTAAGAGATATACGAGATCTCGCGTCGAGATATCCTCTATTGTTTCGTTCGGACTGAATAGGCCCAGGCCAGTGATCCTTGATTGAAGTAACTTCAAATCACTCAGACACGACTGAACGATATCCTGTTCAAACGATTTAGTAGAGACATCGAAGCAACAAAGTGAAACGTACCTGGGTCGCATCGTCTCCTGTCGGAAGGTCGTGTGCCTTGGACGCGCTGTGTAGCACTTTGTGAAATAACGAACGAAGTGGTACAGACATTGACTTGCTGATAAGATAACGGGGACTCGATTTCAAGATGTGACCATCACGTGATCTCGACGCGCTGGTACAATTCTGTCAAAAATATGCATCTTTGCATCTTACCACCACACTGCTTACATGAAACGCGCCGTACCCTACGAAGACACGAGAATAGCCAAAAAAGCACGAATATCGGAAGACGCTTTTGATGAGGCCCTCGAGTGTAGTGTCCAGGACCTGTATCGCTCCGACACCGATGGGACTGGCTTTTTACGCGCGAAAGTGTTCATGATCTGGCCCACAGTCAATGGTCAACTGAGAATACAAGTCCGAGTGGTGGTCGACTCAAAGCAAGTTGGGTTCGAAGTGACTTTCTCTGGACAATGTGCCGAGTACTTCAGCAGGGAGCATCTGCACTTCCACTCGACGGATGAAGTACTGCTATCGTTGCGTGGTGCGGAAGTACAGAAGAAGAAGCCATCTACGAGCCCGACTACATTCCCTATATCACTTCGATACGCTGAAGGGACAATGATAAAGTTCATCAAGACTGTTCGTTGGGGAGATGAGGAACGTGTGGTTGATACTTGGAAGCGTGTGTGATACTCGGTATAACGTGCTCCCATGTTTCTAACACCATCTCTATCTGTAGTTAAGGCCGAAGAGCCCGACTGGTTCAAAAGTCCTAGCCCCGTCGACGACGTTAACGAAGTTATCTCGAAGCCTGAATTCAAACCCATTGTTCCCCGTAAACGGGTCGATACCCATATATCATCGCGAACGCCTTCGAATGAACACTCACCAGTAGGTCGACACTCCCCGCCATCGAAGGCAGTGGTTGACAGATCAGACGACGCTCAAGATGCCCACAAGCTACAGAAAGGAAAACGTGCTCCCTCTCCGCCGGCACAAGGGTCTTCTACTCGTGAAAGACCTCCAAGGGCTGTTAAAATGTCGAAACGACAAAAGAAAGTCGACAGACTGGCGCAAAAACATCCCAACGGCGTCTCGGCTAAGGAAATAGCTGATGGGACGCGTGCTGAAGAACCCATACCTAACCCCCCCACGAGGGATGACACTCCAGCTACCTGCGGTAGTGTACGCCATGAAGAGCCCGGGAAGGTTGACATTCAGGCAACCAATGGCAGTAAACACCCTGAAGAACCTGGACTGAATACTTCCGCAACTCCTACCGTGGAAAGTGCTAGTACCAAACCTCCAGAGTTGCGTGTTGGATTTACGAATGATGTTGTTTGTGCACCTCCAATGTATTTCTCCCAAGTATTCGAAACTAACATAATCCAGGGCGACAAATTTTCTCCGCTTGCCGATTTGAAGCAAGTGGGAGTGTTCTGCAATGTTGTCGGCGTCGTTGTGAGGTGCACCCCAGCGGAGAAATCTCGCAAAGGAGGTGCGGCAGTCACAGCTTTTGATTCCGACCCACTCATCAACATCATGTAGATTTCACTTGCACTATCTCCATTGTCGACCCGACGTGTTACTCGACGATCTCGTACGATCTGGCTCCTTCTGAAGGATTCATAATTACCTGCTTCACAGGACGCTACAAGGAGTGGCTTCCAGCCGCTGCTCAGCGGGGCGACATTTTAATCTTGTACGGATTGAAGGTGAGCCCCAGAAGTTCGCACGTGACGCCATCCTGATGTCATTCGTAAGACGTCGGAGTGGAATGGTTCTGTGCGAGGGACGGGCTTCAAGAATCGCTTGAAATGGACAATATATAGTCCAGCTTCACAGACAACTCACCACGGCCACTTGGACACATCTGTCGTTCCGTTGTCAGAAGGTGCTGATGGCGGCTTTGGTCTTGCATTTACTCCATTCCGCAGCCCGACGGCCGCAGAAATTGCGTATTGCAAGGGATTATCTCATTGGTGGGAGGGGGTTGTTAAATCGAGAGAGGAAGCGCAAAAAGAGGTCACCGTCATTGGGAACTACGGCGGGGAAATATACCAGCGACCAACCCAACGATGGTCCCGAGTACATCGCCTGATTTCTGATGCTCATCCCGACGCCCCTCCTTCGGGTTACTTCGACTGTACGGTAGAGGTAAGCCTCCAAGGAACTATCTACCAAAGAGGGGGACTCACTCGTTGCAGGTCTTATACGGCATCCTCAACGATGGCGGCTCCGGGGTTTACAGTTTGTTTGTCACCGACTACACTGCGAACCCGGCCATGTATCCTGTACAAGCCGATTGGGCTCCATCGGATCTGATGGATAGCATCTTGAAAATAGAAATGTGGGATAATGCAGCACCGATGGGCCCTACTATGGAGCAAGGGCAATACTACTCTATGAAGAATGTCCGGGCGAAAGTGAACAACGCAGGCTATCTCGAGGCAAAGATAGTAGAGCCGAAGATATCTCACGTAGGGGAAGGGGAGGACGATATGCACTTGAAAGCCCTTTTAGAGTGAGTTCTCCTCATATGTCTTGACTATGCATTGATGCAAATTCGACAAAGGCGTAAGAAGGCATGGCAACAGAACAGTTCCTCGACCGATGGGACTCGTGTGTATCCACATCAGCTTCTTCGGGATATACAAGACGGCCAACGGTTTACATGCACAGTCGAAGTGAGTCACATTTATATCATTCGCTGCGACTCAAAGTTAAATTGCTCTTCATCAGGTTTTGTACGTTGACTCCGGTGCACACGGTGCCAATGCCTTCATATATGTCACCGACTACACCTTAAACCCCATGCTGACGTCGTCCCACCCCCTGGAGGCGTGGGCAAGCGATTTAGAAGGCCAAGTACTCAAAGTGCAATTGAGTGATGGTCAGGCTGCGACGGGCAAACGTCTGGAGGCCGGTTCATTCTGTCAACTCCGTAATGTCAGAGTCAAGAGTAGTTATGCCACCGACGGTATAAGGGGTTATTTAGGGGGTGAACAGAGGTTAATCATGAAGCTACAACGGGAGTCTGAGTCTGATGACATGAAGAGTCTTCTGACGTGAGTGAATCAGTCTAGCAACTTCATGCTCTAACGTTTCCGCAGACGCAAGGATGCTTGGAGTGGCCAATCTTCTACCATTGTCACCAAGCTACTGCTAACTACGAATGTGCCAACGCCGCTTTCTCCTCCCAATCTCGCGCCAAGCAGACGGAAGCCTTATGTGTCGATAGAGAAGGGAAAGGCTGGTTCGAGTGACTTTTATGTCCTAGGTCGCGTCATTGACTTCTGGCCATCTGACGTGGAGGATTTCGTGCTATTATACTGCTCTAATTGTCGCACGAAGTAAGTCTGTTCCATCACTGGGAATAACTCCAAGCTGAGCTCGTTGGAGCATCCCTAAATCACAGAAAGCATGTTTAGAATGTGTCGATATGGACCACGAATTTGTTCAGTTCCATTATCGGGTTTTCTTGCGCTTACAAGATGAAGATGGAGGTACCTTGGATGTTATTGTCACGCACAAGGTAATCAATGGAACCCCTAGTCATTTTTGTTGGCTAAAACTAAAACCTAAACAGTCCCCGCTTCTGAGTCAAGTCAAGCTTGCTGATCTACACGAAGACGCGTCTGCAGTGAAGAGTGTTATTGATCGCTTGGCCCCGTATTTTGGGAACCTTCTCCAGGTCCACGATTCATGGACTAAGGGAATGCGTTTGGTCATCGACACCCCTTATTTTTATTGGAAGATTACTTCCAGGGAACTACCCTTGAACGATAGCTCAACATTTGTATATTATCTCATAGATGTCAACGAGTGCACGTAATAGTGCATATCTTGTATCTTTATATTTCTTATTACCATGTAGTACATAGTAAAATCTCGTCGTCGCGCTGGCTGGCGCCTAATGTTTTGGTATTGGATGGTTCATATTACAGGAGTTTTACGCATCTCGTTCACATACTAGACAACGCTTGACGGCGGAATCTGCCAACCGCTATGCACCCAATCCATCCCAGTCGATCGTTGGTGAGGCCAGTGTACTGCAGTAGCGCAGCCGGTTCCTGGAGACCGCCGGGAGAGAGCCAATCTGGCTGTCATATATCTCCGTCCAAACTACCCAGCTGCTGTGACTTGGATGCCCCATGGCGGCCAAGTTGAGGGAACTCTCTCCTCGCCAGATTCCAATGATCGCTTGGTGAGTCTTCTGCGCTCGGCTAGGTGATCTCTCGCTAATATTCCAAAGCACAAGTACACCCAGCTTTGTATGTCGTGCTAGGAACGGCCTATGGGTGACCCAATGGTGCTACTTAAGGACTTGGAATCGTTAGAACGACTGCCAAGACTAGTGATGGTCAGAATTCGACATGCTGAGTGTAAGAATTAGTGGCTGGTGGTGCGCACTCGTACCAACTTAGCCTAAAGTTTGGCAGCCACATCGTCAAGACGCACGTCAACCCAGAAAACTATTATAAAAGTGGTCCCTTCATGCAGTCAACGGTCAGCAGTGTACTGAACCTCTCGTTCTCTACTCTGTCCTGTAGTATCTTCGTCATCTGGTGAGTCCCGCAACCATTTGTCTCCGCTCTAGCTGTCTGATCGGGCGCAGACACCCGATGCGGAGAATCACAGTTTCCTTGCTCACCTTAGCCCTCGTCGCGGCGGCGAGGCTCGATGGCATGGATGGAGGTGCGACAAGCGCAGTGGTAGTATCTGCCTCGACTACCGACTGTACCACCAGCTTGATCACACCTTCCCCACAAGCAGCGAGCGTTACTGGAGCTAGTGCCGCAATCACAGCTCCGCCCGTTGTTACAGGAAGCCCTAGTAAAGTTACTGGCACTGCTGCATCAACTTCCAGCGCGCTAGCAACGTCTACTGCTTCCGCCACTATCCCAGTGTCTCATGTGCGTCTATCCACATTCCTTCGTGTATATACTGAGTTCCTTTCCTAGCATAAATCTTACGTCGGCTGCATCCAAGACGTCGCCGCCCCCGGTCTCCATGCTCTCGATGGGTTCGCGAAAAAGTCCGCCAAGCTGACTATCAAGAAGTGCATTGCTTCTTGCAAAGCATTTGAGTATGCTGGGATCAAAGGAGGGTGAGTTCTTAGTCAGTTCCAGTGATACACCCGAATATTGATAAACGAGTCTCGTAGGGATACTTGTGAGTTGCTTACAGTTCTCCAATAAGCCCCACCAGCTAAATGTCTCTCGCATAGGTATTTGTGGCAACAAGTTTGTCAATGGTGCTACCGGCGCCCTCCTCGATGAAAGAAAATGCCACATAAAGTGCTCAGGAGCCAAAGGCCATGGACATGGCAAATGCGGAGGACACAAAACCATCTCCCTTTACGCTTTGGATCTTCCCGAGGATGATGAGCCAAAGGTAGCGTGCTTCTTTTTCATCTATTGAGCTTGACTTATTTGACCTAGGCACCTGCACCTGCACCTGTCTTGGCCGCTGTAATACCGGCCGCTGCTCCATCGGCGGCTGCGCCCTCGTCAGCTGCAGTCTCCTCAGTGGCGCCATCATCGGCGGCGCCCTCGTCAGCTGCAGTCTCCTCAGTGGCACCATCATCGGCTGCGCCCTCCTCAGTTGCGCCGTCGTCAGTTGCACCCTCTTCAGTAGCGGTGTCCTCCGCTGCGCCGTCATCGACTGTGGTGGCTTCAGTGGCACCTTCTTCGGCCGTGCCTTCGTCAGCTGCAGTGTCCTCCGTCACCCCTTCGTCGGTAGCGGTTGCTTCGGTGGCCCCTTCAGTTGCGGTGTCCCCTGCTCCCACGTCGGTTACTCCCAAATCTGTCGTGACCTCGTTGGCAGTACCATCTACGTCTAGCGCCTCCAAGAAAGTGAAATATATCACCGTGACAAACGTTGAAACGATTTCGGCAGCACCCGTTGCATCTTCCGCCGCGCCGACTCCGACTCCTGCAGCATCTAGCGTGACCAGTGCCTCTTCTGATGCAGATGATGTCCCAGTCCTGTCGTTCAGTGCTTCCACCACAGCGACACCAACTACCGCATCCGATGCAGATGATGTCCCGGTGCTCTCGTACTCTGCCTCGGTATCTGCAACGCCATCTGACTCCGGCGCAGACGATGTACCAGTCCTCTCTTACACCGCTGTCCCTTCCAAGACCGCCAGCTCAGACGCCGATGACGTGCCAGTCCTTTCGTACACGGCCAAGCCTACGCCCACCGTCAGCACTGATGCGGACGACGTGCCAGTCCTCTCTTACACGGCCAAGCCCTCGACCACTGCCAAGCCCTCGACCACTGCCGGCACCGACGCGGATGATGTACCAGTCCTTTCCTACACGCCTCCGGCACCTTCTACCACGGCCAAGCCTACCAATTCCGATGCGGACGACGTACCGGTACTCTCCTACACACCTGCCCCTACTACCACGGCCAGCTCCGATGCAGACGACGTTCCAGTCCTTTCTTACACACCTCCTGCCACCAGCGTCAAGGCTTCAGCCACAGTCAGCTCCGATGCAGATGACGTACCAGTCCTTTCCTACACGCCTCCTGCTCCTACGAGCATCAGCGTCAAGGCTTCCACCACAGCCTCTGACGCAGATGATGTACCGGTCCTTTCCTATACGCCCCCTGCTGCTTCCACTACGGCCAAGCCTTCCACTACCGTTAACCCCAATGCTGACGATGTGCCAGTGCTCTCCTACACGTCTGCGCCTGCTACTACCACCGACAGTGGGGCTGACGATGTTCCAGTACTTTCTTACTCGGCCCCCACCGCTGCGTCGACTACTGTAGAAGTGAAGGCAGCACCCAAGTCTAAGGCGGCACCCAAACCCAAGGCGACCCCCAAAGCTAAGGCAGCTCCCAAGGTCAAGGCAACTCCTCAGGTCAAGGCGAGCATTCCCAAGGGTACCACCACTTCAGCAGCCCCATCTGCAACTCCAGAGGCCGCAGACGATGACGACGACGAATACGAGACGTTCCGCCACGATGCTGGATGGTCTGGTAAAGGATTTGACCACTGGGAGTATCATGAAGGCTACGGAGATGACGACCACGAAGACGAGTATTGGCACCCTGGCCAGAAACATCACGGTCATAAGCACGGTCCGCACAAGCATCACCATCATCACCACGACGGTTACAAGAAAGGACCTTGGGCCAAGGCTAGCCACCATAAAAATCCTCATCACCACAAGGACAAGGAAGCCCCGGCTGTCGTCACCGTCACCCAAGACGAGACCCAGGCCTCTCCTTTCCACAAGCACCACTACGTTGGGTGCGTTGCCGAAGGCCGTGTTGGCAATCGCCGCGCGCTCACTGGACCGAGCTTCAAACGCAAGGATATGACCGGAAAACTCTGCCAATCTCTCTGCAACGGGTATAAATTCGCCGGCACTGAATTCAGGTGTGCTCTTTGCTAGCTCATCTCGTTCGTAACTAACGTGTTCCATCTAGATATGAATGTGGGTAATGCATACACTCACGCTGTTTGGTTTACTTATTATGATCACCGTCTCATTCTTAGGTTATTGCGGAAATTCACTCTTGAACCACGGGGCTACGGGCGAGGTCATCGACGCCAAGCACTGCAACCGTAAGTGTGGCGGCAAGAGCGATGAGTTCTGCGGCGGGCCTTGGGCCTTGTCCGTCTACAAGGTTTAAGAGACAACTCGGTGAGTACATGGCTGACCTTCATAATGTATCGACATTGATCTTACCACTAGGCAAAATGACACAGTAAACGGTTTCTACTGGGCATCATGTGATGATTGTATTAATCAATGCATCGCGGGTAATATATATTGGTCTCATTGTAATATTGCCCAGAATGAATGAGACCCATAATTAAGAACCATTCCAAGTAATCCTGATGTGTTGGGCTTCCCTAGGCTCTAGCCTGTCCAAGGACTTCGGGCGCGTGTCAGGTGCTTAAACGCGCTCAGGCGCCCATGATACTGCCACAAGCCCACCGAGGCCCACCGCCACTTCATCGCTTTTGGCGTAAAGCAGTGTCAGATCAGGAAGCTCCTATTGCGTAGCACCCGCCCTATATAAGTTAAGCTCTCCGAAGCTAGAGTTTCTCCCCGACCCTTCTCTCCTTCTCCGCCATGTCTTACAATTACAATTACAATCAACCGCCGTACCAGCAGCCTGGACAGAATCCAGCATATGTAAGTCTATCAGCCCGCCTAGTTGTAATGATCTGGAACTCCTTTATTACAGCCAGGATATGCTCAACCACAATACGGCGCGCCAGGCGGATTCGTGAGTCCCCACAAATGTCAGTCACGGGCTATTGGAAGTTTACTGACTGCCCAACCGCGTAGATGCCCGGAATGCCTCCAGCACAGCAATATGTAAGCTTGCTCCTCTAGGATTGACTACTTGACTATATAAATCGAAATCCGACCATAATTATCAGGCCCCGCCCCCCGGTGCACCACCAATTCCAGGAAATCGCCCTCAGAGTGGAGCGGGGCCGGCGTCAAACGGTGCTGGTTACTATCCTCCTCCCCAAGGTCCTCCACCTCCGGGACCACCTCCAGGACACGTACGGACTTTCATTCCTTTCTTTGCATGAATCTCATAGCTGTACAGCAGGCATCATATTTCCCCCCGCCGCCTGCACCTGGTCCGGGACCTTATGTGAGTAAATTGGCGCGTTGAACAGCCATTTTTTGATAGTTACTATTTAGGGATATGCGCCTCCCCCGGGCCCACCTCCTGGTCCGCCCCCAGTTCAAGTGAGCGACTTTGGGCTGCTGCCATCAGCCCCGCGCTTACGCTCATCTTCAGCAGCCATATGGCTATGGATATGCTCCTCCAGGCGGCTACATGCCCATGACTCAATATCTTGGTACCCCTATCCCCCTATCAGCCGTGAACAAGTACTCTACCGATCCTCCGGTGCCCGGCTACGATGCTCGAGGAGACGTTGAAGCCATTCACAAAGCAACGAAAGGCTTTGGAACTGACGAGTCACAGTGTAAGTCGGCCGACGCCCCGTCACACTCACCAATAATGATCTTATTTCGTCCCAGTAATTCGTACACTAGCCCCGCTCAATGCATTGCAAGTTGCGACGCTAGCAACCCAATACAAAGCGGCGAAAGGCCGTGATCTTGCACAATTAATTGATAAGGAAACAGGCAGTTGGTTTGGGTGAGCCTCTTCATGCAACTGCTGCGTTGAAACTCAGTCTATTCATTCAGCATGGGGCTACGAGGGATCGTTCTTGGCCCGCTTGGGTGGGACGTTGAGTTACTACATAGAGCTATTGCGGGCGTAGGGTATGTCAAGTTTCTTTGAAAAAAGAACCTATTTAACCGTTATAACTTAAAGGACTCACGAAGATCTGCTCAACGAGATTCTTTTGTCTCGCACGAATGATGAAATGAACATGCTCAAAAGCGCATATCGCGATCACTACGGTCGCGATGCGGAACAAGACGTTTCAAATGACCTATCTATGAAAACTAAGAATCGTACGTGCAGTGCTCTCTACTACACCGGCCGCATAAATGAAAAGGAGTGCAGTGTTTGTCATGGCCATGAACGCCAGCCGTGTCCCGGACAACGTTCCAGTTAATGCACAACAAGTTACCGCCGACGTTAATCAATTATTCAACGCAGGCGTAGGACGTAAAGGAACAAACGAAGTCTGTATTTGGATGCCGTTTCGCTGTTCGGTCATTCTAACCATTGAATATAGATGGTCTTCTGCGAGATCATGGTAAATCGTTCGGGCCCACATCTGGCCGCTATGTAAGTTGTTTCCTTCCTAGCATTGTTCTTCCCTTCTGACCAGTAAATCACAGCTCTGCAGCATACCATGCCAAACATAAAATGACGCTGACCCGCGCCATCAAGAAGGAATTGTGCGTGTTGTCTCAGGTCTCCCAGATATCATATTCACATTAAGATGATTCTAAAATAGCTCCGGACATATGAAGGATGCTCTGCTGTATATTGCCGAGGGCGCGAAGCGCGACGGTCGTGGAGTATGGCGCGATGCCAAGTTGTTGGAACGCTCCATGGCCGGTCTTGGAACGAAAGATGAAAGATTGGTGTGGAGGTGCGTCCTTTCCTTTTGTGGTTACCTGCATAGTGCACGATGTCTGATGATTTACCTTCTACTAGAGTCGTTCGGGCGCATTGGGACAGACAGCGCATGGAAGCTATCAAAGCGTCTTACCAGGCAAAGTACAAAAAGAGTTTGGCCGCCCGCATCAAGGGCGAGACGAGTGGGGATTACCAGAAACTTATGCTTCAACTTGTTGGATGAGTGGTCCGTTGCCGGTGTCGTTTCTCTCAGTTATCACCTGTACTTGTTGTTGAAGATTACCTGTACTTGTATGGAGAACCAAATCCTCGTAATTGTATTCGTGAATCAGTGGTATCGCCCTTATATAGTCGTAACGATGGCTGCTTCTTGCAGAGACTCAATTTCTATTGTGGAGAAGCCGCAATCCTCCAGGACCACTTCGACTCTGGACTTTCGGCCAGCTAACCAGCTTTTCAACAGAGGTATCTGGTCTGCTAGTTTATTGGGGTCGAGCGTGAGTTCGGACCGGGAGGTTGATAATGGCCTCGATAAATGGCTTCAATAATGGGTCGAAACTGTAGATTCCAGGAATGGAAAAGACTTGGTGAGCTGATTGACAAAGGGCCCTTCATACTCGATATACAAATGGTTGAGTCGCTCTGCTGATTTGATCACGCCGTCGAGGAGGAAATTGTGTTCTTCGGATCGATGAAGGCCGGGACAGTAACGCAGTCGCAAACCGGGCACCGCTTGAACCTTGCGAGAAATTCGCAGGTCCACCTAGGATGCACGTTGGAGAAATCAAACCAGTGTCGGCTCGTTCAACGCTTCCACCATAGATGCGGATAAAGTACTTTCTTCAGATTGAAAGCGTCATCCCAGATGCCAAATATAATATGTTCTTCAATATCTCTGGAGGAAGCACTTTGGTTCGACTACAAGCCGCCGGCTGCATTGCGTTGTTCCCGCAAGAGGTGTATCTCGGGGAGATGAGCATGGAATTGCTCGTCGAGGACTTCTTCGAATTCTCGTGTCTCCTCCTTGTTCGTGTCAGTATTGCGTGGTCTCGACAACCGTACTAGGATCTTGCTGAAGTCGACTACAGGTGCACCAAGCTAACTTACTCAATCAATCGAAAGAGTGTTTTGAAGCATTGCATAGGTTCAGATACAGATCCGCATGTGTAAATATGTATGAACGAAAGGCTTGAACGATCTACGTTACTAATTAATTGGTTTGATTGAATATCTTCCTTCTCCAAGAGGCGCCATGTCGCCTCCTAGGCTGAGTAGTTGTACGACGAGTAAACAGAGACAACGTCCAAGATCCACCACATTTCTGGGTGCTGTCACCGGAACACGAGGTGTTGCATGATGTCGAACTGATAGTAGCGCCTGTCGCACCGTTGTTCGTTAACGAATTACCACAGAAGCCTTGTAAAAAAGTTAGTTGCTTATGGATTAATCATAGTCCACGAGTAGGCTCACATTGCGATCTAATGAGTGTTAGTATGGTTGTCTTTTCCCGTAAATGGAGAAGGACGTACCCATTTTCAGTCCCTGAGTAGTCGTAGCCGGTGCAAAGAGATTGACACAGTGCAGGTGTCATATCTGCTCTAGTATAGCTTGGCCCAGTGAGGGCGCGCCGGCTCCCAGTAGTACCCTCCGCGACACATCCGACATAGGTCCACGTAGCACTGGTTGTACTTGAGGCGGAAGTGGCTGTGGAGCTTGTTGACGACGTTGAAGCCCGCGAAGTTGACGACGCAGCTGCGGAGCTTGAAGGAGCCGGCGACGACGAACTTGTCCCAGATGAAAGGCGATACAGGGACATCCGGTTAGATCCTCCACAGATGTCGGAAGCTGATGGTAAAGGAGTTAGAAGATTGATCGAAAGGATCGAGAGGAGGTGGAAGTAAACATACCCTGCCCTGAGCACGTCATTTTGCAATCGCTTTCAGCAGCGCGAGCGGCTCCGGAGGCAAGAACGCTGCCACACCTGAGAATATCCATGAGCAACGGACGCCCATGAGATACCGAAACTGCTTACCAGCACTCTTTGCCGTACTCCGTTCCAGCATAGACGAACCCGCGGGCCGAACAAGATGATATGCAGCTGTTCACAGATAGGGTTGAAGACGTTGTTGAACCGCCATTAAGAATCCTCGCATTGCTCGAGTCGACATAGCAGCCAGCATATGCAAACGAGGGCGTCGGGCTGGCCGAGGAAGTTGATGCAGCGGAGCTAGATGGCCTCGTGGAGGTAGAGATGGCGGAAGAAGTTATCGTAGAACTTGTGGGCGTAGGAGACGACGTAGGTACGGTGGTGGAAGATGTCGACGATCCCAGCTTATACAGAGATAATCTGTAGCTGCTGCCACATATATCACTGGCTGTTAAATTGTTTTATGTTAGAAGCAGAAAGTACAAGGTGTTTTACTCACCTTTCCCTGCACAAGGCATTGAGCAGTCGCCGCTTGAAGCTACCGTGGCTCCAGTACGGATAGACGAACCACACCTACCAAATCATGAGTACGTTGTCCTGAATGATGTTGGGAATGCGTACCAGCACTCATTCCCATACTCCGTGCCGAAATAAGTTGAGCCTTGGGCGGCACATGATGCAGCGCAACTGGCGATGGTTTGCGAAGAGGAGCTTGTCATTCCGCCATTCAGTACTCGCGCTTCGGCTGGGTCATTGTAGCAACCGAGGGATGAATACGATATACTGGTGCTGGTTGGCGTAGCGCTGGATGAGGTTGATGTTGGCGTAGGGGAAGACGTCACAGACGAAGATGTCGATGCTCCAAATCGGTAAAGAGACAACCTATTGCCATTGCCACAAATATCGCTCGCTTAGAAAAATGGAGGTCAATTGCGAGTTCGAGATAATTAACTCAGTGTTGCACGTACATTTGCCAGAGCAAGGCGTCGAGCAATCGGAACTCGGTGCTGTAGAAGCTCCTGCACGAATGGCGGAGCCACACCTGCGCAAATTTAAGCGTACTTCTCGTGAGCTAGAGAGAAAGAACGCACCAGCACTCGCTCCCATACTCTGTCCCGAAATAAGCAAAGCCTTGAGCTGCACACGATGAAGCACATCCAGCGACGGTTTGCGAAGAGGAACTTGTCATGCCGCCGTTCAGTACACGCGCGTCGCCAGGATCAACATAACAACCAAGAGGAGCGTAAGAAAGGCTCGTGCTTGTTGGTGCAGCGCTGCCCGACGAAGACGTGGGCGTAGCGGATGAAGTAGAGGAAGGTGGGGTAACAACAGCCGCTAGTAATCACATCAGACTCATCCCTAAATATGCCATCAGGACAACGTACATGCAGAGTCAACATATGCGTTGTAATTATCTTGATAAGGGTAGGTGAAAGTCAGCAATGATAAAAAAGGCAGAACGTGTATAACACAAACGCACAGGTCACGGGATTCGTTATGAAGGTGTAACCGGCCGGGGAGTAGTTGATGATAACCTGCCCATTCTTCGTCATCGAGACAGTAATCTTCCCCGGAGATAAAGGAAGCTTGAGCTTGTTAACGCCTGCGTTGACCGAGAAAGTTTGCGTATTCGTTCCAGACGTAAGAGTGACGCTACCAGGCGACGTGGCGAAGACGACGGCCCAAAGTGTATCCTATAAAGCAGAAACGATTAGAAACGAAGCGTCAAGAATCAAAAGGGCCATACCTGTACCCAATTCCAACCTGAGGGCTTGCCAAGCGAATCGGAGCTAGCAGTTGCGGCGACTGGATGAGTACGGGCCCAAAAATAAATGACGTCTTTCTAAAGACGCAAGGACGGTTTCAGTCAACCATTGTTGAAAATATCGTGGCGAAGATCTCACCGTGATAGCGGGGTATGAGCCGGTTTGGAACGCGGTGATATAATATTGGGACATGTCGAACCAAGCGGTGTGGGGAAGTCCATTCACCCAATTCGTCCCGGATGGCATGGCCCCTTTAACTGGACCCATGCTAGACGAGCAGTCACGATGATGAGATACTGGCTATTGATTGATAGAGCCAACTTACTGGTGAGATTCACCGTAATCATTCCTATGAGCGTAGAGAAACAGATTAATCCACACTTGTAGTCGAGACGAGATGAACCCACCAGCTGACTAATTCGGCGAATGTGATGGTATTGCGAAACGACATGAGCTGTTCCCAACGGGTTACGAGGAGCCAGTTATCTGAATTGTAGACAATGTTCTTATAGTTATAATGGGTGCTGAACAGGATGTTAGCACGGGAAGGATCGTGAAGAAGTGCGAGGCTCACTAGAACCAGGGACTGATCGTCGCTGAGTAACGCGTGCCCAGTTGGCTTATATCTACACAAACGCGTGAGTTCAAGGCTTTGAAACCGGTGACGGGATATTCACAATAGTTATCGTCGTCGGTCTAATCCGTTGATCAGCAACGCAAAAAAAGAAATACTGGAACCACGTACGTTCTTGGTATAATCTCCTTGAGGCCAAGCACAACCCCAACTAACGAACGTCAGCCTTCCAGTCTTTGAACGTCAAAGGGAAACAACGACTCACCAAAGCCACGAATCTAAACTAGGCCAGGACGAGAATTTGCCTTCTAGATTCGGTATAAATGGCATCAGGTAACCGTTGGTTTGATCCTTGATAGCCTGCCAGCCGTTATTGCCGAAACAATCCCCAGAGAAACTCGAAATCATAGTCTTGCCGTTCACCTTGAACTGATTGGGGTGGTTGACCCACTGGTTGGTGCGGGAGACGACGTCGGCTACGTCACATGGCATCTCAGTGAAGTCGAAGGAAATGAAGAGTTTGAGTGGGGATCCAACGGCCGCGGCGTAAGCACTGGCAATCTGTCCTCTTTGCCAGTCCGAGGAGCCAATATTGAGAGCAATAGCATCACTAAGATAGAACTTGAATGGGCATGTATGTGTAGATTTGAGGAGAAATGCTTACATCCCTTTCGCCTGTATTTGGCGAATGTCATCCGCCCAGTCGGCTTGGGTGTAGGGGAATCTGAAGTAATGTTAGCATGATTTCCAAGCTAAACGGTAGATTTCGCGTACGTATCTAAAGCAACGGACGGAATGAGTCAAAGGTCACTATTGAGCACAGAGATAGACTTACTGCCAACAATCTACACGGAATAGGGGTAGAGGGGTGGAATGGCCAAGTCAACATGCGAAGCAGGAGACAGAGACGAAAGACGTACATGATGCATGAAAACATATTTCGTGCCATCGCGCTTCACCAACTCTGCAGGATCGTCTCCAGTGAATGTTGTCGAATTCCCGTTCGATAACACGTAAGACTGTTGATTATTGGCTTGAGCGGGAGGCCTGGTGATAGAAAGTCGAGCAGCAACGGTTGAAAAAAGCAAAAAGCAGGTTGAAAACATAAGAGAATGCATGCTGGTAGAAGGGGAAAAGAGTGGAGGTTTACTGATGATAAGTCAGTCTTAAATATAACGAAAGAGCCGGTGGCTGGCAAACACGTCCTCCGTCGGGTTGGCTGACACCAACGGGCTGTGGAGACGAACAGGAGCGTTAATACTAAGGGGCTTTATAGCAAGTTCAGGTACTCGCCTTCGATGCCCACGCCGAATCGACAGTCATGGCTCCTGTATTAAATTTGATTTTAGATGATCGAGAACAGGGCGAAGGTTATGCTCGCTCGTTAGCGCCCGCTCGTGACGTGATGCCCGGTATCGCCTCTACAAGATACGTCTAGCCAGGAGTAAGAATTGCTTGCGGCGGGACATATTTTCTGAGAAAGGGCCTTGAATCACTTGCGCGCGACAGTATTGCCCTTAATCGAGCATCAGGCGCACTTCTGGAAATCAAAGATAACGAATTAGAACAGGCTTCGTAACGGCATAGCAACTACTGACTGGCACGTAGGATAAATCGGCACACTGATAATTCCCTGCTTTTAGATTACCGGGCCACCGCTGATAGGCTGCTTTTGCCTCTGTACCCTTCTGTACCTCATCGAAAGCCATGAAGGGGACGAGGTCTCGTATCTGCATCCCTGAAGAGGCCCCTGAATCACCCAAAACGAGCGAAAAGCAAAATCTTCAAGACGCGTAGATTCGACGGATACACGGTATTACGTGCAAACTAAATAGAGTGGTTTCTGTATGAGAAGCAACAGGTCAGAATTCCGCGACTTGGCTTCAAGCAATGATTTCCAGAGGCGCACTTCACCTGATAATGAACTCAAACGCGACTCATTTTTTGAAACGGCGGCCAGCGTGGGTCACAAGTCCCATCTCGAAAGTGTTACTGTTGGCAAGTCTGCAGAAACGCGAGTCGTGCACTGGTTTGATGGTCGACATGGTCGTTGGCTGCGCTATCCGCGTACATAAAGCACGAGACACGTAGGCCGTTTTGTGCACACGGTGGCAGGGCCTCCCCAGATTCGCTTACCTAAGCAAAGCTTCCTTCTCCTTGCACACTCAGAGTTGTTGCGCCTTAGCACACTCTTTCTCATTCTCTCATCTTCTCGGTCGGGTTCACCATGCTCCTGCCATGGACCCTGCTCCTCGCCTTCTTTTCCCAACAGAATCCATCTTTTGTCTTTGCTGCGACGCCTGCGAAACGCTTCTATGACACACACAAGTATTATGTTATTGAGCATAACCCACGAGCTCCTTCAGGTGCACCGCTGGACGTTGTTGCGCGCTCATTGGGTGTGGAGGTTGTGGAACGGGCGGGGGAACTGGAGGATCACTGGCTTGTCCGAGCACCGAAATCTCGAAGAGAGCTTGTTTCCCGAGCAGAAGTTACCGACCACGTACTCGGCGCATTCGAGATCCTGAAGGCTCGGTCGACTTCACCTCTCTCAGCCCGCTCAGACGAAGAGGCCCACCACGCACGGAGTATCGTTGCTTCTGTGAAGTTCCTTGCTAGACAAGAGCTTCGTAGACGTGTGAAGCGGGCACCACCACCAATACGTCCGCCAGATAACACGTCAGCGAGTTCCAAGGCCGTCGCCGAACGGTATTCTATCAAGGATCCGCTATTCACTGCCCAGTGGCATCTAGTCAACGATGAATACCCCGTTCACATGATGAATGTTACAGGCGCTTGGGATATGGGTTACACGGGTAAAGGCGTCATCTCCGCCTTGGTGGACGATGGGCTGGACTACCGCAATAAGGATCTAACAGATAACTTCGTATGTCCTTGGCTCTTGCCTCCCTTCGAATTCTTGGAATAACCGCTTAGTAGGATGCTGCTGGCTCTTACGACTTCAATGACCACACTGACCTTCCCACACCGAAAATGTTCGATGACCACCACGGCACACGTTGCGCTGGCCAAATTGCTGCCATAAAGAACGATGTCTGTGGTATCGGTATAGCATACGAGTCGAAGGTCGCCGGCCTCCGAATCCTCTCTGGACCTATTTCCGACGTAGACGAGGCTGCCGCCCTCAACTATGGCTTTCAGAACACATCAATATACAGTTGCAGTTGGGGGCCGCCTGACAATGGGCGATCCATGGAAGGTCCGGGCTATCTAATTCAGAAAGCTGTTGTTAACGGAATCAACAACGGTCGTGGTGGCAAAGGATCTATCTTCGTCTTTGCGAGCGGCAATGGCGCGGCCCACGGCGATCAATGTAATTTTGATGGGTATACTAACAGCATCTATTCCGTCACCGTTTCTGCTGTCGACTACAAGGGCCTACATCCGTACTATTCGGAACCTTGTGCCGCCAATATGATCGTGGCGTATAGCTCGGGAAGCGGGAAACACATTGTTCGTATATTTTGTTATCCATATCTGGCTCAAATTGAAATTGACCGTAATTGACCATCTGTTTAGGTGACCACCGATATGGGCGAGAACAACGCGTGTGCGACCAGCCATGGTGGCACATCGGCTGCTGCACCTAACGCGGTTGGCGTCTTCGCCCTGGCGCTTGAAGCTCGGTGCGTTACTTTATGTTACGAGACGTTTCGTGGTTGATGCTCATTTGAAACTTATACAGTCCTGACCTTACGTGGCGAGATATCCAATACCTTTGCGTTGAAACCGCTGGCATCATCAACCCCGAGGATCCGGACTGGGAACCCACCCACAGCGGTCAACTGTATAGCTATAAATATGGATACGGTGTACTCGATGCATACCGTTACATCACCGCGGCGAAGGATTGGCAGCTAGTCAAACCTCAAGTGTGGTTCGCGCCCGATGCTGTTCAGATCAACGATGGGAAGATGACCAAGGACGAGAAATTCTCTGGTGGAGAGCCTATTGGTCCGAGTGGAGTCAAGAGCTCAATCAAGGTTACCAGAGATCAGTTGGATAGCCATAACTTCGACAAACTCGAGCACATCAATGTGAAGGTCTGGATCTCGCACTCGAAGCGAGGTGATGTCGAGGTGGAAGTCATCAGCCCGAAGGGTATCAAGAGTGTTCTGGCCGGCGCGCGTTACGGAGACATGGCGGACACTGGCTTCCCTGGATGGACTTTCATGTCCATCAAGCACTGGTGAGTTTCCCCCCCGCCGGTATCAGTATGAATATATCGCTGAAACAAAACAGGGGTGAGGATCCTGTCGGCGATTGGACTATCAAAGTTTCAGACCAGAAGACACCCAAGGAGAATGGTACATTCCATGGGTGGAGCATGATGTTCTGGGGATCAGCTATCGATCCTGACAAGACTTCGAAGTTCGAGATTCAGCCAGATGACAATCTTCTTCCCCCATCTCTTGACCTTAATGCGCCAACAGTCACCGTGCATCCTACGTCAACCAAGACCCACACGAAGCCTACCGCTCATCTGCCGCCTGATCACGGCGATGCCGAAGGCGAGAACAGCCGTCCTGCGTTCCCTGGTCAAGCGGATGCTGCGAACCCCTCCGAAACGGCCAAGCCCACAAGCACACCAACCCCAGATGAGGGGTGGTTCTCGGATATGTCGAACCTTGTTTCGAGCCAGAAATGGCTGTTTGGTGCCGTTGGTGCCGTGGCGGTCTTTGGTATCGCTACCCTCATCTTCTTCTGGCGACGTAGAGTTGCACAGAGGAAACTCGCTACGTACACTTCCCTCCCCGGCGGTGATAACGTGGCGATGAGCTCGTTGAGAGACGGTGCCACGGGTGCGCCTCGTACAAGAGAGCTTTATGACGCATTCGGAGAGGTGTCAGATGATGAAGAAGCTGATGAACATACGCAATTGCGTGGGCCTGGCCGCTCAACTGGCGGTATTGGCTTCCACTCAGGATTCTTGGATGACGACGATCCATCGACTGCAGGGCCAACACCAAAATACAGAGACGAGCCTGATAGTGGACGGACACCTAGAGAACCAGAACGCCAGCCCACCGAAAATGTGCCGTCAAGCCCGAGTGGTAGCGGGGACGGAAGTTGGGAACATGCATCACAAACACGATAATCAGATTTATATGTTATTCTAGCTCTCTCGCTATCTTTCGGATTACATTATCGTATCATTTCTATTCCCAGAAGTTCATGCTTCGCAACTGCGCTCTATAATGTGTGCCATTAGAACTACAATATACTGATAATTGTGAGCGTATAACTTACACTCTGAAGGCCTGGACAAACAAGGACAAACCCAAACTGAGTTCCCGTCACGTCTCCGTATTTTCTTCTCTTCGCGTCGTCCGACGCATCTAATCTTGCCTCTCGATCCATGCTAAACGAAAGAATTCTCTCCAAGTTTTGAAGCGGAGGGGTTCAGGTATAGCAGGCTAGTGGGTTGGTTTCTTTGGTTAGACTGCAATTTGACTGCGATGGTCCCTGACTAGGACTTTCCAATATTAGGCACGCGCCGCTGGTATGCGCCAGGCCGCCATCGGGCTTCTACCCAGGAATGTACAGACGGCTATAGTATTTTCAACGCAATTTGGTTAGATTGTCTGGCCCGTCGTCGCCTATATGCTCGCCACAACCGCGAAGCTAGGACCTTGACGGATCAACTGACGGCTAATGCATTGGCCCAAAACACTCAACGAGACGCTTGCCGCTGTCAAATATGAAGCTTACGGAGAGGAGGTTATTGTGATCGTCGGGGATGGGAACTGTTTATCCTGCGATGCGACAAAAGGGATCCCGTTAAGAAGTGGTCGTTTGAATAGTTCATCCTGGTACGTGTCTTTCGATATTCCCCGTGCTCTTTTTGTTTAGATCTCATTAGCTGTGCTGCTGAGCATTGAATTTATAGATTTCGATATCGAAGCTATGGCCCACAGACTCATAGTGCAAGAGTTCAGGCCCCCTTTACTTGTCCAGGGGGGCCCCTCTTTGACCACAGTATTTGGTAGCCAAACTTTGGAATCACGGCGAACTCAAAGGTTCTCGTAAAGGCGAAAGAGATGAAATGTCCGATCAGAGTCCTTTTTACAGAATTACGACAGAGAGTGGGAAAGGCGATGTAGGCGAATGTATATATGTGACGGGTACCTCGATACGATGCCTTGAATCCCCCCCTCCTCACCCGCTGCATACTGCATCTCTCGAGCGCCGCGTTTCAGCACGCTAGCCAAGGAACACACCCTGGTCCCCCCGTATTCAGCTCACGCACTAGATGCTACTCCGTCTGCCCGCAGAACTCGTTGCACGTATTGCCCTCCACCTCCTCGACTCGCAGCCATTCTACCCGCCTCGTGCTCTCAACTCCTTGCGTCTGACATGTCAATCCCTTCGCCAACTGCTGGACTCGAAGCATTTCAAAGGAAAGGCCTTTGGAGTATGCTTTGACGTGGGTAGCGTGGGTAGGAGGAACTTCGTGGCGGACACGGGGATGCGGGCTGATCAATTCGAGGTATGGAGTCGAACTGTGCGTTCGATCTCGGAGAAGGACGTAAATGAAGACGAGCCTGGCGACCATGCCCCCTTTACCCTCCTCACTACCTACCCCTGGGACATCGGGGAGACCTTCCTCCAGGCCTATGTCATGCTTCTCTCCAACGACGGCAAAAATATCGCGCAGCTAGAGCATGCTGGCCTTTATTTACTCCTCCGAGCGTACTTGAAGAAATATTTGTACAAAGGGGAATTGTTGGATAAAGGCTGGCCAGTTGAGAGCTTGGAGAATTCCTGCGCATTGTGGTTGCTGTGGATGATGACTACTGAAGAGAGACTGAGCAAAGAAAGCTTGGAGGAAAAGGAGGAACTCGTGAGCATGATACTGCCATGGGTCATGGTTCCGTTTAGGGTGCGTAACATCCCGATCACCGTTGTCACCGTCGATCATTTCCATATCTTTACGCCGTTCCGTCGCTGACCCGTTGTCCACAGTATTCATCAGCACACGCTCCGCCCTCCCACTACACCCTACCTCTCGACCAACATGGTCAAAGTCGGCAGCGGTACAACCTCCCACATACCGTCACCACAGCTCATGGCCACTACCCAATATACGGGCCGGCCGTTCTCCCTGCTCCAACTTCTCAGGCAATTGTAAATCTTCCATACACCCGAGGGAATTATCTCGATGTCTCCTACTTCGGCACTCGTTGCATATTCTCCGCCCCTCCACCCTCAATCGCAGCCAAACTGCTTTACTTCTCGCGGCGGAGAGTTGGGTTTCAGATACCGCCGCATCTACCTGCAACGCGGGCGGAGGCAATTCGACGCGCACAAGAAGCGTGGGAGAGGGAGCAGCGGGAGAATGGGCGTGTTATCGGTGAAAATGGTGTGGTGTGGGACGGACGAATGCCTATCGGCCCGACAAAAGAAGATATGGTAGACTTGAACGCACACCAGAGTACCGAACTTCCGATGCGGTCTAGTTGGTACGCCGGTTGGAATGGTCTAGATGGTAGGCTCGCTCCAGAGTTATATCTGCATTCACTGATCCTCATGCTTAGCACTCACCGCTCCTCCATCGAGGTGGTGGGACAATGACTACTATCGTTCAAGATACTGCTACAATGTCTTTCTTGACAATGCTAGAAGAGGTGGCGACGTGTACACTCCCGGTATGCTAGATGGATTATGGCAAGGCCGCATGCTTGTGAGTCGCCCCATTTATTTGTATTCTAGCTGAGTCATTGATTAAACAACCTCACAGATCCCCTCCGAGCACATATTACGCTCGATCTTAACATCTCCTCGTCTTCCTGCAGATCCCAATGCCAGAGTCGAGGGTCAACCCGACTACCTCGCTGAAGTCACCTCGGCCCTGCCCCTGATTATGCGTTTAGGGGAGTATCATTGGCTTGATGGCAGTAGGCGTCGGAAGGATCGGACGAGATTAACGATGCAGCAGCCCCTTGAGGATCGTCTTAAGGCACTGCACCAGGAGGCCGCTGAACCTGGAGGTATTGCTCGCTGCGCCAAAAAGGTCAACAGGATTGACGAAGGCATGGGCAACGCATGGTTTCCTCACGGTACAGATTTTGCCGTCGACAATGTACGTAGTCCCGTATCTCCTCTCAGCGACCTTTTGTGACCGTTGCGTTCTATTGTATTTCGTGTTGTTTCGCAGGATGACATCCATGTCAGATCCCCTCCCTCGGACTTTGTAGCGCCAATGCCATCTCAGTACCAGATACGCAACGTCGTGCCTTCGCTATACGAGAAGTGTCATGCCACGGAGTCCAATTCACACGATCCCGAACACTGTGCGAAGTGTTTAAAGCGAGAGGTCAAGATGCAGACGAGGAGGCGGGCGCTAGCCGCGGAGAACGAAAAGGCCATTGCACAACGATTAGGCAGCGATGAGGTCGAACGCATATTCGAGAGCGTTGGCTTAGGTCGTACACAAGACTCGATACTTGAAATGGACGTCGATGGTGACGAGGATGGAGAGGATTGGAAGGACGTCGATTCTGAGGATGATGAAGACGGCGACGAAGTCATTCAAGAAGACGACCCCCTCATCGCTCCCCCATGTCACGGTGTCCGCGACGTCCTCATCCACGGCTCCTCCGACCTGCCTCACGCCCTAGCCTGGCATCCCTTTGTCTTCCGTGGGCGCGTACGCCCTTGGGACGGTCTAGTCGGCATTCTGCGAGTCTCCAAAAACGGCGCCTTCACTGATACGTTTTTCTACGGTTATGTCGTTGGAGGCAAGAATTTCGTGGGGAATTGGAGGAATGTGGGTGCGGAGATGGACGCGGGAGTTCCTGCATGGGAGGGCGCGTTTTCGATGAGCAAGAGGGAGTGAAAATCCGCTAGCGGTGTATAGTATCCGTTTACCATTTTACATTGTGCTTGGACCACGGACAAATGCCCATCATATATCAATCTTCTGCATTTATTAAAAGTATTCCATACCCTATGTTTGCATTTACGCACCTGTATTTGTGTCTTCTTTCACGTATGTGCCGTATTTATGCGGATGTAACGCCATACACGTACACTAGCTTCGAATATCTCTACTTGTAATACCATACACTGTGCCAGTCTCCACTCCCTCTGAATCCTTATTTCCACAGCAGGTAATACTTTCGAGCGAAGAATGAAGAAGCATAATACATGATATACTAGTAAGAAATACAACAAAGCAGAACAGATTTGCGCGACAATCTAACCCAAGATCCATGAACAGAGTAGTGTACTACGAGTCGTCATCAATGAAGCGTAGTTTGGCGCCATTCGCCACCCGCATCCAGATATCCATTGCTTCGTACTGTAAAGAAAATACTGAGACGATGATCACGCCAAGAGATGTTGGACTCACATTGGTAATGGTCTGCATAAGCTGAACCTCCGTGTAGCCCGCCTTGATGACACGAGCACGAATATCGACCATGGACAACTCTTCATCATCTTCGTCACTCTCGTCGGAGTCAATGTCCATGTCTCGCTGTCCTCCAGGTCCCTTACCCAGTCGCTTTGTCTTTCTACGTTTCGATTTACGTGTGCTCGCTCGTCCAACGCCCGCCATTTCCTTGATGAGTCGGAAGATCTGACTGGTGGCCGATTTGTCTGGTTCGAACTCCTTTTCGTTATCTTCTTGAAGACTCTCTTTGCTACATTCCATCAATCGCAAAGCCTCATCGACGTCTTCGACTTCAACGGCATCGGCGAAACGAAGGCGGGCGAGTGCCTGGGCGAGACGCAGAACGCCGAGGAGCGTTCTGGCAGAAGTATAAGTATGTGCCTTTTCGTCGTCCTTGGATATTTTTCGCAGACGGACATAAGAGTCGACAATGTAGCTCGACACATGAGGAGGCACGGTTGGGCGCTTCGTGCGAGCGATGGCGATGTAATGTCTATCGAAGCGGGTGTCAGACAGGTTTGCATTGCAGATCAGAAATTAAGGACCTCATTGTGTGTGGTTCAACGGGCTCGATATCAAGTTGTGGATGCCGACTGTGCATGTGAACATAGGTGACATGCTGCGCCAGTCGTTCATCGTCTTCCCTCGATGGTTTATCTAGGATCAAGAACAGCAAGTCGAAACGAGAGAGCAGAGCAGCAGGTAGATTGATGTTTTCGTTCGGCGATACTTTGGTGTTGTACCGTCCGTAGAGTGGATTAGCGGCGGCAAGAATGGAAGTGCGAGCGTTGAGCGTTGTCGATATGCCAGCCTTCGATATGGAGATCGTTTGTTGTTCCATGACTTCGTGGATGGCCGTACGATCAGTCTCCTCCATTTTATCGAACTCGTCGATGCAGCAAATGCCGTTGTCAGCAAGAACCAGAGCACCGCCCTCAAGAACCATCTCGTCGGTTACGGGATCTCGCATGACCGCTGCTGTAAGCCCGACGCCAGAGGAACCCTTTCCGGTGGTGTAAACGCCTCGGGGAGCGATTTTAGAGATAAACTTCAGCAATTGGGATTTGGCAACACCGGGGTCTCCCATGAGACAAACATTAATGTCTCCTCTGATCTTCATACCATCCCCAGTTTGCTTCGACACCCCTCCAACGAGCAAAAGAAGCAACGCCTTTTTCACGTCTTCATGTCCGTAGATCTCAGGCGCGATGCTCTGAGAGAGTTTGTGGTAAAGGGCCGGATCCTGCCTCAACTCTAGGATACTTTGATGAATCTCGGGCGTCATTTCCATGTCGCTGTACTGCTTCTTGAGTTGGTAGATGTAGTGAGTTTCGAGGTACGTATCAGTTAGAAGACCAGCACGGATGGCTTGGAATCCCGTATATGGAGTCGGCAGGAAAATTCCACTCAAGTGTACAACATCACCAGGATTCACCAATCTCGTGAGGTTTCCGTTAACATGGATAGTCATAGAACGGGGGATGTGGCCGACGGGTACTTGATCAGCCTAATGTAAACGGTCAGACCAGAGTAGCTACATGAAAACACGACAACGCGCACCATCTCTTGGATTTTGACCTCCTGGAAAGGGCTGAATCGACACGCCCGAGTTTGCATATGTAAGGACCCGTGGATACCATTTTTCTTGCACTCTGCTTCGTTTTGGCAGTCGACTATCGGGTTGAATGTTTTGTTGGAGATGTCTTGAAAGGTCTCCGAGCCACAGACGTCGCATGTGTAAGCATTGACGAGCAAAAGTGGTTTGACTTCGGATACTCTTGTTATAATTCCTCGAACCGTGATGAGCTTGCCAAGCTGGGCGCTGCGAATTTCGCGAACCGCTAGCGGAATTTCAGAATCCAAAGGCTTAAAGTATAAGTTGCTTCTTCTGAGTTAGGCTGAGGATATTGAGGATAAGAACTGTGGCACGCACTAGCGTCGTAGGAGATGATCTGGAAACCCCTCTGGTGTCTGCTCATTTCGCTCTCTGCGCTGATGAAGAATAACATCTATGACTTCGTCCTGTTCGCTTATATCCTTCGTCGGAGGCGGTAGTAGTTTGTCGACAACCTCGCAGAAGAGGCTAACATAACGACGGGTGTTTTGTCGTATCCGGGATACGAGCCGGGCGACGGTTCCCTCGAACTGAGCAAGGTATTAGCAGTTAGAAAGGACGGAACCATATTGGCGAACCTTATGTAAATCCTCCAAATCGATAACCAACATTTGCAGATCACGGTTAGCGATTTGTTGCTACCACGAGGATGCATGAGAAAAGACGCGTCAAACACGGTCCACTGGCTACATACCAGTTGGTGAACGTATTTCGGAGTCTTGTCCTGACTATCGAGCCCATCCTGAACGTCGCCGATGTCCAAAGTTGCAATGCGACGCGTTACATCTTCCTCGATTGTGAACTTTGTAAGGAAAGTCTGTATTGTGCCTGCAAGGCATTAGCGGCGTAATGTTGCCCTCATCAATGATAAGCGTACTCCTCTCCTCCTCATAATCGACGTTAATGGGGACTGTTGGCAGGGACATCTCGACGCGACGCGGCGGTGGTGGTGGATGAGATGCAACGGAGTTAGAATATTTGTGTGTTGCGCCGCCGCGTGACTACAAACACTCCTTAATCTCAGGCTCTCCCCGCACCGCTGATATACCCGTATAATTGCTGCAGCGCTGACTGCGGAGCCTGTCCGTATCCTTAGCGAATGGTTCTTTCTGTTTCCCCCCGGCGTAAATCGTACAAACGCGTCCTTAGTTCTCCCGACGAGTCAGATGCAGGAACAGAATCGAAGAGGACCCGACTCAGCTCGGAGGTGACGATCGTTGCATTCCGTGAGAAGGTAGGACATCTATAGCACACGTTTCTATCTAACGAACCCTCAGACGATCACGAATCAAGTTCCGCGGGTGTCCCCCGAGTCGTTCAACCAACCCAATCCCTTCGAAGCGTTCGAGGAAACAATCCCCCCTACGGACGACGATGCGGATCTGCCGCTACAAGTCAAGGCAAATACAAGTTTTGCCTTGTGAACCTTACCCCGAGCTAATTCCAGGACCAGACTTCGGGCACCCTTTCAAGAGTGCGCAGACGGCGGGGGCTCGTTTTGCCAGAAACTTCGAACTCAGACGTCGATGAAGATGAACGAAGCACAAAGCGTGCCCGACTCGACTTAGTGACGGATAGCACTCCCTCGGAGGTGGGTAATCTTACGATGTAACTAGTTTACCAGAGCTGACCGGAACGGGCTACATAGAAATACAATGCCCTGCAAGCGTCCCCCACAGTTTCCGAGTTTGAGGCATCTGGGTCACGCCATACGAGAACCTCGCGCCTGACCAGAAAAGACACTTCCAAGGTACGAATGCCCTATCTGCAAATAAGCAGTGTCTAAGTTACTGCACAAAGGGCACAGTTGTAGACGAGGACGATGCTCTCCGGATAGAGGGAGAGACTCCCCCGGATGAGTACGACTCGGGAAGCGACGACGATATTCCAATACGCGTCCTCACCAATTTCTGCATATATGAAGGATCACATCCGGGGGAACTTGTGTTCCCCGACCCTTTACTTGCCGAACCCTTCCCAGAGGGCATCTTTCGGGCCTCTGGCAATGTTCGAGCATACGTAGAACCCGACAGTGACGAGGAAGAGGACGAGTCTTGTGCCGCCGCAATGACTACAGTTGGGCCTATGGTACGACTGTCGTCTATATTGGAGTTCAATTTCCATGATTACAAGAATCGTGCTTTCAATAGGTTCGTTCGCTTCTTGTCACTCTGTTATTTCATCGTGCTAACTCTGCTCAATAGACAGCTGTATATCCGTACCCAGTTCGCCTGGTATATCCTCGAGGAACCGTCCCCCGCATACCTCCCCCTTTACACGAATTTCTTCAGAAATCATGAAATACTTCACCTCATCCTCAAGCAGTGTCTATCAGATTGGACATACACCCGAAAGGACCTCGGAGTACTGCTGCGCGAGCTCGAACCCTGGCCCTATGTGGCGGCTTTCGGAGGACCGCTGCAAGTATCTGATTTACAGTCGGAGTCCTTTGTGAGTGGTAATTTGACAAACCAAACTCTTGCTAATTCTTCCTCTTTCAGTTGGCCTACTGCAGCAACGTGCTGGAGTCTGTCATTAGTTCCTTGCCTCGGAAGGACTCGCGAAAATGGAAGGGGATCCCGCTGATTCGCGAGCTCCTCGAAGGTTACCTTTCAAGCGATGAGGAATCCTCAATATCCTTCTCGACGATTCCTTGCCTAGAGGATGAAGATAACAGCGTTGATATTAAACCGAAATTCAAAGGGAAGGGTCTCGACACCAAAAAACACTCGAACAAAGAAATGGAGGTACTGAAGCACCGGAATCCAACCGTCGTCACACCCATTGTTGGTCGCATTTCAGGGAACGTGTACAACGGTCACCAGCTCGTCGTCGCTGGGGAGCTCGATTCGAACGAGGACGACCATCCGAAGAACGTTACTTTCGCATCGGAGACGCCAACCCACAAATTCGATCCTGAGAGTATAGAGTGGGGAAACATTGTCCATGAGGAAGACGGGACAACATATTTCGAAAGTGCAATCCTCGACGGCGTTGAATATACGGTGCGCTCTTTGCCGTCCAACTATCGTGTATGAATAGACCAATGTTGTATAGATCGGCGAGACGGTGATAGTCAACCCGGGCTCAGACAAGAATCGAGTACGGGCGAACAACCACGAAAGTGATCCTGCGCAATCAACTAATATCTACGGAAGTTCTTACTGGTTCGCGCCACCGCAGTGCATTTACATAGAATACATGCTGACGCTGGAGTTTCTTTTGCTAGGTTTTGTCGACTCTGCTACTTCTTCGAAGACCCTGAGGGTAACAAATGGTTTCACGGCCAATGGTTCGTCCATGGGTGTAAAACCATGCTTCAAGAGACAGCACATTCGCAATCACTGTTCATGATCAACGAATGCGACAACAATCCCCTCAGCAGCATCTTCAAGAGATGCACTGTCAAGATGCTCGTTCCTGATGAGGAGGAGGTTCCTGAGGTCTACGACGAGCCTGACAGCACCTCGTTTTATTGCGGGTGAGTATGGTGACATTCAATAGCGGGCTAAACTGATAACGTTAGTCTAGACTTATTTGGGACGAAGAAGCGACAGACTTCACTGACTTGCCTCGACTGACGGACGTTGAGGCTGCCCTCGAAGGTCTACTGCCGCACAAGGGTTGTTACTCTTGTGCAATCAAGCGCCAGCAGGATGTCTTCAAGGAGATTAGGCGTATACCGGGAGGCTACAGTTACCTCGGGCTGCGCTGCCATGTCCACGATTACGTGTATATTGTCCCGAGGTCTCATACATCCCTCCTTCGAATTGGCCAGATTGTCAGCATCAAAGGGATCCCAGCTGAGCCAAAGGTTGTGGTGCGCATGTTTCAGCGGTTTGACGAAGTTAGCTGGGTTGGTACCGATGGTGGGGACATGGAGCCACTATCTGGACTTGTAAAAGACGAGGTACGGTTTCATAGTTTGAATTATATCATTTCCCTGACCAATAATGACATACAGAGATGCCTAGTCCGAAGCCAAGTCATGAAGACGTTCCATCCTCATGAAATTGACGGTACATGCTTCGTTCAATATATCACAGACCGGGATGAGATCGAAGAGTGGGTAAAGCATGACGACCATTTCTATTTTAGTTCAGAGTGCAATGGCCAAACCCTGCTACCGGTGCCAGCAAACTCAAGTCATAGCTGCACGGCGTGCGTCAATGACCGAATGGACGTAATAAGTAAAGCTGGTCTTGTCCGTCTCCGAAACCAAGCACTTTGTGGACTGGAGCTTTTTGCTGGTATGTTCAGCTTCCTAGCCACTTAGCTTTCATTGCTGATGTGTGATAGGTGCCGGCGGACTGGGCACTGGCATGGACATGTCAGGCTGGGTGGAGACGAAGTATGCAGTTGAGTTCTCTCCTGCAGCAGCTTCCACGTACAGGTGGGTGGGTTTGACTTCAATCCCATCGCAAAGGCTCACATTTTTGGATAGCTTCAATCATCCAAGCACTCAAGTATACTGTCAAGATGTCAACCTTCTGCTCAAGTACATCATCGAGAGGGATAGCGGCGAAAATCCGGAGTATCTGCCATCCGAGATTGGTGGCCTTTGTACCTCCCTTCCCAAGCGTGGAGAGGTAGATTTCATCTTCGGTGGTATGTACCTCTTCTCAATTCCCAATGATTGAAGCCCACGGAGATACCAGGTGCCCCTTGTCAGGCATTTTCAGGCATTAATCATAGCAGGGTAGATTCTATGTCTTTATTGTTTCTGCCGTCGCTAACAGATCACATAGCGGGCGGATGACATTCGCTCAACGCTTGTCTGCAACATGTTGAGCTGGGTTGAGCATTATCAGCCCTCGTACTTCCTTCTTGAAAATGTGCCGGGGCTGCTGTCTTTTCCGCTGCTTGCCGAGCAAGGTGAGAATGGCAGGTTGCTGGGGGGCATTGTAATGGGGGTGGTGAAGTTTGTTCAGAGGACGTTGATAGCGCTTGGGTAAGCTAGATTAGAAAAACTATGTATGATCCTGACCTTGTCCTTCGTATAGCTATCAAGTCAGACACAAGGTTCTTGAGGCTGGGCAGTATGGTGCCCCTCAAGGACGTCAGCGGGTGATTTTCTGGGGAGCTCGCCGTGGTATTATCATTCCAGATTTCCCTGTGCCGACTCATTGCTACCCCAAGCCAGCGAAATTCTACAAGCAACCAATCGGCTGCCCGCTACGTCCTGCAACGAGGTCCAAAGACCCTGACGTTTGCCACTCATTCGCTCCTATGCGCGCAATCACTGTTAACGATGCAATTGGGGACTTGGTGCGTATTGTCTCAGTTCTTTGTAACTAACTAATGATCCGTTGCGATACACAGCCTCCATTCGACTGGTGAGAGCCCAGAGGACTAGCTCCATGCTGAACATTTTGTGACACCTTCATAGGAAGAATCCTCATAATGCGATCCCTGAATCTGCTGAAGACCGTCAAGAAGCCAAGCATCGGATTTCCGTTCTGAAGATCCCTTCGTTTTCGGCAGTCAAGGGACAGCCCTCATGGCCAGGCTATGTTGACCCCATCGAGTACCCTTACCTTCCGATGAACCGCTTTCAGAAATGGGTTCGCCTGCCCAGGGGAGTGACTGCAGTGACGGACGCGCACTTCGACAAAGTCTCGCTCCATTATACGGCCACATTCACGAGTATATTGGTGGAAAGGTTTGTGTCAATCATAACATTTTAACAGGGAGCCAACTGATACCCCCTCAGAACAGTGAATATCCCGTTGAAGCCGCTGGCGGATCATCATAGTACGTGAATTATTTAACCCTCTTACGAGTGATTTATTAGCCAAAGGTCTACCCCCCGAACTGAAATTGAACGACACACGGACCAAGCAACATCATGGTAGGTTAGTACAAAATTGGGAGCGCTAACACGCTAACGACGTTGTCCATAGCCTTCTTTGGGCGTTTGGACGGTAACGGTCACTTTCGCACCGCGATGACCCAAATGAGCCCGAACATCAAAGACACGTACCCATTACACCCTTCGGTAAGTGGTCATCCAGTCCGCGATCTATGTCCTAAACGTTGCCCAGCAAAAGCGCATTCTGACCGTTCGCGAATGTGCCCGCGTCCAAGGGTTTCCCGACTATTACCAGATGCGATCGATGAACAACACGACTTCCAAAATTGTGAACGATGTGAGTCTATTGATTACGGGTCCTTTGGCCTGAATCTAATGGTCGCCTACAGCAGCATCGGCAGATCGGTAACGCGGTTCCCCTTCCACTGGCTTTGGCATTGGGAAATGCACTTGGACAAGCGATTGTCAAGACGCAACTCCAGAAAGACAGAGAGGGTAGCCCAGTTATATAGCGAGCATCTATCATTATATATATGTACATACCTGTATTCACTCTTGAATAACTTATGAAGGCGATCTCAATTGTTTGAACGGTCGTGTCATTGTACCGAAGGACTAAACATGAGTAAAAATTATCGTAGAATAGTTTTCGGTTTCGAAGCCAAAGAAGATGGTATCCTCCTTGCGACGTCGTTGCCCAACACGTCGCCTGTCCCGTCGTAGCCCTTTCTCTCCTTCCAGGATGACGAAGATGCAGCAGAAGATGTAGACGAGCGTATACGTGCACGCCGCAATTCTTCGTCAATGCGCCACATCCCGCGAATGAACGCGTCTTGAGTCAGAGAGCCTGAGCCAGAAGGATCGCATTCCAACCTAATACATAGGCGTCAGCAACAAGATATCAACCATCGTGCCATCCCACTCACCATATTCCTCTTAAACGATCACGATCTAACCGCGACTTACTCCATATAAGACGCACCACGCATCCCTCCAATCGATCTTCCCTGTCCGACCTAGCAAGATCTTCCCATTCGTCGTCCTCGACCTCGGAAATGCGCTCCTGTTTAAGCTTTCGCGCTCGGACGGCCGACAGAGGCTTATCGTCCTCTTCATCCGTGGGCTCGTCAACAATCCCCGTGATGAGATCAACGCTCAAACCTCGCCAGCCAGCTGCCTGCCTGGACCGCCTAGCCGTCTCGGGATTGGTTGCTAGAGGCTTACTGCCTTTACGCTTGCCCGCTCGCCGGGAATCCCTTTCGGCCCTTTTAACCTGTTCAAGATTCAATTTGAAGACGGCTTCGTATCTCTGGCGGGCAGCTGCGGGGACAGGAGTTGGACGTAATACAGCAGCTTGAACCTTTGGGCTCGATGTCTGTCCATTGAATAGGGGCAGATGTAGTTTGGATCCAGGCTGAGACTCTGCAGATTGCATAACAACGAAACTACTGCGGGATGTATTAGTGCTGACACTGAAGATGGAAGAACGGTCTGAAGCCGAATTCGAAGTGAGGGAGATTCGCGAGGATGCCGGGCGAGTGGGAAGGATAGGTGGAGATGAGGGTTGTGACACTGGAGGAGAGGGGTACGAAGATGGAGGAGGTGGCGGCGGTGGTTTGCGCCTGACCGCGCTAGGGATCACAGTGAAAGAGGATGATACTGAGTCAGAGCTATGTGAAGATGATGCAGAACTCATGGGTTGCATCTTCGGTGACATAGGCGCCGATGAAGAATGGTAGGGCATAGATGATGATGCTTTGGACCCAGGAGACTTGCTCGTCGACGAAGCGGGCCGTTGAGGAAGCTTTGGTGGTACAGGAGTGCGCGGCGTATACGGAAACTTGTTCTTCGACAGCGCTCTTTCCCAGTCCATGGTGATTATGGCATTCGTCGCAGGGCTACCGATGGAAGACGAGGAAACATTCTCAAAGGATTCGTCCAGACTAACTGCGTCGGCTTCTCTACCGTTGATCAATGTTACTGGTCGGCTGCTCGTATCGCCGCCATGGGCAGTAGAGTGGAATTCGGCTCGTTCCACTGGATAATTTGCAATGTGCGCTGATGATATGGACCCTGGGGTACTAGGATCATAATCTGTACCACCATCGGATGAGAGAGAGACGGAATGGAATGATGATATGGAGGATGCAGGAGCGTGACCCAGTCCAGTGCGAAGTGATCCACTACTAGCGCTACCATTGCTTAATGAAGACGTGTTGGTCGTAAGGCTCAATTTCGGAGGGTAAGTATGAGGCGGTTCCACGGTGAGAGAATCAGACCGCTTGGAAGACGAAGAGGCGGCGTCCTTCAAGGACACGAATGAAGGTTTGCGAGGAGGTAATGGCGGCGGCGGCTTATTAGACTCGTGGGTTTGCTTATTGTTATTACGTGTGGCTTTGAGCTTCGGGGGAGAATCCAGATTTATGAGTGGCGCACTGTTGGAACGGTTCAACTCATTCCCAAATCCCTTCTGTGTGGGTGTTGGAGTGTATAGATTCCCCTTCGTTTTTCTGCCTGAATTGTCATCCAGCTCCACTGATGGCCCATCGTCCACAACCCAGTCCCTCAGGTCTATCAACGACGGTTTGCGGTCCATACCTGAAGAAGACCCAGAGGGTGACCCGTGCGATGCTGAGGGAGACTCTTGCGGCGCCATCGCTTTAAATGACGAAGCCGTAGGAGACAGCGGGGTCTCCAGCAAACTCGGCGGCGAGTATTTCGTATATCTCATCGATTCGAATTCAGAAATCCTCGACTGCACGGTCGAGGCCATATTGGAGGCCCACGAAGAGGAACAATGGGCAAACACAGGTGGTGTGCTGTCCGCAGCGAACTTTCATGAACTATATTCCCGGTGAGAATAGAGTGCGCTATGTGAGCGAATTTGCTTACAATATTTACAGAACTTCAGCAACTCCAATGAACGAAAGTGAGATGTGGCAGAGGCAGAAATGCGCAACTGGCCAAGAGGAGATGATGAACGCACTAGTTCAAGGGATATGAGCTTATGTAAGCCAACGTCTCTTGGATCTCCACCATGGCTTCCCAATCGGCTGAGAGCACAAGCGAACTCTACGCGGTTGCAGGAAAGGACGGGGCTGCTTTATGTGTGATATTTCGCTGACATTACGAATAGATTTCTGCTTGATTCCAATAGGAACTGGCGAGCCATCAGTGCGCTTGATTGTCAAGTCAATATCTCTGTGTGGCCATATTCAACGGTGCCATCCTCTAGGTTGCAGAGTACATTGCTGAATGTCACCGCGTGCTCGAGAAATCGGGCCTGAAGTTTCAGGTACTTCGTGAGCTAATTCAACGCTACCAGAACTAACTTCGTCACAGATGCAGTACGTCGAACTAGCTGCAATTATCTCAAGCTGAAGGCCCTGAATGAATGTACAGTGGGTACGGAACTAATCTCGGTGAGCTTGGAAGTCCGTATCGTTGGTCCTCCAATTTATAGGCATAGAGGGACCGTGGTCACAGGTCATGCAAGCGATAAGAGATTGCCATGCAGCTGTTCATGTGAAGGGAGCGCCTCGCGTTGCTACAGACATTCGCATTGGCACTCGTGTCGACAAAGAACTCGTGCCTGGTCATGGTAACGAGGATAAGCTCAAGCGCGTCCAGCAGATCCTTGCTTTCGATAACAAAGAGTAGAAAGAAGTGTTGGTTTATATATAAACTGGTAGATAACGTACAAATTATATCACTCCTAGGTCAAAATTTCGGTGTAGGTAGATCATCCCACTGCACCATTGGTCCAGGGTCCGGGGCCACTTGCAAGGAACTCTTGAAGGAGGAAGCATCTTCGAAGTATGTAACACCTGGCCTCGGTTGATCCTCGTCTTCTCCCTCCACTGGGTATCTCTTTGCCAGGGCCTGCATCTGAGTGACGAGCTCCTGAATCTTCTCTTGCGGTAGGGGAGCAGCTAATTTCCCAAACACGCCTACCCAATATTTCGTAAAGTCCGCCGATGATATAGGACCATCCTCTTCACCCAGCGTGTCTTTCCAGGACTGGGCATCCTCTGGTGATATGCCCGCACTTTGGGCCAGGACTTCGAACGCCTGAGCAGCAGCGTGACTAATCTTGGGTGGCCTCGGCTTCTGCGATCGCATGTGCACGGAAAGTTTCGCTCGAGAGGGTGACGAAGGGTGTACATAAGTGAGGAACAGTGTCAAGACATCCTTCTTTGTGACTTCTTGAAGTAACTTCGCATCGGCTTCGTCTAAGGTGTGAAGACATCGAAATCAGAAAGAAATCGAACCGAGAGAAAACATCGAACGTACTCCTCAAGAAATCAAGATGTCCGGTCTGTATTTGTGTCAAGTAGCGTGACGCCTCCTCGCTCAAGTTCTTATCTGCTTCAAGCCATTTTCTTTCCAACCCTTGCTTCTGCTCTTCAAACTGATCTTCCGGCATCTCCTCGATCACAGCTTTCATGCTGTCCAAAAACGCCTCTACTCGATCCTCTAGGTATCCGGGGAACTTCTCACTTTGTACGGTGATACGCAGGCCCTTCTGCGCGGATCCAGTCAAGAGCCATTGCGAACAGAACACGATATACCCGAGTTGCTCTTTCGTTCTGAGGACATTAAACGCCGGTTCGTGCAAAATCTGCGCAAGCAACGCCGACGCCACCCGGAGACGTTGATCTGTTATAGGCCCAAAGTTAAGATAATAAGTTAGGGCGGAGTTGGCTTGGTTGGGGTTGGGGATTGTGGAGACCCAAGTGTAGTTGGAGGCTGTGGAACGTTGGGCGTCATTCGCAATTCTGCAGGCGGAAGGAATAAACTGTACCAGGAGGTACTACAAGGGAGTGTCCAATGAGGGCTGACTGGGGCGCCGACGTTGGTTGTAGGCTAGTCTCTACCGTCTCAGCGATCTTCATTGCCTCCTAAATGTCAGAATGAAGATCAATAGGATTCTCGCACGAAAGGGAGGTAGCGCACATCTTTGTACAAGTTGCCAGCAACCAGTATTTGGGCATGCACGTCGATCAATAGTGCAGCAATATGTTGTTGAAGATCCTCGATAGTGACCGCTGCATCATCAAGGTGAGATGACTGTACACAAACCTATAAACATACTCACAAGGCAAGACGGCAAGCTTCTCTTGGTGGGTCCACTGTTGTTCGGTGAGTAAATACCGAGCATAATATTCAGATAACTGGTAAGATTGGCCAAGGAAGAAATTCTCCCAGTTCTTCTTCGCCTGAAAATAAAACTAGTCAGTGATTTCATACGACTGAGATACAAGAACAAAGCTATACCTGTTCCCTCATAACGGCGAACCGTTCGGGATCGATTGCGAGAGTCTTGATCTTCTCCAGGACGTGGTGAACGAGGATGGGCATCTTGTCGTTGTACCCATTCAGCGCTACATACAAGCCCCCAGTGTGTGAGATGCAGTTGTACTGAAGCCCAGCCAAATCCGCGTCATACGAGTACTCAGACAGCGCGTCCGTCACCAGATCAGAGTATAACCTTGAGCGTGGTAAATCAGCAAGGAGGCTGCCCTGTATGAACTAATTTGCTTACTTCGTCAGCACGGCTGCCTTTGCCGTAGCATTGGCAATTGGGCTGGAAAAGGACTAAGTTGAGTCTTCTACATGACTACGCAAGACGGTACCTTCGAAGATCAACGACCACGTGTGCTTTGGGTACCCAGAACTTGTCGTCTTTCTTATGCCATAAGGAAGACAATGCCGTTTTGCGGACAAGATGGGGTCGTTTGGCTGGCTAGGAGCACATTGTCAGCAACAATGAACGATCATGAGAAGAATCTAGTTAAAATCTACCTCTGAAACATCGCGCTTATCTACGTCGAGGTCAGTGGGTATAAACTCGTTAGGTCCTGGAAGACGGAGGTCGGGAATATCGTTTGCTGTTTCGGCCTGTTCTCAGCCTCTGAATCAGTAACTCTCGTGCCAGGGAGCGTATAGGCGCACCTCGCGCACGAACTCCTCGTCGAACCTCTCAACTTTATACTCAGTTCCATACCAAGGCTCCTTCTCCCAATTGGCTCCAGGGCTCAGTTTCTCGTGCTCCGAACCCTTCGCCATCAACACCGCCCGCCCTCGAGTCACCCTAAGCCCATCCAACGTTTCCCTCATTTTCTTCTCCTCGCCATCCTCGCCCTCGTCCCATTCCCACGTGAGTTGTGGTCCGGCTAAGATCAACTCGCGAGGGACCGGCCAGGCCATGTGCTCGGACACCCATACCGCGTAATCATCCGGTCGTCGTTTCTCTGCGAAACGGAAACGAGTACGGGATATGGTGGCGACCTCGCGTTGATGCCAAGCGGGGAATTCGGAAGAACGGAGTAGAGACAGATACTTGAATGTGGCGAGTGTAACGTCGCGGTTGTGTTCTACATGCGCAACGATCGTTGAGAGACGGGTAAGACGGGTAATGACCTAGGAAAGAGAAACTCACTGAAGCCTTCGTCGGTAAGATGGATCGTGACTTTGAACATGGCGAAACCTCGAGCGAGATTCTGAGGCCCGCTGCTGAGAGAAGTAACCCATCCCTTGTTCTTCAAGTACGAATACAAGGAACCAGGTCCTTCGTGGCCTACGAAGTGACTCAAGAAATTGGCAGGTTTGTGGCGCCAGAGAGGCGGTTGGTATTCCAGAGGAAACGAAATCTCCACAGCGTGGAAAGACATGATCGTTTGCACCGAAACTTGAGTCTATCATACCAAAATGAGTTACAGCATACATGCACAACAAAAGGGTCGCGACATACGCCCATCTCGTTTGGTCCAAAGGGATGTTCAGTGATCATTGGAAGAGCGTCGCGACCGCGATTCGGTATGGGCGAAAATAGCTTCGAAACCATTTCCGACAGTTCATCCAGAGATTCTAGGAGAGTATGACATATACATCAAGCGCGTAGGGGAATGTGAATATGGCTTACCACTGCCAATGACACACAGGCGCATTCGGCTGGCGCAGTATTCTTTCGACCACCACTCGATTAACCTTCGCCTAGTCTCACGTCCAACGGCGCCGCCGTCAGCCTCCGATTCGCTTCCAGAAGAGACAGCAGAGGGTGCCGGAGACGGTATGCGGGATGGGTTGGGAGAGGGCGCGAGGCTTGATGTTGCGGATTCCAGTTTTGTCGCGTTCCCGTTTGTGATTCCATTTGCATTCCCATTTGCGTGTCCATTTGCCTGTCCATTTGCATGCCCATCGACCAGTCGACCTTTGCTCTTAAGCTCTTGACCAGCCTTCGATAAACTTTCTCTGTTCCCGCTCCCGAACTTATTCCAGACATGCCCGGGTCGGCTCAGATGTTTGTTAAGCTGGAAGATACGCCACATATCGGATTGATGATTCTTCTTGTGCTCGGAATCTACGGCATTGAGTTCACGAGAGGTGCAAGAAGGCGAAAATAGAGGACAATGGAAGAAAGCGGCGAAACGTGCGAGTGCGGGAGCCAGAGCGGGGGTAGCAACACTGAAGTAATAGTTGGTGTTTGAGGTGGAGGTGTAGGCGTTGGACCCGCCATTGTTTTTGGCGAGGAACTGAAGGACTGTTAGTTGACGGATGATAATCTAGAGTGTTCACACCTCTGAGTACTCGTTCTCGCGAGGAAATTGTTCCGTTCCCTACGTCGGAAGTCAGTATTTGATGAGACATGGTATATTTGAAGCTACCATGAACAGCAAGTGCTCGCAAAAATGCGCAAGGCCAGGCATGTCATCCTGAGAAGCAGATCAGCTTGAGTACACAACAGTCGAATATGCCACTCACTGGGTCGTACAAGTGCCCCACTGCAACATCGAGACTTGCGGCAGCCTTGTCGGCGTTGGGGTCCCGCACCACCATCGCCTGTAAGCCATTCGCCAGTTGGATGAGCCTGTATTCTCTATTGTCCTGCTCCGATTTCTCTATAGGCTTTGTGAATACCGAGTATGGGGGTGTCAAACTCGACGGCTGTGACGGCGTCCAGTCGGGTTGAAAAGCGGAGGTAGCCATGGTCGAGCGCAGCAGCAATGATCCACGTCGGAAGGAGGATCCACTGTTTAGACGGTTGAAGATGAGGGTTCGTGCCACAAGACAACGGAACATCCGACCTGAGAACAATAGTCCTATAACAGAGCAAGCAGAACCCTCGCAGTCAGTCGATAAGAAAGAGATTAAACTCTGCTGTGAGGGTCCTCACCTCGGCAGCTTCAACAGCTGACGCGAAGTTGATCCCGGGTATATCGTGTGGCGTCTAAAGGCGCAATCCTGTTGTATCGTGTGCACTGCGGCTGTTATGCTCACTAAAACCCCTGTGTTCAGACATAGAGGCGCTTCTATTTAGGAAGATTATTTTGGTGGAATACTATAGCTTGTACTCGGACGATTCGTCTGGCAGGAAACGAGCACTCTTCAGCAACGGTGCGGGGAGTCGCGCTCAGTGGTTTGATCGCGCGATGAGCTGAATTTGCCATTTGTTCTTGGAACGATGAACAACATGACCCTAACCCTAAAGCTTACGATTCTATGGCTGAACGAGGGACTATGGAAACTACACAAGGAGCTGGGGAAAAGGAAGCTTGGAGTCTTCATGATGAGTGGCAATTGCGACCCAAACACACGGCTCAAGAGGCTACATTATCACGCCGTGCCCGATTGCATTGATAACGACAGTGATGTGTATGGAGAGGACAGAATTGGAAAGCGCAACATAAAATGACAACAAGTTAGGCATATGAAGTAGAAAGCCGACCGATGAGATAGAGGTCACAAGTCGAGATGCTGAGACTCGGGAGAAGAAACCCTTGTGAATTGAGCGATGATAGTACGAAGACAAGCCGAGGGCGCGCTTCATTTGCGCCTGACTGCTTTGCCTGCGATGTGCTGCGGAGGAATGTAATCCTTCCGGCGCCGAAATAGGAGAACGTGAGGTTCAGGCGCTGTATATAGGAAGAGAATAGGGCTAGTAATCGAAAGGTACACGGTCTGCTACAAACTACTCACCGTGTACCTCGTAGTGCTCCCATCCCAGACTCTGGGTTATCCCTATGCCCCTCCATTCTTGTTCGGTCAACAGGCGCAGCGTGCCAGCATCTTCTGGGCTGAAATATTGTTTCGGGATCATCTTGAGCAGCGGCTTGGGGAGAATGACATGTCGATATTCATACATATCGTCCGAATATCGATCAGAGTAGTGTATCCTAAGGATCAAGGTTAGCCACCATCCCTCGCAAAGAGCAAGCTACATACATACTTCTCGATATACTCTTCGAGTTTCACCTGGGCTTCCTTCTGAGCTGCCGCAGTCGCCATTATCGTGGATGGTGAATTGGTGGACAGTTGCAAGTGGTGGTGGCACAGCTGTTGACTGGGATCAAACGCGTTCAGTCACATCCATCACGTACCGTGACGGTCATCACGTGAGACAGCGCTTTCAGTTTACCTCCTGATTGGCACAGGTAGCGCTCTCCCTCTCTCCACCATCTCGTTCCCAAGAAATGTATCCAACGCAATACGACGACCCAGAAAGTCCAATCAGCAACTACTTGCCTTTTGGTGGCGTCAATAGCTCTCAGTTAGAAATTGGAGGAGCTGAGTATTACGACGATTCCGAAAGTGAGCCAGCTTCGCATATAGCCCAGCTAATCTCGCTGAAGTCCAATTTAGTCTACACATCGTCCCCAACTCCCCAAGAGCGGTGCAGGCCAGGAAATGCACAACGAAGTAGTCAATATGGGTACTCCGATCCAGGACGACAAATAGTACCCTCCATATATGATGAAGAGTCATCGTTCGACTACCCAGAGCATCTACCGCCGGCGAACTATGGATCTGCACATAATTCAGCGGTGCAACCAATGCAACCTCCTGCTAGCTACTCCTCCGCACATGGCGCACGAAATGTCACGGCTGAATATACGCAATACGACGAAGATCGTTACCCTGGTTCTTCCTCTTCGTACCCCAGGGGTAACTTTGACCAAGAGCCCGACTATCCTCCTCCACAAGGCAATAGTACTCGCTTGATTCCTGTATCCACACTCCGTAAGCACATATTTATCGCAGGTGAATTCCGCATTATATATGCGCTTGAAATAGCCGATATGTACCGTTCCTTGTTCAAATTCGGCGTCTTCAATGCCGTACAATCGTCTTGCTTTGATCACGTATGTATTTCTATTGGTATCGTAACTTATCGCTGACCTCGACCGAACCTGACGCCTATCCATGTCGAATAGGTCGTCAACGAAAATGACAATATAGTACGTCCCCGTCTTCCCTCTTGTTAAAATATACTTAGACGTCTACAGGTCCTCAGTGGTGCGTACTACGTACTCTTCTACGTGGGCACCACTTAGGAGCCCCTTTGATAGCTCCCACTGGTAGCGGAAAAACTGTTATATTTGAGCTAGCTATCATCCGTATGTTAACTAAAGCGAGGGAAACAAATCCGTTGGCCAAATGCGTTTACATGTCTCCCACTAAAGTTAGTACATTCATTTCTACACGCGTCTACCCCTCTCATACCGTATTCCAGGCCCTCTGCTCCGAACGCTTCAGGGATTGGTCAACCAAATTTGACCCCTTGGGTATCAAATGTGAGCGTGCTGCGACGACGCGAACAAGGACAAGTACTGATCTTTGTTAGGCTGTGAGTTGACGGGTGATACCGTTCAGTTTGGAAAAGGTGTATGGGGCGATGCCAAGAACGCGGCTATAATGTACGTCCTTGTATAGCCTCCGTCTAACACAGTTACTCATATCTTCAAGCATTACGACGGTACCAATATTCTTCTTTGCTCGTGCTTGTGCTCACTGGGGTTCAGCCAGAAAAATGGGACAGTCTGACGAGAAACTGGTTGGTTCTATTCTATTCCTACTGATACCCTCCATTAACTGATCGTAACTTTAGGAAGGGACATGGCCAGACCCTTTCCACCATCCAATTATTCCTAGTCGACGAGGTCAGTTCGCCGTTGTGCCATCGTTATGCATGTTCAAGGTGCATATAGGTTCATATTCTCAACGAGCCACGAGGTAGCACCCTCGAGGTAGTAGTTTCACGCATGAAGCGGAACGGGACGGAAGTTCGCTTCCTGCTTGTCTCTGCCACCGTGCCAAACATCAGAGACATCGCGAGTTGGATCGGCAATTCTCGGCGCGACGGCCCTTCTCTGTGCTTCGAAGTAAGGTTCAAACACCCAACTTGTATCAATGCTGAATGCTATCTCGCAGTTTGGAGAAGAGTTTAGACCGTGCAAACTTACTCGCCACATATATGGCATACAACGGGGACAAAGCCAGAACGAGTTCTCGTTCAACAAGATACTCGACTTCCGTTTATTCTCCTTGATTCAAAAGCACGCCGTTGATAAACCTATCTTGGTCTTCTGTTCGACGCGGAGTGGTATTTTAAGTCACGCTGTTGATCCGTCCGAACACTGAATGATATTTCAGGGGTCCTTGCGACGGGACAACAACTCTATAAAGAATATACAGACACAGAGATTAAGAAGCAGTCTGTGCCTTGGAGGCGTCCAGGAAGGCGAGCAAATTGCATATATGATCAAATCTGCTTTCTGACAATGAATAGAATCAATCACACTTTCCATGACCAACGGCTGGCAGGCGCGTCATGGTTCAACCTTAATGAATATTATTTTCACACTATGCAATTTAGAACTTGCTTCCATCGGGATTGGCGTTCATCATGCAGGCTTGAATCTTGACGATCGACGGGCTATAGAGGATTTGTATCTTAAGAAGACCCTTCGTCTGGTGGTCGCGACTTCCGTGAGCGCATCCCTATCCATATGACCCTAACCCCTAATGAAACTCGTAGACGTTAGCCGTTGGGGTCAATTTGCGTATGTGCTTTCGCCTGCCAAAAATACTCATGTTCTCAACCTTAGCTTGCAGCGGCACATATGGTCGTGATTAAAGGTGTCAAAACTTTTCAGAACAGCGTGACAGTAGAATACAGCGACTTGGATATCATGCAGATGCTAGGACGAGCGGTAATATCATCTCTTATGAACAACAGCTCCTCGTTTTTTGCTCATTTACATGCGCCAGGGCCGCCCCCAATTCGGTAGATTCTGCGGCATCTTGCTTGGGCTTTCTACTGATCGTGATTCAGATAAGGATGGTATAGCAATCATCATGTGCGAGACCGAGCTGGAGGAGAAATATCGCAACTTGGTTCAAGGGAAGACCATCCTCGAAAGTGGCTTGCATGCTAACCTTTCTGAGCATCTGAACTCGGAGGTGGCTTTGGGGACTATCACCGATCTGCCCTCCGCGAAGACATGGCTTCGCGGTTCATTCCTGTTCCAACGAATACAGCAGAACCCCAAGTTCTATGCGTTGGGAAAGGAGGACAACCAGACTTGGGAGGAACGCGTTGACGAGATGGTTATGCAAAGTATAAATAAGCTTCAAGAAACTCAACTTATTGACTACCACGCAACCGAGGGGAGAGCAGGTGGGCTAGCCTCGACTGAATTTGGCGACATCATGAGCAAGGTAACATCATTTTAACACTTGATCGCATCTATTTTCTCACCGATGATAGTTCTACATTCGTCAAACTACGGCATGTGCACTTGTATCGACTTCATATACTTACGAAGGCTAAGCTCGTTCTAGATGGCGTTAATCCTAGCTTTGCCTAACAAGACCACCCTGAGAGAAATAGTAATGGTGCAGTAAAACTTATTCCGACGTTGGTCTGACTCTGCTTTCAGCTCGAGGCGTTGTCGGCTGCAGAAGAGTAAGTTAAACCATCCTATAGATCACTCCGAGCTCATGCTCCCAGATTCTCTGACGTAAAACTACGGGCGTCCGAGAAGACGGTGGGTCTAGTCTCTTCGATTCGACGAGCAGTACTCACATGGCCGTATACTAGCCGCTCAATAAACTGCGAACACACAATGACATCAGATTTTCAATCAAAAGGCTAGACAAGCCTGCTGACAAGGTCTTCTTACTCTTGCAAGCGATCTTAGGTGGAATATCCCTGAACTCCCCGGAATACAAGAGCGCGGATAGTCAGCCTAACCTAGAAGCGTTGGGAATCTTTAGGCACATCTCTCGAATCGCTAGAGGTCAGTTTATGTGTTGATATCTCAAAGACAACTGACTCTTTATACTCTGAACATGCAGCCTTAGTCGAGGTTGCCATCGTAAAAAAGCTTGGGTCACAGGTTAAGTGTGGTCTAGAAGTGTATGTGATTGTATCATCATCTCGTTCTCCTTAATTTGACATTATGACATAGACTACGGTGCTTGACCGCCAAAGCATGGGAGGATCGCCCCGTTGTGTTGCGTCAAATTGAACAGATAGGAGAGAAATCGTGCGTGCAATGCACTTTCTAAGAGTCGTTGGCTGATACTCTGAATATATTGCGCCAGGCTAAAGGTACTGGACCTGCGATGTAGGAGTCGGGGACGCTGACCGATACACAACATTAGGTCCTCGCAGAGCACGGCGTCGCCTCAATTGACTCCCTCCGCGTGCAGGACACCTTGCGAATAGAAACGGTACGTGGTTTTGGTCAGTCAACGTGGGAAAGGCCCTCCTAAGCCCCTGAATATAGCTCCTCAATCGAAGACCACCGTTTGGGTTAGATCTGATGAACTCGCTGAAGTCATTTCCTCAGTATTTCATAAAGCTGAAGGAGACCGGGACATCTACGTATGGGGGCGAAAGCCAAGTCGAGGTATGGGCCATTGATATCACCGAAGTACAGATCAACCAACACGAAGAAGGTTAGCATGGTTATCGAATGCGGTCTCAACGCCGAGTGGGTAAAGCCCAAGACAGGGAGGCACAAGACCAACGGTGCAAGTATGACATCTATCCTCACAGTAACTTCGGACATGGTGTTTATTGATTACCGACGCATTCCGTACGTTGGTTCACAGGCACCCTTCCGTTGCTGACATCTTCCAGGACTAGCTTACTGAATGAGAGCAAAACATTCGACGTCACTGCCCAACTCGACAAACCAAGTCAATCCATTGTGGTTTACATTGCATCGGTATGGACAATTAGCAGTTTGCTTAGGCTCCGCTTAAAGTCCTACCAGGAGTCTTTGGCTGGCGTGGGGGTCATTGAATCATACAAACCAAATATCCCCGTTCAAGAGTTCCCAACCGTAAATACTCGGCCTCTTACAGCTGTCGTAGGTCCTCTCTATCTTCGTTCGTATCGTGCCGCTAAGCCGCGTAGGAGCAAGACCTAGTAGGACTTGACGATGACCCAGACTTTTGGAACATGGCCATCGATGATGACGAGAAAGAGGACCTGAAGCCTGCGGTTGTCAAAGACCTCACTAGAGACAGGACCTCAGGTACGTCTCGACTCGTTAGATGTCAGCGTTATTTATTGTTGGCTCTGACAATCCAAAGGCCAGCAACCAAATCCATCGCCTTCGAAGGCTCCGGATACACCACCTAAGAAGATGCCGAACGGCAAGTATCAGTGAGTGACTCGCACTTCATTGTTTATACGATCGCTCCCACTCCGGTCCAGGTGCAACCATACTTGCAAGGACAAATCCAAGTGTCGCCACCTCTGGTATGTCTTTTATCATTTAATGCACAAAGCCGTAACACTTGCAAAGCTGCCGTGAGGGAATGGAGGAACCTCCAAATCTGAAGAAGCGCAAAGCCCCCGAACAGTCGCCAAAGAAACCCCCGTCGTCTACTTCCAAGAAAAGCTCAGGGGTATCTGCTTTTAGCAAGGTGGTCTCCTCTGCAAGGAAGGTGGCTCCGCCCAAGCCGAAGGACGAGCCTCGCAATCGCGTTCTAGATGACTTGGACTCTCTCCACAAACGGACTAATGTTGCTAGTAATCTGGGGCTACAGAAAGACAAAAGAATCAAACTCACTGACAGGCCTTCGTCTCCCGTTCCTATTAAACCGAAGCTGGCGCCTCCGAAACTGGACATTGAATTTACGGACATCAAGCAGGATAACAACGGATACGTTGACCCAGAGGCTGAACTTATGGACGAAGACGATCTCCCCGAAACGCATGAAATTTTAAAGTCAATCAGACCAACCCAGGATGCCTCCTCCGATTATTCCAACGAAGACATGGACGCACTCATCATGGCTTTATCCCCGGCTAAGGTCAATCGTTACAGCCGGGCTTCTCAGCCCGCTACGCAAGATACTCCACCTAGGAAACGGCCCAGGTTATCACCGAATATTGCCAGCCCTCTCGTCCGGCGAAAAGGCCCAAGCCGTGAGGTAAGTATCAATAATATCGCTCTAACACAAGTAGGTATATGAGTATTGCATTCCTAGAGATATATCAGTAAATCGAAGAGTCTGTTCCTCGATACATCTCAAGACGAAGACGAAGACGAAGACGAAGACGAAGACACTTGCTACAATCAGGATACTCTCGACGACTCTTTGAAATATGGATATGTACAAGATGATGACCTGACATTGGACTGGACTTCTGTGGACATCTTACCTTCGCCTCTCGATACGTCCGCTGGAAGCGATGCCGAACTTGATCCTCCTCTGGACATCCTTCGGAAGACGAACCACTCACCCTCTGTTCAACCTTACGGACGACCCAATCAACGTGTTGAACAAGACCCATATTATGCAAGCGAAATACCAGAAGATACGGACGACTTGGCTGAACTGGCGGAATGGCTGCACAGCGGTGCAGTAGACATCGTTGACGCCCCCAACTAGGTAGTACTAGCGTTGTCTTGTAGTTGAAAAGTTGATCCAATCGATGCCGTTCTACTTACGAATGCTTACCCTCCCAACTGATGCGAGCCAACTGATTTTGGCCAGAATATGTTCAATAACGGGGGGAGGTGCATTATACTATATGGTGGTAGATGAATAATAGATCTATGAGGTAGACACGCCAATGTCGACTTCATCAACGGGCGGGTCGATGAACACTCTGAGAGCATCTCTCAACCGTTCGTCCCAGGCTACTTTTGAAGCTGGTTTTATGATGTCCCAACCAGCCAAATCCTTTTGCCACCTAAGCTCTTTCTTCAGCCGTTCTGCACGTAGTTCGACTTCGGTGGGAGGAGGATTGTCAACCTCTTCTTTGGTCAACTCACGCTCGTTTCTGGCAAGGGCACGAGCGACAGCGAGTTTAGCCGGCAAAGCGTCGTAGTATTTCTTGCGGGCTTTCTCGATGTCGCTCGGAATGGACGAGGTAGAGGACTTGTAGTAAGACTCTACCTTCTTGTCAAAGTCAAGGTCTCCGTGTGAGATGCCCTCGTCTTCCTTTGTTATATCGGCAAAGAGAGGCTGAGCAACTGTGTCGGGGACATCTATGGGTCGTGTGACTTGCTTGACGAGGCGGTAAGCTGCCTCGGCGCCGGACTTGACATAGCGTCTTTGGTTGAAGAAGTCCCAGATCATGAGTGGAACTTGGGCGATGCCAATGTAGTCGATGAAGGGTACGAAGAGGAGAGGAGGAAGCCGGGGTATTGTAACTGGCGGCGCATTCAATGCATCGGGTATGCTGGAAGATGTTTCTGGTTTTGGGACAGGTGCTCGCTGCTGCAACTGCAGAGGCGAGAAAATTGCAGATTTAGGCGGCACAATGGATGTTGGAGACGCCGAATCAGTCATTGGCACGTTGTCTTCATCAATCTCCGGTTCGTCGAACCGACCGTCGTTCTCTAGTAAATGTGCAAGCTCCTCCTCTTGATCAACTTTCTGTAAACCCTCTGTCCAGCCCCTCGACACGCCCGCCATGAACTCTTTGAAAGTCGGGCGACCAATGAGAACTATACCACCCTGTAGTTCCAGTTGGCGTTGCACCTCCGGTGATTTCAGCGTTGGTATGGCCATATTGTACTCTGGCCGCGGGTCCAACCCGGCATTCACCCTTCGATGTGCTTTTATTCCGTCAGCTACGCGGTTCGCGATTTCCCCGTGTCGTTTACCGGTAATCATCTCGTAGTCCACTGCTGCAGCGACGAGAATGGGCTTACAGGCAGAACCTTAGTATCAGATATGCGTGAAATAGTAGAGGACGTACCTTAACGAATCTTCTGAAGTATTTGATACCCACGTCGTAATCCTCGTCCCCAGGCCATTTGGCCCCGTACACAGTGACTTTACGAGCCAAGTCCATGGGGTTGATAGGCTCCTCCGCAAGGTACTGCACTCTCTCGACATATCCTTTCCGTATACGTTTGCATTGCTGGCGGTCGTAGATATATAGCCCAGCTATTGAGGAAGTGACTGTGTAGAAGATGAGCCAATTGCGAGATGGAAGCTTAGGGCGTTTGTCGAGCCATGATGGGGGTATCCCCGTGTACCGCAGAACCGTGCGGATTCCAGAGGAGGAGGACCCAGTCTTCAAGGACGGCTTCGGGTCGGCATCTGGAGTGGACATGAATTACTTGCCGTGGTGGACGATGAGCTCGGGGCGAAAACGCAAAATTCACCCCTGAGCAACGGAATAGAGCGCTAAAAATACCTCCGCGTTCAGCCAGGTTCACAAGCAAGCATTTATGGTGAGTGCTGGCGAAATATTTTGTTTTGATAGAATATATACATATTAAAAGTAATACTAACTGGAGGTTAGTAGCCAAAGTTCTCCCGATGAACCGTCTTAGCATCGACCCCAACATCAACCAACGTCGCCAGAATATCGGTTTCGAACAACGGTGGTCCACACATATAAATTGCCTGGTCAATGAGCGTAGGTCCAATGCGTGTGAAGAAGCTGCTTCCAACGCGTCCAGAATAATTGTGCACGGTGACATTAGGCATGTCCAGTGACTCGGTCGCCGACACGGTACTGAACATATGGATGGTTATACGGATGTGACTATTGTTTGTTCCTAGGGTGGAGGAAACGAGACGGAGAAGGACATCCGGCTCGCGAGTGGAGATGACGAAGGTTATGCTACTCGGAGCGTCCGTAGGCTTCATAGAAGCGAGCATACTAAGGAACGGCGTGATACCAATCCCGCCAGCGATCCACAATAAGGAGCGCCGGGGTTCCTCTGGGGATGTAAAGTCACCAGTAATACCAAGGAGCTTCACCCCAATCGAAAGGGGAGACAGATCGCCCAGAAGTTCCGGCCTGTAATCCGCCAATTTTCGAGCGACCGAAAAGAGAGCTCCCGTCACTGCCCCGCCTGCTTTCTCTCGCATAGTCAGTTCGAAAAGGCGAGTCGGAGTATCTGGAGACGGGCTGGATATAGTCCACGTTCGTATGCGATCGTCGTTGACGGAAGACGGCTTGCCAGAGGCCATGTGATGGTACTCTTCCTCCCCTATGAACGGCGTGAAATCCAGTATAGCGGCCTGGCCTGCTTTGAAGTATATGTCTTCGGAGGTCGTGAAGGTGAATGTGGCTAACGAAGGGCTAAGGATTTTGATGCTTTGCAGTATGGCCGTGACATCTTTCCCGTTGCCTTGAAAGTAAGATGTTAAAGATGCCTCCTCAGCGAGGAGGCGAACTGGTGGACTGTAAGGACTTGGTACAACGGTTGTACCGGGGCGTTGCCTCACGGGGAGAGCGTCTGCTACGAAAATGTATCCGGTGGTTCTAACGGTGGTGAGGGCATTGTGGAACGGCATAACTTTGTGTGCAGCCGGTCCTACTAGTGTTTGCGCCTCACCGGTGAGGTACAGGATGTCACCCCTAGTAAAGGATACGAACGTCAAGGACGCTAGCGGGGTGACCTCTATGTTTCCCAGCGAGGTCATCAATCTGTTACCTGGGGTGACAATGAGATTCCAACTATCTACAGGTTTATCATGGGTAAACTCACCAGAATAGTCCGGGAGAACGATGGTTCGTCCATCGGAAGGCTTGACGCGAATATACCCCCGTCGCCCTCCACGTTGGTTCATTCCAACATGCGAGGGATAGCTTGATTCATCTTCTTTAGGAGCAACGTAAGACGTGCCAATGAACACCGTGTCAGCATCAAGGATGTATTTGATAATATCATCGGGGAGTCGGTCAGAGGGAGAAAGTGATAGTTCGCGATGTATGATCTTCGGGGAAGCTTGAGGGTGGGGAACCAGATCCCGTACATTGATATACTTTGGACAATTTCTGTGACGAATTGCATTGTTAGGTTTAAAATGCGACTGGGTGGATTGCAACGTACCCAATGGCTTCGTTTACGTCGAGTTGTAGCTGGATCTGCTGCCCCTTCTTCTCCAACTTCGATATCCAGCCAGCAAACTTGTTCCGGCGTCTGGTAGAGAACTCGACGCCAATGCCGGCAACCAGCATCTTGTCCTTCTTCCCAAACAGATCCGAGTTCTGGAGCAGAGGATCCCCTTCCCATACCCGAGCATCCAACACCAGTTTTGCATCCGAAGGGCTTTGAATGAATCCAGGCTCCCCGTTCGCGCCAGCAAGAATAGATCCCCATGGTCGACCGAGTTCATCCAGTGTTGTGACGGGTACGAAGGGCAGCCTGGTTACATAGAACTCCCGATGTTGTTCTGGCATGTCCCCGTCGATGGCCGCAAAGGCCATCGCCATCGCTGCTCGATATCCAAGCTTCTCTTGAATAGCCCGTTCCCCCCGATGCCATCCATTCAGCGCAGGCATGTTGGTGTGCAGTCCGAGACGTTGAATGGACACGTCCACCCATGTCCAGTCACTATATATGTTTGATCGCTAAATCAGTCAGCAGATCATCAATGCAGCTGCGCCATTCGGTGTGAGTGACCGAGGAAGACTGGGTTGTGACCCCTATTGATAGGATTTGTTTGGCATGTGTGTGCGAGACAAATAATTGGTGATGAGAATTGGCGCCCACCTTTTCCTCCACTCACCACTACTCCTACGAAATGGCTACTTTGGCGGCGTACGTTTCTTCGTTCATTGCAGATTTCAATTTTTGAAAGCTAATCTGATGCTAATAGTCTCTTGCCCAACCCCATACATGCCCCCACCGTCTCTGACGACGAGGAAGACGAGATTGTTCAGCAACCACAGGCAGCTGCTCCGTCACTCTCAATCATATCGCGGGGAGTGGTCCCTCCATACGGCCAGAGAGCAGGATGGAAGCCAGCATCGCAGGATGACTTTGGTACGTCTTGAGTAGCTCAATATGTTCGCGTCAATTGATCCATTCTACCCAGGGGATGGTGGATCCTTCCCCGAATGTCATGTCGCGCAGTATCCGTTAGAAATGGGCAAGAAGAAGGTGAGCAGTCGGGTATTCCCCCTAGCTTATCTGCTTTAATGTAGTATCGGTTAGGCTTCTTCAGGAAACACACTAGCGTTGCAAGTGGATAGCGAAGGCAATGTTCGGTACGATGCCATAGCACACCAGGGCCAGAGGGCAGGGAAGATTGTACAGTCTCAGTTCAAGGATCTCGTGCCTCTGCAACACCGAAAGGACCTCGACGATGAGGCTCGCAACATGGAACGACCTTCGGAGGATGAAGTTCAAGCTACTGCTGACAAAACACGCGCGGCACTCGAGAAACTGGTGAATGGTAAAATAAAGGCCGCTCAGCCCAAGAATGTTCCGGACGGGCAAGGGAAGACATCCTTCATTCGATATACCCCTGGTCAACAAAATGGGTCGCAAGGTCTCAACCAGCGCATCATCAAAATGTCAGAAATTGTAGAGGATCCTCTAGAGCCACCGAGGTTCAAGCACAAGAAAATTCCGAGAGGTCCACCCAGTCCCCCACCGCCCGTCCTTCGTAGCCCTCCGCGCAAAGCGACCGCTGCAGAGCAGAAAGAATGGATGATACCACCGTGTATATCTAATTGGAAGAACAACAAAGGTTTTACTATTCCTCTTGATAAGCGTCTTGCTGCAGACGGACGAGGGTTGCAAGATGTGAGTATCTAGCCCCATGTCAGGAAGTCAGCTTATGTCCTCCCCCTCCTAGGTCCATATTAATGATAACTTCGCCAAATTCTCTGAGGCTCTTTACATTGCTGATCGCCATGCTCGTGAAGAAGTTCGCCAGCGTGCTTTGATGCAACAGAAGGTCGCTCAGAAGGAGAAGGAAGCGAAGGAGGAGAATCTGCGTCTCCTGGCTCAGCGCGCGCGTGAGGAGAGAGGCGGCATTGCTCCCAAACCCACTGCCGCCAGCCGCGCTGCGATGACGTCTAAACTTGCAGATTACGGTAGCGACAGTGGCAGCGGCAGCGGCTCGGAGGCAGGTTCGGATGATGACGCAGAGGACGAGGATGCAAGGAAGATTCGCGACCAAATGAGGCAAGAAAAGAGGAGAGAGCGCGAACGCGAGATGAGGATGAACAACATGGGAACAGAGCAACGCGCGAAGATGCTTGCACGACAACAAAATCGAGACATCTCAGAGAAGATTGCTCTGGGCTTGGCGAAGCCCACGACGTCAAAGGAGTCAATGTTAGATTCGAGGTTGTTCAACCAGGAATCGCTATCGGGTAACTTTGCGGACGAGGAGTCGTATAATCTCTACGACAAGCCGCTGTTCCATGGCTCTACTGCTGCCGCCGCCATCTACAAAGCGAGAGGCAATATAGAAGAAGGAAACGAGGAGTCCTTCGGTGGCGGAACCGATGAAGGGATCGGAAAGGCTCTTGACAATGATCGCTTTGGACTCGGGCGGGCGAAGGTTGGCTTCGAGGGTGCCAACGATCAAGAGGTCCGGGAGGGTCCCGTGCAGTTCGAGAAAGACACAGGTGATGTCTTCGGTTTGGACCAATTTTTGGACGAGGCGAAGAGTGGTAAGAAACGGGGGCTTGATACCGAAGTGTGCGTACTCTATCATCCGATTATCCAGGGATTGTTCCTTTATTGACATTGCTCCCTTCTTCAGGGGAAACTCACGCAAACGGCGGCAGTTGGAGAATGCTGAGAAAGATTGATTGTCTTTATTCACATCCGCTGTGTTGTATCCCTGTATCAGTATGTGCCTTTTGTTTTATTTACATCTAATAGTTAGATCGCTGCGCTCATTCGTTCGCGGATAATCTACTTCCACGATGGTCGGCGACTTGGGTCTCAACGTTTCAATCATCAATGTGAACCAAAATCCCCAACCGTCCGCTTTGTTATTACCCGGACTCTTACTTTGACCGCAAGCCAGAGACGGAGTGATATATCGGAAGTTCAGCACAACCAATATACTACCGTGACCCGACTTCGTTGCATACTCTTAACCACCGACTCGCCGGTAGCTATCGTAATGGTGTCGAAGAGGTGCGTTTCAATCTGTCAGAGCATTACCAGCCCTGTCATTAACCAGTAGTTTCAAAAGGACGGAGGACTGAAGCCGTGGCATCTTATGACCTATACTAGGCTCCAATGCATATTTGCCAATGAGCTGTCTTCAATATTCTACCGAAGAGATCTCAGGCTATCATTCCCCCAGAAATTATTCCACGGAATCTGGATACGAAACATAACAGCGAGCGCCATGATACATGAATGTCGCATAGGTATCTGCGAACTTCTCCCACTCTCCCCCAGGGCTATCAATGTTGCTGAGTGATCTTCACCACGGAAACTTGATTCAGAAAGTTTCAGTTTTACCCACTTTGCACCCGCTTGCCGTCGAGGTGCATTGTCGCCTAATTGGGAAAGGAGAGCATGTAGACTTGTTTCAACGAAGTGCCCGCATCAACAGCGATACCGACTAACTCCTTCATGGAGGCGATCACATTCTCCACTGGTCAACTGTCTGAAGTAGAATTTCGATGGCGCAGGCTCTCATGAAAGTATATAAAAGCTCGAGGTTCATGGCTAGAGTTTCCTCAGCAGTGCTGGTTACTTCCCAATACATCTACACCTCCCAGAGCAGGACTCTTCCCCCTTCATCCCACCCCTTCCTTCTTCGACGATGCAAGTTACGCTCAAGTTTGCTGCTCTTGCCTTTTTGGCCCAGGCTGCAGTCATCGCGGCGTTCCCTCTATATGGGACCAATGTAATATCGCAAAAGCATAAAGTCGGCTGACACATTATTTCAGGGAGCAAGGACACGACAACGACCTCGAAGTCTGCGGTCCCACAAAGCGTCCTACGGTAAGCGGTTTTGTTCCTCCCGCCGCGCGTGGCCATTCATTTAGAATTTTAGCAACAAGAATGCGAGGTTGCGTGCACACTGGCCGGGCACCAAGGAGCAGCCTGGAATCAATGTGTATCTCAGTGCATGGCTAACAACTACCCTACGCCACCACCTAGCCCGCACAACAGGCCAGCACAACCAGCGCGGCCAGTGGGGTGACCTGCGGGGCGACCTGCCCCAAAGGTGAAGGCCGGAAAACGGGATGTCGATGAACTCGAGGCTCGTGGCCCCACCAAGCGTCCAACAGTAGGCAAAACAACTCCTCACGATGTATTTCATCATTGAACGTCCCTTTCAGCAACAAGAATGTGAAGTTGCCCGTACTCTAGCCGGACTCCAGGGAGCAGCTTGGAATCAATGTGTCTCGCAGTGCATGGCCAGCAACTACTCCACGCCACCGCCTAGCCCACACAACAGACCTGCACAACCTGCGAGGCCTGCAAAGCCGGCGGGGCGACCTGCGCCAAAGAGCAAGGCTGGAAAGCGGGATTTTGATGAACTCGAAGCCCGCGGTCCTACAAAACGCCCCACAGTAAGCCATTTCCCTTTCGTTGAGACATTGCCCTAAGCTAGGACGTAGCAACAAGAATGCGAAGTCGCCTGTACGCTAGCTGGGCACCAAGGTGCAGCCTGGAACCAATGTGTATCACAGTGCATGGCTAGCAACTATCCTTCGCCGCCGCCTAGCCCCCACAATAGGCCAGCACAACCAGCGCGGCCAGCGTGGCCAAAGATGAAGGCCGGAAAACGGGATTTTGACGAACTCGAAGCACGCGGTCCCATTAAGCGCCCTACAGTGAGTTGGCTCCATTTCGTTTGGGTGATCATCTAATCTAGGATATAGCAACAAGAATGTGAGGTCGCCTGTACGCTAGCTGGACACCAGGGAGCTGCTTGGAATCAATGCGTGTCGCAATGCATGGCCAGCAACTACCCTACGCCGCCACCCAGCCCGCACAACAGACCTGCCCAACCAGCGAGACCAGCGAAGCCCGCAGGACGCCCAGCTCCCAAAGTTAAAGCTGGAAAGCGCGAAGTCGAGGGCGCTGATGAAGAGTGAAAAATAGATGTACATTACACCGCTCTAGCTCTTGTATGATCATTGTGTTCTATATACGTGAACACGCTCGCTTGGAAGAGACCCTATCGGAGGTTACAAACCTCATAGCATTCGGGCACAACTTTCGCCTGTTGGCTCTAAACTGCTCGCCTTGAATCTTGCTACCCCTCTTGATCGATGATAGTCCTCCGAATCAATGCCATCGCCCTCGCTGTGTTCCTACATGGCCTTCGCCTTTGGCCCTTGGTCTCATTGTACCAATCCAGGGGCCGTACACCATCCTGTTGTTGGTCAATATTCCACTCTTCGTCTTCATACCCGCAGCCCAACTATACAAATCACGCTTCTGCAAAGACCACGCGGTTGTCTTTAATGACTCGAAGATGGCGACTGTTGGTTTGAGAAGCGTAATATGGATAAATATAAGTAAGCCCCTGGAACCCCTCCCGTTCTTAGAGGCCCAGTGCTGATTACAGGGGTAGGTTGCCCGATGATCCTGGTACATGTCTTGTTCATCAATCCGTCTGCGCACATCATCATTGCCCAGTTCTACATGCCTACGCCAAGTGTCGTTATATTACTGTTGTCTTTGATGCTCGCCGCAGCGTTTACGGGCGCCCTTGCGGGAGCGTTGCCGTATTTCGCGTCAATATCTGTTTTGGACGAGAGACGCGATGGGGACGTATTATAGCGAGTATACTGGGAGGATAATCGTGCGTGTATTATTCCTGGTGAAAAGAATCTACGAATCTCTCCTCGTCACGCAGAATTACATCGGCCTCAAAAGGATAAGAGATCGATAAAAGGAACTAATTCAAAGGGAACTGCGGGACCTGGCACCCCTGATAGTAAGGCGTAGGTAGTCCTGTAAACCCATGGGTCGTCTGCATGCTCTCTGCTTGTCATAAATATACGAGGACACTTGTATGTACCCAATACACCTTTACAAAAGGATATACATCACAGCCTAATGCTACTTAGTAACCCCTTCTTAAACGTTCGTTTTCTTCTCTGAGTCTAAGATTTTCCTCCTGAAGCGCCTTCAAGCTGCCCATATACTCCATCATCTCCTTCATATCTTTTTTCCAGTTCCGTCCCATACGAAGCATGTCGAGATGAAGTCCTACCATCTCGTTCCGCGACTCCTGCTGGAAATCGCACATGACATCTTTGACAATAGTTCGTAGAAGCTCGTGGGCAGGCCCGGTTGTGGGTACACCTGGAGACGATGGCATAGCAAATCTTGTGGGTGACGCGGCCGCCCAATCGTGTTGTGCTGGCTTGCCCCGGCGAAGTGGTGATATAACGAGACTGCACTCATTCTCTTTGTCATCCTCCCCCTCGTCTCCGTCTTCGAATGTATCAAGAGTTTCCTGGAACCCAACAGCCTTCCCTTTCCCCTTGTCCTTCCGTGCCTCGGCTTCGCCTCCACCATTCCCTGCCTCAATCCATCGGTTGACTTCGGGTGTACCCAGTCCTAGCACACCGAGCGCGGCCCTCTTTCGCGCTGCTGGAATCGGTGTAGCGGGATCAGCAGTTACACCTGGCAGATCCGGCGAGGGCGTCCGACTAGTCATTCGTGTGCTGGTTCGGCTAACCTTCCTGGTCTGCTTGCTCGAAGTCGCCGAAGATGTGATTCGAGACGATAAAGACGAGGCGGAACGCGCTGAAGTCATGCTGGAAACGCGCGAGCCGGTGGACGGCCCCGTGGTAGAGGTGGAAGACACCGTTCGGCTGGCTGAGGAAATTACACTTTGCCTGGACCTCGGGCGAGAATCCTGTTCTGAAGGGACGCTCAGTTGGGAGGAGCTAGATGGGAGATTTTCTGCTGGTAATCGGGCGCGAGAACCTGTTGGCATCGTCCTGGGCTTCCGGGGCCCATCCTTGCTGAGTTTACTCGGGGAAGATACTTTCGCGGGTCTGGCACTGGCTGTAGTTCGGCTAGGAGAGCCTAAGGAAGTAAGTGTCTTTGCTTTTGACACTTTAGGTGAATCAGCCTTCGTGGTAGAAACCTTCGACTTCGAGGGCGCTTTGAATGCAGACAGGGTTTCCAGTTGTACTGATGTCGTTGTAAGCCTGATTGCATCCCAAGGGATCCTACATCACCATCACTCACCAGATATCTGACTATCGTTTAGGCCTTTCGTTTCTTCAGGCTGACTGCATGCCTTCGCGTCCACCATTGCGGGAGTTTTCGACTTCTTCGATGACAATGGTTTCGAGGGGGACTTCGGAGTAGTCTTGTGGGATATAGCACCTCTCGATGAAGTAGTTACCTTGCTTGTGCTGGCTACTTTGTCCTTCTTGAGGGCTTCTTGAGCTTGAGACTTACTCTAGTAAAGTAATAAATATATTGTGCCGCAAACGTAGGTCAGTTTTCGTACCTGTATTGCAATGGCCGTGATCGGCTTGCTGTCTGGATTAACCGTTACTTCTTTGGGTGGCTTTTCCAAAGCGCGTAAGTCAACCACGAGCAGCCGCCCATCGCAAGTGCCGAGGTATACCGACGCTCCATCTTGAGAAAAAGACATGGAGGGGACTGCCACACCGAGATTGAGAGTACGGAATAATCTATGCTAGGTCATTTCATGCACAACGAGTTGGCAATGATACAACACACCCTTTCTCTTTCTCAAGGTCTATGAGACCGAGGTAGCCGCCGGTCGTTGATACGGCTACCAATGATTTGCTGAAAGGACTTGAACTGATCGCGTTGATATCTCCGGAACTAGAGGTGTCTAACGGAATCGTTTTCACCGGGCTAGATGGGCGGGTGGTGTCGTAGACGACGAATTGCCGTCCGATTCCAAGGAGAAGCCTCGTCCGTGAATGTGAGTGGAACGCGCATGCCCCAATACTCTGGCCTGCCAGAGCCAGTCCCCTTAGTACTGAATTAGAACCTGTAGCCAAGTTATAGACATGGACAACGGCCGATGTAGCGCTCGCCAGAAGTGAGGCATCGTTGGACAAAGATATCGAAGAAATGACGGAAGTATGTGACTCGAGTGTCTGTGTAGTCTTTCCCTTCACATCCACAACGTGAACCTTCCTTCCATCACTGACAATAAGGCTGGAACCGTCCTTCACCAGCACTCGCGAATTCGGCTCAGCTAAGGACATAACAGGATCCAGAGATCCTGCCACGCAGTCGTACCGATATATCGCTTCGTCCGAAGAAAGGTATACAGTTGAGCCATTGGCCCAAGCGCATGAGTTTGGAGAAATAGAAAGATCAATGAGAGGGGTAACGGTGTCGCGTTTGAGAGAATGTGGTTCGGCGATGAGGAGCGCGCCGGCTGTACTGACTGCGAGCATTGTCGAGATGAGAATTGGGAGCAAGTGCAGATCGCCACACTCAGGGGTCAATGGTTCGACTTCAAGCCAAACAGCAGCAACCAAAGTCGACACGGTAGTAACGTGACCGTGACAATTGCGACTTGCACATTATGATTCAGACTTCGAAATTAAAGTCCCAGTAAGTCAGAGCAACTAAAATACTCTTGCCATAGTATGGAAAGATGGATTTAATAGAGCACCTCCCCTGTAACATCCTCATTCCACCGCCGAGCCGATCCCAATCCTTCTGCGCTCCTTCGTTGGGTGTACAATTACTATGTATATCCAGCTACTTGCGGGATCTGGCGAGCTTTTTCTTCGTTGACTTCATGTCAGCCTCGAACCTACTGCGTTTCCTCTTACGCCCGGAATCTCCAGTCTCTTCTCCGACCTCGTCTGTCCCGGAGTTTCGTGACTTCGGTTTCGAGCGACTCCGTTCCAGAATATCGCCCTTCTTCCCTCTCTCCCTCAGTTGCTCGTAGCCGTCCCTGTCAAACGCTCCTCTAGATTTGCCCACATTCTTCAGCACGTCGTTGAACTCATCTTCGAATCCACCGCCACGCCGACGCGTTTTGCCCGAACTTCCACCAACACTAGCACTTCCACCCAAAGCGATGTCTTCCTCGTCACGAAGCCGACGTATGTGGTCTTTCTTTTTCATCATTAGACGGGTGAAATTCTCTTCTTCATACTCGGTGATGCGATTAAGTTCGCGAGCACGAGCGGAGGTGAGTGAAGGCGTAGTCCCCAGGCCAGAGGTGGTCTCCATGTGCGGCCGAGAGGGATCGATGTCGAGGAGAGACGTGAGTGCACTTGGCGCAGGCAGACGCTTAGCTCTTTTATCTTTGGCGGTCTCAATGTAAGGCGTAGGTGCAAGACGAGGTGGGCGGTAGATATCTTCGTCCTCTGAGTGATCACGGTCCTTATTGCGGTCATTCCCAGCACCGTCCCCGTCAACTTGTACGAGGTTCTGGGGATTGGGTCGGAATGCCAAAGGATCTATATAGTAGTTGGTCATAAGTTCGTTGACGATCAAGCCGGGGATATATATACTGACCGTCAGCAGCACTTTCCGCAGTGTCAGGAGACTGTTCCGCAAGCTTGACTAGCTTGTCAATTTGATATCTCATTCTGGTTTCTAGAACTTTGATTTTCTCTAAAACAACTCGGTTTTCAATCATTGAGTCAACAAGATCTCCAGCATTGGATCCTCTGGCAGAGCGGACGGGATCGCTGAATGGTTGAGATGAAGGTTGTCTGTCCACGAGCGAATGTCCCAAGGCACGGCGAGACGAGACCAATAGCAAGGATTGAAGATATGACACCATGACATGGTTCTTCAATGTGAGCAGTGATATACCGTCCTTCGTATCAAGGTCCGTACCATTCTGCCTGGAATATAATAAGTATAATTTCGGCTAAAGCTCAGACCACCAACATACTTTTCATGCAGGTCCTTGATGCACTCCCGAACAGAAGCGATACTGCGAGAGACCTCGTTGATCACTCCACATACAGCGGTAGAGTCCATGAGTCGATGAGAGGCGAAATTTTGATGTGTGACTTCTGTGACCGACGCAGGAAATAGTCACATCAATAAGCGCCAGGAGCAAAGCTCGAGTCACGAAGTCACTGGGTCATGCTTCTTGTGACCAACCGCGCGGCGACGCGCCTGAATCTGAAACCCTCTCCCACCAACCCTGAGCCCACCAATACAAGGCAATTCGCCAAAGGCTCCCTCAACATGGACGTAGACGAGGATATACAGGAGAACGATCCTCTCGACGAAGTTAACCTCGAGCGCATAGAAGCAGTGTTGGATGAGATTGACGACAAATGCCGGTCGGAGAACCAGGAGGAAAGGAGGCCGTCAGTATATCTTCGAATATTTGAGGGTATGTCTGTTCCAGCGAAATAAACGTACCCTTCGAACGCTATATCACTCAGAAATGATAAATATCGTCAATGAGTACGAGTATTGCCTCCTTTCTGAAGAGGAATGGGATGTCATTGGTAAATTCAGTCATATTTCCTGTAAGCATTAAATCGCTCTGTGGGTGTCGCTGCGGCACTGACCGATACGTAGATAACTCGCGCTTCTTGCTTGCACGACTCGCTCTGCGCAAACCTGGCCAGTGGTATTCAGTGCCGAAACTCCAGAATCTGAAGAAGGAAGTTGGGGAAGGTCTCGTTGAAGCGATAGACGAACTCACCTACACCAAACCCTCCTTCGATACATCCTCTCCTGAGGTTGAAATGGATATTGAACCTGATATCAAACAGGAGCCCGAACCTGACTGCATTGACCTCACGCTCGATTCTGACGAAGACTTTGCGCCAGTTTCGTCCTCGGAAACGCGCACGACAACGACTACGCCTTCATCGTCTCTGCCAAACGCTCCTGGCCACGATTACTCCTACTTCTGTCAAAATGAGAAAGTTATGACATTATTGGAGATGCTTAACTGCTTAAAGGTCGAGCAGCTCAAGGCGGTAGCAAAGGAAATGAAGGTAAAGGTTGGAAAGCTGACGGTATGCGGTATATCTTTCATGAGGGTGTGCATGACTTATACTGAGATATATTTTCAGAAAGCTGAGATTATAGCTCTTCTGATAAATCGCTCTTCGAAACAATCTACAATTCCCTTCGAATCATCTCCTGTCAAGAAGCCGAATAATAGCTCACATCTACGACAGAGTACCCTAGGATTCATAATTACATCGAAACACCCCAAACCACCACCGCTACGACAGAATAAACTCCCCTTCAAACCGATTAAGCCGCCCTCCCAAGAACTTGTATTGCGAGGCCTGGCTCTCAAGCAACTGAGTACATCAGATTTCTGTCCAAGCTTCATTATAATTGAGCTGACACTATTGCCCGCAGCTAAATGTGTCCGCTTAAATCCCGACATATTCGATCTGCTGATGCGAATAAATATAATCGCATTTAGGAGGTAGGGATCCTTCTATTTTGTGGTCGAGTAGGAGCCTTATTCCTCGCGCTAGCACCGAATTACCGAAGTCCATTGCCCTTCCCGCGCTCTTGACTGCATTCAAGAAGAGGACATACACTCGATACGCCTTCAAACGTACCACGGGCGTCTGGGCCGACAGGGACGATTTCCTTGATTACTACAAGGCCCTGCAAATACATGCGCGCATCGAGTCGCTAATCGACCAACAGGTTCCCCTCCCGTCATCTCCAAGCACTAACAAGCCCCCACCCGCTACTCCAAACCCCGCGAAAGCTTTAGCGACCCCAGCGAAGAGCCCAGCAAAGAGCCCGGTAGCTTCGTCATCACGCAAGAAACTAGACGATGAGATAGATAGTGATTACGAGGAGGAAATACTTGAAGATTCTTCGAGGCAGGCGCGAGGGAAACAAGTCAAGGAGCTATTTGTGCAGGAAATCTACCCGAAGTGGAGAGTTCTTCTGACGCTACGCAACGCGAAGGACCTAGTTGAACCCAAGGATGATGATGAACCCCCGCGTATCGGCTTAGAGAGGTTTGAATCCGGTATGACTGCTTTCGGAACTCGCTATGCGTAGCTAATTACCTTGTACAGGATATGTCTACACTCGGATGGTGTCAAAGGCCACCGAAAGCTTCGGGCCGCTCAAAGACTACAAACTCGAGTATCGTATAATAGAGGAACTTCTGAACCAGAAGGTTTGGTTGAGGGGTAAACGAGCGAAATGGTACGAACGTCGAGCCATACTGATATCACGCTATATGTGGGATATTTTCGACGATATAGTCAAAGAGGACGGACTGTCGCGGACGAGAGAAGGAGTTGTAGAAGCCCTGAACGATGAAGATACAGTTCTAGGTGTGTTCGCTCGATAACGCAACATCATCATGCCTGATCCGGTGAATGTCCTAGTATATAGGCCGTCCCTTTTCCGCAGACTTGAGCGACTCGAGAAGCAGCTGCACATACCAGAAGCCGAGCGAAGTAAATGCGAAGGGCAGCTGAGCAAACCCAAGGTCGTCGAACTTGAAGCCCTCCGCGTCAGGACTCGCAATGGCAACAAATTCTTATTCGACGCCAACGGACAGCACATTCCCCACACCGAAGACAAAGACAAGGAGAACTCTGTGATTCCCGCGACGCCTGCCAAGCGGACATATCATCAAATGACCCTTACGGACACGCCCCAGTCAGCTCGGTCGAGAGGACTCGGCGCTCTCATAACACCGTCTCCTTCGTGTTCTCAGACCTCTCCCTCGAAGACTAAGGTAGCTGGCACCTTTTCAGGCTGTGAAGCTCAACACTGAACCTTCCTTGTAGAATCCAGTCGCGAAGTGGGTAGGCAAGTCTGTATGGGTAGGCAGAGGCGGCGACGAAGTCAATGTGGAGACTCGTGCTTTACAATATTACGAGCGGCAAGGCTTCAAAGGGTACGTTCCTCAACTCCATCCTTCGTTTCTTCATGTTCACACAATCTTTCAGCTTTCATTCCGAGACAAGCATTCTGACCACACTCTTCGCCCTGCTGTTCTGGGACATCATATTCTGGGATGTACCGGGCGCGTTCGAGACGCCCTACCAGACGGAGCCTCTCGACCTACGCGATGAGATATTCTACTACGCTCGGAAGGACATTGTAGATGTTCGATTAAAGGAAATTCGCGGAGGATGGGCGAAAGATATCATCGAGAAGCATGACAAGATGCATCGAGAGAAGAAAACGTGGTGTGTGGGTATGAGCTGGGACCTCTGCGAGTGCTCCGATCTCATTGAGATTGCAGAGGTCAGTGACTACAGCCGTCCTCTCTCTCGTGGCTATTGACCGAATGGACAATAGTGTCTTGGTGGTACAGCTTTGGCAGGGATATGCCGCCTTTTCTGCGAGGATTACAGCGGACGGAGTAGCGGCGTCCCAGATCTGATCGTGTGGAATCCAACAACGAAGGAATGCAAACTCGTCGAAGTTAAAGGGCCGGGTGACACTGAACGAGAGAATCAGAAGGTACATTGATATCCCCGAGCCTCCGACTCTACTCCAACTAACATTGCCTTCTATCTAGCTTTGGATGGATGCTCTGCTAAATGTCGGGGTGGGGGTCGAACTTTGCCGTGTCTATGAGTCTGGGAAACCACCCAATGGGAAAGGCAGGAGCAAAGCTACGCTCAAGACTGCGCCGCATAGTGGCAAACGAGTTTCAAGGGCAAAGAGGAACAGCGTCACTGCTTCCTCTTGCAAGCAAGCAACCGATCAGGACACCTCAATCGTAATTGATTCGGATGCCAGAGTAAGACCACTTGTCGCCGACAACAAAGTAGATGGATGGGATGAAGATGAAGAGGACGATGAACTTCCGGTACACTCCTCCCTTCAGCTACCAATATCAACACCCATATCACCAGACTCACTGCGCAAGAGAGTGGTCTTCGATTGTGTAGAACTTCCTGATTCTCCGAGGAAGAAATGTCGGCTCTCGCCTTGATCATCTGTATAACTCCTCTATCTACATTTGCTTTTCAAATCACTACTATCTTTATTATCTTAGGATTGTATGTATTTCTATTTTGTTATCCATACAAAAAGATTCCAACCTTGTTCTGCAGCTTCTCTTCTATGGGTAATTGTCATACACCAGTCCTCACGCCCCCTTAGGGGTCCCCCTACGCCCTTTTCGGATACCCGGACCTTTGGAATCCCTCAGGCTCCGCCCTCAAGGCTTATGCATGGTGCGGAGTACTAGGATTACTCTGTTACATGTTTCATGTACACATGTACTTACATACTAGCCTCACTACATACAGGTGTTAGTTAGTATTTTGTTAAGGACCATGTCAAGGGGCCTCCTGGCTCGTCTGTACAGAGGCACAGGAACACGTGGGGAGTGTGGGAGCGCGGACGAGCGGAGCACACAGGACTTGGCTTCAGCTTTGATGCTGCTGTAAGGGGACACTCCTATTTTCTCTCCTTTCCTTCATTCCATGGACTCTTACCTACATTCCCTTCATTCCCCTTCGTTCCTTTTTGCTCCCTTTCCTTTCCACTTCCTTTCCACCCACTCCTTTCGCATCCGAGCCGCGTCCGGTGACTCCGGAGTCTTCCCGCACTTCGGACACTTCGGACTCGCCTCGGACTCGCTCGGACGCCTCGGATACGCTCGGACTCGTCTATACACTTTGGGACTCATCCAGGCTACCTCCACTCTCCTTTCCCACTTCGTCATTCCTTGTCCCCACTTCCCCAGGTCGCTGGCACGACTCCTGTACATTCCCCTTCCACTTCATTATCACATGTTTCCTCGTACCTTGTGATATTCGTTCAGACCTGTGGCTGGTGTACTGTACAGTTACCCTTCACTCCTCCCACGCTACTACAGTATATACTTCGCTTCCTAGCATGGAGAATCCCCATCCTGTTCTCTTTGGATTCTCCCTCTGCTAGGTGAGCAGCTCTCTCATGTATTGTAGTTAGTCTTATTCATCTCTTTGGATTCTCCCTCTGCTAGGCCTGCGCTGTCGGCCATCTCGAGGTTGCCCTTACAGCAGAACAGGATCTCCCATCCTGGCACCAGAGCCCTACGGAAAACGTCCTGCGCCACTCCGGACTTGTTCTCGACGTCTCTCCGGTTTTGCAGACATTCCGGACGCTCTCCTGCTACTCCCACCCACCTCTGAGGACCCAAGGAACTCCATCCCTCGCTCCCCTGACGACTCCGAAATGCCGGGCGCCTCCAGCCAGATCCCGCCATCCGAGCCAGTCGCTTCAGGACCGGACTCCGAGACTTTGCAGACGTTGTGGGCTCAGACGTACAAACACCAAACCCAAATCAGTTCCATCCAGGATACACTCGCCCGAATTGAAGGACTCCTCTTAACACCCCGTCCGACTACTCCGAAAACGACTCCGGACTCCGAGCTGAGGGGCACCGAAGCCTCCCAGCATGCCCCGAGTCGATCCGAAAACACCCCGCGTTCCCGCTTGAAGCCCGCCTCTCCCCCGATCTTCGACGGAAACCGCAAGGATGGTCGCGCGTTCTACAATGCATGCTCCATCTACTTCCAGCTCTGTCCGGACCACTTTCCGACCGAGCAGGCCAAAATCCTCTGGTGTCTCTCCTTTTTCCAGAAGGATCGAGCTAAGGAGTACGCGGACATGGTGCTCCGGAGTCCGAAGGATCCGTACTTCGCATCCTGGGCCGCCTTTGCAACCGAGTTCCGGACTCGCTTCCTTCCGGATCGGGAACGCAAAGCTGCCATGCTAAAACTGGAGTCCACCCGGTACCACCAAGGCCGCCGGACTTTCCAGGAGTACCTCGACGAGTTCTGGGACCTTGTAGACCAGTCCGGATACACTGAGGGCTCCAACATCACAATGAAGTTCCGTCGTGGATTGGACTCCATCCTCCAGAGCCGCGTTGCCGAGTCCGCAGACTGTCCGGACGAGGATGACTTCGAGGAATGGTACAAGGCAGCACAGCGGGTTGCTGACAACCGTGCTGCTAACCAATCCTTCCACTTTGGCGTGCACTCCGGAAACTCCGGACACTCCGGATCCCTCGTCCGACCAGCAGCCAGCTCCGGAGTCGCTCGGACTCCTGCGGGTGTGCTCCCCACGCCTCGGACTCAGCTCCCGCCTCTGCAACCCCGTTTCCAACCTCCGCCCCCTCCGAAGGCTCTCTCACCCGGCGTCCCCATGGACGTCGACCACACCCGCTCCCGACCTGCCACCTCACAGCTCTGCTACCGATGCGGCAAGCCCGGTCACATGTCTCGCGAGTGCCCACTCCGGTACGACGTCCGGTTCATGACCACCGAGGAGCGGATGTCCGCCATTGAAGATCTCTTGACCGCGGCCGACGTTGTAGAAAGTACGGGGACTTCGGAAGGAATAGACGATGAGGGAACGGCCCCGGTTGAGGAATCGGACACGGCGGATTTTGTCCGGACCAACGAGTGATCAGTGCGACCTCGTTGGTAAATAACCGATTTGCTTGTCTTAGCGTAGACGAAATAGACGATTCCAATCACTCCGATGATTCGTCCGACGTTAAGCAAGCAACTCCGGTTACAATCCGCACACTCCGAAGGTTTCGCCCGCAGTGGGAACGGCGGCTACCCAGTAGCTATAAGATCTCCGCGCTGCCCGGCAAGCTTTCGCTAGATATACCCGTTGAAGTGCAGAGCACGGATACACAACACAGATGCACCCTGCAGGCCCTGGTGGACTGCGGAGCCACCGGAGTCTTCATGCATCCGTGCTTTGCTGATGCCCATGGTTTCACCCGACGCAAGCTGTCCGCTCCGATTCCGGTCTTCAACGTTGACGGATCACCAAATGAGAACGGATCTATCTCCGAAGTCGTGGACCTTGTACTCCGGTTCAAGGATCACACGGAACGGATGCTTTTCGCAGTCACTAACATTGGACGGCAGGACATCATCCTCGGATACACCTGGCTTCGGAAGCACAACCCCGAGATTGACTGGCAGACAAAGGAGGTGACCATGAGCCGCTGTCCGTCCGGATGCGACACCTGTCGGAAGGAGTTCCGCCATGACAAGCTGACCCGACGCAAGGAGTCCGTGCGACTCCGGGAGTGTCGTACGGGTCCGATGCCAAGGGTTGAGGAACTGCACTCGGACGATCTCCCAGAGCTTCAGGACTGCGAGGATGATGATGAGGATGACAATGCTACAACTCCGGACAACTCCGGACTTGAGAGGGGTGACCGTATCTTTGTGGCTATTCCTCCTCCGACTCCGGAGTACCTTCGGAGTCTTCGGGAAGGACATATCCGGGCTTCGGAGACAGTCTCGCAGCGCCTTGCATTGGCTTTCCAGCGCAACAAACCCCACGATCCTCGGAACAGCGCAGTCCCGGACTTCCTCCAGGAATTCAAGGACGTCTTTGCAAAGGAGTCCTTTGATGAACTGCCCATGCCGCGTCCGTGGGACCATGCCATTGAGCTACTGGATGGAGCGGAACCGACCTCTACCAAGTGCTACCCGCTGTCCCCGGCGGAGCAGAAACAGCTGGATGAATTCCTGGAAGAAAATCTCCGGACTGGCCGGATCCGCCCCAGCAAGTCGCCCATGGCTGCCCCAGTGTTCTTTGTTAAGAAGAAGGACGGATCGCTCCGCTTGGTCCAGGACTACCGGAAGCTCAACAACATGACGGTCAAGAATCGGTACCCACTTCCGCTCATCTCGGACTTGGTGGACAAACTCCAGAATGCTCGCTACTTCTCCAAGCTTGACGTCCGGTGGGGTTTCAACAATGTCCGGATCAAGGAGGGTGACGAGTGGAAGGCCGCATTTCGGACTACGCGCGGACTCTTCGAACCTTTGGTGATATTCTTCGGATTGACCAACAGCCCGTCTACCTTCCAGACCATGATGAACGACTTGTTCCGGGAGCTCATTATGGAAGGTGTGGTTATTATCTATCTGGACGACATCCTGATCTACACCAAGACGCACGAAGAGCATCACCGGGTTCTCAAGCGTGTCCTAGAGATCCTCCAGCGGAACAAGCTCTTCCTCCGAGCGGACAAGTGCGATTTCGAGCAGACCAAGGTGGAGTATCTCGGAGTCGTCATCTCCGAGGGTAAGATCGAGATGGACCCTGTGAAGGTCTCCGGAGTTGCGGACTGGCCAACCCCTCGGACTCGGACTGAACTCCAATCCTTCCTCGGGTTCGTCAACTTCTACCACCGCTTCATCAAGGACTACTCGCATATCGCCCGGCCTCTCTTTGACCTCACTTGCGCGAAGGAATGGCAGTGGAACGACTCCGCTCAATCCGCATTTCTTCGGATCAAAGAGCTGATCACTTCGGAACCTGTTCTTGTCTTTCCGAAGGAGGATCGGCCATACCGAGTTGAAGCGGACTCGTCGGACTACGCTACGGGTGCAGTCTTGTCGCAACTGGATCCGGATGATGGTAAATGGCATCCTGTCGCATTCTACTCTAAAAGTCTACAGGCTGCGGAGCGGAACTATGAAATACACGACAAGGAGATGCTTTTGATCATCCGGGCGCTCGATGGGACTATTTGAAGCGAGATGCCAGTTCACGCTGCGGGGAATTCAAAATGCACATATTGTGCTTGATTCATTGACATTGTGATCTACGGACTTGCTAATTTGTACTAAATGAATGTGGTATGAATATGAATTAAGAATCATTAAATGTAAGGGCAACCTCAAGATGGCCGACAGCGCAGGCCTAGCAGAGGGAGAATCCAAAGAGAACAGGATGGGATTCTCCATGCTAGGAAGCGAAGTATATACTGTAGTAGCGTGAGAGGAATGAAGGGTAACTGTACAGTACACCAGCCACAGGTACGAACGAATATCACAAGGTACGAGGGGGCATGTGATAATGAAGTGGAAGGGGAATGTACAGGAGCCGTGCCAGCGACCTGGGGGAGTGGGGACAAGGAATAACGAAGTGGGAAAGGAAGATGGAGGTAGCCCGGACGAGCCCCGAAGTGTATCTATGAGTCCGAGCGAGTCCAAGCGAGTCCGAGCGAGTCCGAGGCGTCCGAAGGGTCCGAAGCGCGGGAAGACTTCGGAGTCACCGGACGAGGCTCGGATGCGAAGGGGGTGAACGGAAGGGGAAGCGGAAAGGAAAGGGGACGAAAGGAAAGGAAAGGGAATGAAAGAAAGAGGAAAGGGACGAGGAGGAAGGGGACAGGACAGGGGAAAAGGGGAAAATAGGAGTGTAAAATAGGAGTGTCCCCTTACATTAAAGGTGTGGGGCTAGTTGAAAAGTAAATGATCATCCAGTCAGGTCCAGTCCGTTATTGACACATCAGCGGCGCTGGGGAGGATCGTCAAAGGCGCCAGGCGATGTAAGCTCGAGATCATCGATCGACGGGTTGCCGTAGGCTTCCCGGTCATGCGTTAAAACCTTTGCAAAGAAACTGGTGAAGTCAGTAAAGATGTGGCACAAACAACACATTGGCGACTCACCGGGATAGCTTCTTTGTATCGCCATTAGTGGTATCTCTGACCTCTTTCAGCTGTGTATCAACGAGGCGCCAATACTTGTCAACTTTCTTGTCTGGTCCCATATGATCGCGATAGACAGCACGCTTACAAAACAGATAAGTGCAAGTTCAATAATGAAAGCCTAAGAAGGCTCACCAAGAAAGCCACCCAAGCAACCATCTGGAGCGACACCTTGAGTGTGACAACCACCCTGTCGCCCATCGCAAGGATCTGATGACAAAGCGCAACAATATCCGTCCACGGCGTGTCCAGAGAGTCGCGAATCTATGCCATTGTGATCAGGGAAAGACTCTCAAGGAAATAATTGATCACATACCATGGTCTTCATTTCGTTGCGACGATGAGTGAGCCGGTTGCGAATCCGCGAGCAAACAACATCAAACTTAGCCTTGTCAGCTTTAACCTCAGGAGTGAGACCCCACGAGGGAACTGTCTCCATATGATCCTGTTGAAAATCTGTCAGAAATGTCACGGAGTCCAACAAAAGATGTTTATGAACAAGAATGAGGCTCAGAGGGCCACCAGCATTCATGACGTAAACCGACGTTGTGGGCGAAACCAGAACAAGGTATGTGTAAAGCTCGATACGGCGCTGCAATACCAACGAGTAAGTTTCAAATGGCTTGAACAAAAAAGCAGAGGGTTACTTACCTCCATTGTGGTCGGAATCTGATATATGGTGTCGGGAGCTTCAAGCGTGTTGAGAACATCAACCACTTTGATCAGCTGGGCAGCCAGCCAAACTTGTTGCTGAGCCTCGGAAAGCTGTTGAGAATTTCAGTGAGAATGTAAAGCATCTGGTGATACATTGAAATCACCAGAACAAACTGCTTCAGCTCATCCTTCTGCGACGTTTTCAACCTGACATTGCGGCTGAGCGCATCAGCAAACTGATCGAGGTCCTCCGCAGGTCGCTTCAGGGATTGAGTTTGATCATGACCAGAGTCCGAATGAGTGAGTTCATCAGACTCCGGGGCAGTGGTCATGACAGATGAGCTTCGTCGACGGTGAGTCAGCGACAGCCCGGGACTGGAAGGGGGTGACGGGGATGAAGAATTGAGAATATCTGAGAGTGCAGGTGGAGCCATGAGAATGAGTTTAAAGAAAGGTTGAGAAACAAAAGAACGAAATGAAAAGAGGAAAATGCGAAGTGGAAGAGAGAGGGAAGAACTTGGAAAAGAATTTCGAACAAACCCCAGCGGAAAAACGGGATCACGTGCTGGTCTTGAGTTTCGAATTTCCAGCATCGCGTCGCGTTGCATTTGCACAAGTCGTGTTATGCCTGCAGAGCGTCAAAAACTACCAGAAGGTGAGTCCGTGAATTTGATGAAGATAAATCTTTACTCATTGTCATACCAGGATTTGTGGAGGTCACTGGCTCACCTTCACATATTCTCTGCCAGATTTGCACCAAGTCAGCCACACGGAATGTGATAATAAAGCGAACGTCGAAATCGTCACACCTCAAAACCGAAGCCCATAGATAGGCCACTGCAAAGGCTGCTGCTATGGCAACCAAGAGTGCAATAGATAACCCTGGGAGGGGTTCATCGTCTAACACTGCGCCAATTACTCTCCCTGCGATCAGCAGATATACGGGGTCTGTGGATGATACTCACCGGCCTGGTAATCAAAGCCTGTCTTTGATGGAAAATACATTTGAAGATGTGCAGATGCACGGGACGGAATATTTGGACCATGATGGCAATGAAATGCAGTTCTCGGCTGGCAATGTTCTCGACAGGATTGCTGATGCTCGCCACGACCTTCATGAGCAAATCGAAAGCATTGGACTGCTCGAAGACCATACAATATTTGGCCAGATGTCGACGTCCATCACTGACATGGATGTTCTTGATGAAGATGACACCAATGTGACAGCTTTGGAAACTGCCTTTCAGCTGCTCGGTGAGAACAAAAGCGGATACCACCATCTTCCATTGACCTCATGAACATGTCATCAGGAATTGATGACTTGGAAGAGGGGGAGGAAGATCCTTTTGTGCCAGAGGAAGACATGGAGGCATCGAGCAATGATGAATGGAAACCGCATGGCTCGAAGACAGTGAGTCATATGTTTACCCATCGCAGTAGAAACAAACGTACTGAAAGTGGTAGATGTTCATGGTTGATTTGCTTGACAACCTACCACGCTTGCGGCTATCGGACGATCAGCTCAAGGCTATCCTTTGGGTGATGCGTGAATGCGGTGCCCCGGACGTACCCAGTTTCAGTTGCTTGCGCAGAAAGCAGGAGAAAATGTTCCGTGATATGTGCCTCGCACCTGAGCATCATACATCATCTTTGGGAAACCATTTCTTTGTTAACCATCCGGCAAAATTATTAGCATTGGTAAGTACGAAATCAATTGTGCGACTTATGTTAGGGCGACACTAGTCAAAGACTAACGTGGCTCCTACAAGAATACTAAAACCAAAAGAATAGATGAAGTAGCTTAGTTGACTTAGTTCTCACTATTACTAGCGGAAATCCCAAGAGAACGAGCTAGCGTTCTCGGGTATGTTATTGGTACTTAAATACTAAAATACATGCATAACCCTCGTGTACTACTACATGCCTACTGCAGCCGTCTTTCCATGGAACGCGCACCGATTCCATGAGGAGCTTGGTAATGTACTGCGGACATGTGTTAGACGTGAGGATCTTACTAAGGTATGGTAATGAGAATTAGTAATAGGCGCGTCTTTGCGCGTTTAGATAAGATATAGGAAAAGATAATTGTTCGGATCAGACCGGGCCATAACATCACCCCCCCTCTAGGATTCGTCAATTCCACTTGACGGCGCCACTACTTCCTGATGCCCAACATCTCCTTCGACGACATCATTCCTCGGCTTCCCATTTGGGACCGTTTCTCCTCCGCTGAGCAAGCCGGCCTGATTGCCATGCTTGTCTTCGTCGCTATCGGGTGTGTCGGGTGGATCAGCGCTCCCCTCGGGTTCGTCGATCTTGGTCATTTTACTGATGGTCGGGGTAGTGAATACGTATTTTGGTTTCCAGATCAGTTCCTCAAATACCGCGGCCGCAATCTGACGTGGAGCTGCAGAGTGTCGGGCGTGGAATGCCCGAGTTTGCTCGGGTGCGTTTTCAAGGTTCTTTTCGGGTTCCCATGTGTTATGCTCATCGGTATACCCTTTCCACTTGACCAAATATTCTAGCCGTCCTCGTCTGAGTCGGCTGTCTAGAATATTTTCGACTTCGTACTCATTCTCGCCCTGGATCCGTACTGGTGGGGGTGGTGGTGTTTTTTGCCCTGGTATTGTTGGCATGTTGGCCTTTTCCGTTCGGTGGGTGGAGATCGTGGGGTGAATAGATAATGTTTTTGGAACTTTAAGGGTTATTGCGTTTTTTGTGGGCACCGCAACCACTTCGTACGGCCCGATTTTCTTTTGCTCCAATTTTCGTGAAGGTCGAGACGTGTTTAAGTTATTGGTGAAGATGAAAGCTTTATCCCCTACTTTGTACTCCGGCATCTCCCCTACTCGTCAGTCCGCGTACTTCTTCATCTCCTCCCCTGCTTTTACCAAGGCTGACCGTGCTTCTTCCCAGCTCCGGGTCATTCGTTTGGCAAAGTCATCGGCGGCTTCCACTTTTGACTCTCTCCGTGGTTCGATCCCCATTCGTGGATGGCGTCCGTAATTTAAGAAGAAAGGGCTCTGCCTGGAGCTCGTTTGAGTTTTATTGTTTAGGGAGAATTCGCATATCGCCAGCCATTCCGCCCAGTCGTCTTGTCTATGGTTGATGAACATTCGTAGATAAGTCTCGATTTCTCGATTTACTTGTTCCGTTTGTCCATCGGTCTGTGGGTGGAAGGCTGTGGACAGCCGTGTCTGAATTCCCAATAATTTATTCAGTTCCTGCATCATTTGTGACGCAAATTGGGGTCCTCGGTCTGATATGATAGTGGTGGGTAGGCCGAAGTCCTTCCAGACGTGGTCCTGATATAATTTAGCTAGACCTAATGATGACAGTTCTTCGGTAGTTGGTACTAGACGGACCATTTTGGTGAAGCGATCCACTACTACCAGGATTGCGTCGTAACCCTGTGACCTTGGCAGTTTGGTGATGAAGTCTGCTGAGATATCCGTCCATGGTTCTGACGGGATGGGGTTGGGTTGAAGCTTTCCCTGCGGTTGTCGTGAGTAGGCTTTGCTTCGTTGACACTGATCGCATCCTTTGACGTATTCCGCTATGAATCTGTTCATTCCCGGCCACCAGTAGTTTCGTGAGACCAGCTCAATTGTCTTCCATCTTCCTGGGTGGCCTGCCACCGTTGAATCATGGTGCAGTTTTACGATCTCCCTTCGGACATCCGTGTCTTTGGGTACGTACACCTTCCCATGATATAACACCAGGTCTTGCTCTTCTGACCATTCCGCCTCTCTTAGCACCTTCGTCGGGGATCTTTTCAGCTCCGTTACCGCTTTTACCACCGACTCATCGTAATTTTTTGATTTTCTGATTTTCGACAAGATGGTAGATTCCAGTCCTTCGATCAAGACGTGGCCTTGTTGCATGGCTTTGATTCGAAAGTACTCTGGTTTCAGAAGAACCATCGTGTTGTCCTCTTCCCCCCTATCAAGGTCTGGTCATCTCGACAAGACATCTGCTTTCATATTCGATGCTCCTGGCTTGTGTTTTAATAAAAAATTGAACCGTGATAAATACAGTGCCCATCGCGCCTGGCGTCTGTTGAGTTTTTTGGTGGTCATGAAATATTCCAAGTTTTTGTGATCCGTCCATATTGTAAATTGTCGACTATTTCCCTCTAGGTAATGTCGCCATGCCTCCAGGGCCCGAATTATAGCCAGCATCTCTTTGTCATGGATGTCGTAGTTTTGTTCTGTTTCCGTGAACCCTTTAGACAGGAAAGCGCATGGTCTCCACTTGTTGTCGTCGCATAGCATTGAGAGTACCGCTCCTGATGCGTAGTTTGACGAATCTGCTTCGATCTTCATTTCCTTGTCTGTATCTGGTAGTACCAGGATTGGTTCCTTGGTAAACAGTTTTTTAAGCTTCTCAAAAGCTTCTTGTCTCCTTTCGTTTCATGCAAACTCCTCGTCTTTTTTTGTAAGCTCTGTTATAGGCGCATCCAAGGACCCCCTTAGGGGCTACTAGGGGCGCACCCACGTGCGTTTCCGACTATGGGCTCGGGCCGCGCATATACACGGCCATGCGGACTTCCCGGATTACGGACTAAGTACATACTCGAGCACATTGTAGTTACTACGACCGAAGTCATTACTGTTTCGTGAACGCGCGGACGCCGCGTGTTCCTTAGTATATAGTCCTGTATCGTACATACAGCTACCTTAGTTCGAATATTAGTTCCTTCTCCGCACTCGCATCTCGCCCCTCTAGTGGGTTCTCCCCCCGTCGCACCCCTTTGCCTCCGCCCGTACCCTCGGTACCCGCGTAGGACTCCTCCCGGAAATACAGGGCACGCAAGAGTGTGGGAGGCGCAGCCAGTAGCTGAAGCCAAGCCCGTACGTCCTCGTTTCCCCCGTTTCCCCCATGCGTCTACGTGGAACCGCACACCCGCGGGTCCGCGTATCCCGAGCCCCCCTGCAAGTGTGGCTCTTAACAAGCTCGTGCAACGGTTTAGCGACGGTGGCAAAGTCCTTTATGAACCGTCGGTAATAGTTGCTGAATCCTAAGAACTGCTGTACTTGTTGCATGTTCTTTGGAATCGGCCAGTTTTTTACTGCTTCTATTTTTGCCTCTTCCATTTGCACCTTTCCGTCCTTCACTACTACTCCTAGGAACTCGACTTCGTCTACTTCAAATGCACATTTTTCTGGCTTTATATATAAATCGTTGTCTTCAAGAATCTTCAGAGCCCGTCGTACTACTTCTCGGTGTTTTTGTACATCATTGTCCGTAAAGATAAGTAAATCGTCTAAATAGATAATTACAAGGCCTTCGTCAATCAGTTCTTTGAAAAGTTCGTTCATCATGGTTTGGAAAGTGGAAGGGGAATTGCTAAGTCCGAAGTACATGACCATTGGTTCGAACGCCCCTCGTGGCGTTTGGAACGCTGCCTTCCACTGGTCTCCTTCCTTTATTCGTACATTGTTATACCCCCATCGGAGGTCCATTTTGGTAAATAAGCGAGCCTTAGATACTTTGTCTACTAGTTGCGAAATGAGAGGTAATGGATATGCGTTTTTCACGGTGTATTTGTTTAGGTATCGGTAGTCCTGTACCAATCATTTTTTTCCATCCTTTTTTTGCACGAAGAATACTGGTGAGGTTTGCGGGGATTTGGAGGGTCTAATGTACCCCTTTTTTAGGTTGCCGTCGAGGAAGTCGTTGAGTTCTTGTTGCTCGATTGGCGACAGTGGGTACACCTTTGAGGCCTTTGGTACAAAGTCCGGTGTAAGTTCGATTGCGTGGTCCCATGGTCTTGCCGCTGGCATCCTTTCTGAGTCCCGTTTTCGAAATACTTTCATGAAATCATGGTAGTAGTTTGGTACCATTTCTTCTTCGGTTTTTTCTTTTTTGCTTTCTATTTTCTCCCGATCGTGCTCAATGACATAGTCGTATTTTCCTACTGCTTTCAGATGCATTTCCTCCTCCTTGTCTTCCGTTTCCACCTGCATGTGTTTTTTCCACATTCGGTTAATGTACATTCGGGCTACCGACTCGTGATATTGGTTGGTTAAGTCGTCCAAGTCCCGTAAATAACCGCTTCTCAGCCTATTCCACTGTCTTACTCCTGCCACTGATATGTTCCTCGGTTCCATTTTCCGCACTTCCTTCACCTCTTCCTCGTTTTCCTCGGTTTCTACTTCCCCTGGGTACGGTTCGTCCTGCAAGTCTTCTGCCTCCTTGTTCATCCTTCTCTTGCACTCCCTTGGGCATCTGGTCATTACTACATCCCCCGTCTTCCAGTTCACTTCTGGGTTGTGTCGTCTGAGCCAGGTGAGACCTATGATGACGTCTACGTTTCCTAGGTTGGTTACGTAGAACGTGGCCCATTCTGTGTGTCCTTTAAAACCCATTCTTAGTTCTACCTTTTCTTCTACCCTTCCCGCGTTGTTGGGGGTGCCGTCTGCATTTCTTATGATTGCGGGTCTAGTCAGTTTCTTGGTTTTCAGCCCGTGCTTTCTGACGTATTTGCGATCAATGAACGAGTCTGAGGCGCCACAGTCCAACATTGATTTGGGGTCGAGAGTTTTAAGGGTATCTAGAGAAGTAATGGTGATCTTTATGGGGACGTAATTTTTCTCATTGCCTGTCCGGTACAAGTGCCCTTCCTTGGATTTGTTTTGCGTCTTAGTTTCTGTCTCATTGTTTTTAGTAGTCGAATCCTCATTATAAATAGTTACTGGTACATCGGATTCTACTAGTGATGAGTCCGGCTCCTGGGTGAGTACGGAAAAAGAATTCTTGGAGCTCAGGTCGACGCTTCCTGAGTTCCTTCGGAAAAACCCTGGCGAGTCAGTTCCTCTCGCCAGTATTGCAATTGTTCGTCGTAGTTCATGGCCCTGATGTCCAATCTTCTTTGACAATTTCGGGCGATATGTCCCAGTCCTCCGCACTTAAAGCACTTGACCGGGGTCCTCTGCGTTCTATCTACGTCCATCGCGTTTGGATCCTTCGGACGTGATTGTTGGTTCTGTTGTGGGGCCGGTTGCTGCTGCCCTTGTCCCCTCCCTTGCCATTGGCCTTGCTTTTGGCCTTGCTGCTTTTGCTGGGACTGTCCCTGTTGTCGTCCCTGTCCATGGCCCTTGGCATAGGACTGCGCTTCACGCCACTGCCTGTCAAACCGGATTGCCTCTTCGCTCCATGCTTGGTAATCTGCAGGGAGCGGGTGGAGGCTGTAGAGTCGATTCAACAGCCCGGGATTCATTCCTCGTTTGAATAATTCTACCAATGCTACGTCGTTGTAGCCGGTGTCTGCTCGTAGCGCCTCGAACTTCATTACGTACTCTTCGGCTGGTTCGTTGCCCTGTCTGAGGGCGGACAGGGTGGAGATAGCCATTTCCCTGGGGTTTGGGTCTCCGAACATTCTTTCCAGTTCGTCAGAGAACCTTTGGAAATCAGAGACCACGGGGTCGTATCCTCCCTGGTCCCGCCAGTTGAGCGCTCGGTTGATAACCTCGTTTTTCCAGTTATCGACTTTTCGTCCCTGGATGAACAAGAGGGCGTATAAGACTTTGGTGTTTTTGTTGGTGAACTGCCACTGATTAACCGCAATGTACATCCAGATGCTTCTGAGGAATGAACGGCATTTGGCACGTTCGCCGTCGAATATCTCGGGTTTGGCCAGCTTAGGGCCTACTGGTCGTGCGGGTTCGGCAGGTTGGGGAATCGGGGCGGGAGCGGGAACGGGAGCTGGTGCTGGGGCTGTTGGTGGCGGTCGGGTTGGTACGTATTGGGCTAGTTGTTCGTATCGAGCTTCCATCTGAGCCAGCCGGTCCATCATCATCATCATCATTTCTTGTGTCGATGGTTGTGGAGGTGGTACGGGTTGGTCTGAGGGACCAGGCATGTTCTGGTCTCCAATGTTCTCGAAGCTCGATCCGCTGGAGTGGGACATGGTGGAGTTGTTGGTGGGGTACCTGTAAGGGCAACCTCAAGATAGCCGCACAGTGCAGGCCTAGCAGAGGGAGAATCCAAAGAAATGAATAAGACTAACTACAATACATGAGAGAGCTGCTCACCTAGCAGAGGGAGAATCCAAAGAGAACAGGATGGGGATTCTCCATGCTAGGAAGCGAAGTATATACTGTAGTAGCGTGGGAGGAATGAAGGGTAACTGTACAGTACACCAGCCACAGGTCTGAACGAATATCACAAGGTACGAGGGGGCATGTGATAATGAAGTGAAAGGGGAATGTACAGGAGTCGTGCCAGTGACCTGGGGAAGTGGGGACAAGGAGTAATGAAGTGGGAAAGGAGGATAGAGGTAGCCCGGACGAGCCCCAAAGTGTATCTACGAGTCCAAGCAAGTCCGAAGCGTCCGAGCGAGTCCGAGGCGAGTCCGAAGTGCGGGAAGACTTCGGAGTCACCGGACGGGGCTCGGATGCGAAGGGAGTGAACGGAAGGGAAGCGGAAAGGTAAGGGGACAAAAGGAAAGGAAAGGGAATGAAGGAAAGGGGAAAGGAACGAGGAGGAAGGGGGCGGGACAGGGGGAATAGGAGAAAATAGGAGTGTCCCCTTACAGTACCCTGTCAATTGACGTTGAACTTCAAACTAGTGCGCGCCGGCACCTGAGCGGACAACGTGAATGAGGAAGGAGTTCTTCGGCTTGGCTAGATGCGAAGCTTCACACTGTCTTGCTCAACCGACGAGGTAGAGCCTTCTTTCTTACTCAGCACCTCGCGCGCTGACCCCTCTCCGAGGATTAGTGATCAGTCGGCGCCTTTAGATTCACTCGGAGGGTCGTCTAAATGTTACCCCGCTGGAGTATTGAATCTGCGGTTCGAATTGGGTGGGAAACTATAAGGGTATGAAATGAACAATCAAAGCCTAACAGGCTTATCGGCAGAAATTGGAAAGAAGTTATGCGGTGGATAAAACGAGAAAGATGAGACGTATCCTGTCTTGATGTCGGGTGGTCGATCTTCGCAGTTAGACGCTGCAGAGTAGGATGGATGAGGATGTAGAATGTAGGAGGGACGTTGAAGGGGTAGCTCGTTCTTCTGTTAGGGCGACACTAGTCAAAGACTAACGTGGCTCCTACAAGAATACTAAAACCAAAAGAATAGATGAAGTAGCTTAGTTGACTTAGTTCTCACTATTACTAGCGGAAATCCCAAGAGAACGAGCTAGCGTTCTCGGGTATGTTATTGGTACTTAAATACTAAAATACATGCATAACCCTCGTGTACTACTACATGCCTACTGCAGCCGTCTTTCCATGGAACGCGCACCGATTCCATGAGGAGCTTGGTAATGTACTGCGGACATGTGTTAGACGTGAGGATCTTACTAAGGTATGGTAATGAGAATTAGTAATAGGCGCGTCTTTGCGCGTTTAGATAAGATATAGGAAAAGATAATTGTTCGGATCAGACCGGGCCATAACAACTTACTTGATGATGAAACTGTCGTTGTTCAACAGGACTGGTCCAACCCGCTTGTCCGACCACATATACACGTTTATCCGGAGGTTGCAGGACCTGTATCCGAGTTTTGGCAAGGAAAGAAATGGACTGATGAAATACCTTTGGACGAGCTTTCTCCCATGTGGGCGGACTGGAAGAATACACCATATCGTCATTATTATATCAAAGAGCTTGCCCAACTTGATGATGCGAGGTTCATTATTCCCATGAAGTGGATTACTGTTAAAGGCATTGTTCATGCCGAAGCATACATGGTTGAAAAGTGCAGTACGCAGGTCAGTGATTAACGCCGATATTATCAAAGACGAGAACTAATGGTGAAACATGTCGTAAAGCTGGGCTTATTTCAGATTGCTGATCCCGAGCCTATCCGTGTATGCGCCGACCACTTGAAGTTGAATGTTCTGGACCTTCAGGCTGTAGTGGGTGCTTGTATTGTGTTTTTCCCTGGCCGTGCGTTGCTCTTGAGTCGATTCTGGGGCCTATTCTGACTAAACCTCACTTTCAGAGGTTGTGTCCTTTCCATGGCTCGCTTCTCCAAAGAACCCATTGCGAGCGATTGCCAATGGTCGCCCTATGTTCCGTCTCCGTGTAATGGGCTGGAGCGATGATGTCTCGGGGAATGTCAGCAAACAGTATAACGCACACACCAATGTTTACATTCAGAATCTTGGGATTCCGCACCAGAAGCTTTCCCAGGAGTACAACGTTAGATTTGTTTCCACTTCACCGCATGCGTCCTCATCCGAACAATTTGCAGGAACGCCATCCGACTTGTGAGGCGCTTCAAAGTTCAACTCGTTTAGCTTCTGTTGACAGGCATTCTACAGTGCAGAAAATGCTTGGCACGACGTGTACGATTCCGAGCTTGAACAGGATATTCTGTTTCAACTCATTGACCACATCCTTCCGGCGGATAATCCCCAGCAATCAGAAGATTGCTCTCATATTGGTGTGAAAGGTAATCTTCTCTGTCGGCGTGATACAGTCGGTGGCTCGAGTGCTGTGAAGGAGAGTGATGAGGGGTATGAAGCACTTTTCCAGGTACGTAGTCATTCACCTACCTCTGTATTAAGAGCTGACAAAACTCATTAACTGTGTTCCTTTGAAGCCCGGTCATCCTCGCACGCCCGACGAAACCTCTCAGGGTATACGTGAACAACTCCGGGCAGCATGTCTTGGGAACAAGGACACCGTGCAGAATCTACAGACACAGACTGGTGTCAAGGATAAGCTTGCACAATGCTGGATAGACATCCTTCTTGGTAACGCACGAGAGCAACAAGAAATCCAGCTTAATAACCCGGAGACACGAGATTCACGATTGAACGACAGGCGTCTCAAAGGTGATGCGCGAAAAGCAGTGAAGCTGGAGATTACAACAGCTATCCAGGACTCACTATGGAATTGGCTGATAGGTCTTTCTCCGCCACTGAAAGACCAGTCCTATCCGCGTGATTTGGTCCCTGGGTTCCATTACAATGCATTGTTGGCGAGACGAGGTACGGACAGTGTGGTCAATCTTGTTCCAGCTGGCAATCTGAATCGGCATTTCAAAGGGCTCGATCCTCACCGCGATACAAGTGTAGAAATATTGCACACAATTTTACTTGGTAACAACAAGTACGTGTGGCACGAAACGAGTAGCACGTGGGATAATAAGAAGGACAACCTGTTCGCCGTCCGCTTGCAATCATCCAGCATTGACGGACTGAACATGCAAGCTCCTCCACGAGCACAATATCTTGTCAAGTACAAGAATTCCCTCATCGGTAAACATTTCAAATGCCTGCAGCAACTCGCCGTGTTCCATCTTTCAGATTTGTGTCCCGACCATCTTTTCAATCTTTGGAAGGCCAGCGGTGAATTAGGCGCATATTTGTGGTTCCCCGAAATCGCAAATATGGAGCAATATCTCATGTGTATCTATTAGCACCAGACTCTCAACAGGAAACTTATATATCCAACAGAGTGATCTCGAGATCCTGATAGGGAATCTACTCGACGCATGGGCCCTGTTTGATCCCAACCGGATCATCACTAAAGCCAAACTGCACGTCCTCACCCACCTCGTCGAAGATGTCCGCAGATTTGGTCCTGCAATTTTGTATTCGACTGAGGTCTTTGAGTGCTGGAACGCAGTGTTTCGAACATGCAGCGTGCTTTCCAATCATCTTGCGCCGAGCAAAGATATTGTGACAACACTTGGCCATATGGAACGCTTCAAACATCAAGTAAGCGGCGGGTGGTGGAAAGACAACAAAGGGGAGAACGTACGCGCTGGAAAGATGATCTGATCATTCCTTGGATCTTGTCCTGACCTTCAGCGCCGCCTGGGATGGGCAGATACTTCTGCCGTGTCACCTGGTGAGAGCAGATTCACTTCATGCCTTACCAATACTAATATTTAACAGGGACCGTCAAAATGGTCCCAATTTGTGATCAGATTCCCTTGACGCGAAACCAGATCCTTGCTTCCGTCGATCCTGGAGACTTAATCACCGCGGAGGACATTGGACAACAAGCCGGCACTTGGGTACGGTGCAGACACGCGATTTCACGGTCAATTGATATCTGCAAGGATGGATCCTGGGTGTTCTTCAACAATGCGGAGGTAAGAAAACTCCCGAGTATCGCCAAGAGAGACCTAGCTTATCTCCCCGCAGGAAGCTCATGTCGGGCAGATCCTATCCATCACCTGCTCTTCGGAGGCAACAAACGATGCAATGGTATTAATCAGCCATTTTAATATTGCTGATCAGCCCGACGGACGTCTTGATATGCCCATACTTCTTCGTTCGGGAAAAGTATATCTTGTGAGGCCGAAGGTAAGCTTATATGACATTCACTGCACAAATTGTAAGTGCTCACGCAATGAGCAGGCAATTCAATTCATTTTCAATGCCCAGCATGACTGCCAAAATGGGGGTTGCAAAATCACCAACAGCGACGAAGTCGTCGAGCAAGAACGTTTGAAGACCACTATACCACTGAAAACTATCAGGCATCTCGAGAAGAACAGATTTATTGTCAACATGCACGCACTCCATAACGCCCATTTACTTCGCGCTGTCCTTCCTCGGGCACTGACGGCACCCAAGCCGAGTCTGACGAACCGTTTGGAGAGCCATCGCGTGTTCGCCTCGAAGTTACGAGTGAGTGGTCCAGCGAGACGCGCTGGAGCCAAAGAAAAGGCCAGAGTGACCAGAGAGCAGAATAAACTAAAGAGAGCAGCACCAAGCACAGCAGCGGCACCTTCAACCGCAGTGAGCGCTGGCAATGTGGAGAATATCATGCAGGAGGATAATTTGGATATGGCAGTTGATAGTTGATAGACGAGGAATGTCGATGTGGTTATGTGTGCATTTCTGGCTCGGGACGACGTCAGAAGGCTGCTTTGAGAGCCTGGATACCTCGCGATGAACGTCCTGGGAGCTCAGAAAAAGCCCAACAAAGTGCTCAGGGTGGGATATCCAAGGACATCGATCAGATCTCTATGTATGCTTGTGTTTGATAGTCAAGGGACCTCATCGCCTGATGTCCTGCATTCCTCCTTACAAGTTGGCAGTGTACGGGTGCAGTCTTGTCGCAACTGGATCCGGATGATGGTAAATGGCATCCTGTCGCATTCTACTCTAAAAGTCTACAGGCTGCGGAGCGGAACTACGAAATACACGACAAGGAGATGCTTTCAATCATCTGGGCGCTCGAAGAATGGCGGCACTACCTTGAAGGTGCAGAGACTCCGTTCGAGATCTGGACGGACCACAAGAACCTGGAGTACTTCATCAAGGCCCAGAAGCTCAACCGCTGTCAAGCCCGCTGGTCGCTATACCTCTCCCGCTTCGACTTCACTCTCCAGCATCGTCCGGGTCGGACTATGGGTAAACCGGACGCTCTCTCGCGACACTCGGATCATTCGGATGGTAAGGATGACAACAAGGATGTAGTGATGCTCAAGCCTTCCTACTTTGCTGTCCGTGCCACGGGTGTCACTCTTGAAGGGGAGGAGAAGGATATCCTCACGGCTATCCGGACTGGAGTGCGAGATGCGAAGTTCGAAGACACAGTGGCAAAGGCGGCAGAGGAGCTGAAGAAGACCCAGGGCAGTCGCAAGACAGTCCGAAGTGCGGAATGGTCCCAATCGGACGGACTCCTCATGTTCCGGGGTAAGATCTACGTTCTGGACTCACCGGATTTGTGTCGGACTATTGTAGCTCAGCACCACGACACCAAGGTCACAGGACACGCCGGCAGATGGAAGACCCTAGAGCTCATTTCGCGCAGCTACTGGTGGCCCAACATGTCCCGGTACGTCGGATCCTACACCCGCCATTGCGACCTCTGTCTCCGGTGTCACACTCAGTGGGGTTTTCACTAAATGCTTTGGATGTAGTTGGATCAGTCAAGATAGATCAAACAGTCACCCAAGTTGTGCAGGCTGAGAGGTGTGTTATTGATAATAATGGCTTTGGAACTATACTACTGAGTAGTACAGATAGGGGAAATAGGAGTGGAAAGGGTTAGAAGGGTTGGAAGGAAGGAAAGAAGTGTAGGGTAAAACACTTCACAACACGTTAGTACGAACTACTCAACAAGTGAATAATACGTAGGTAAACACAAGCAAATAGTAGACTGACTGAGACAAGTAGCACTGAGACGGAGTAATGTTCCTGACTGAGTATACTAGCAATGCTCCAATAATACAAAACTGCGATACGACAATTCAACTGAAATATGAAGCTCTAGATCAGACGTTTCTGCTAGATCACTTCCGATATTATTACTAAACACCTATAGAATCGTTCTATAGTCTAATGCTTAGCCAGCAACGGTCTATACGAAATCAATATGACTGGGGAGCAATCACTAAAGTATAAAGACTTAGGTGTACACAAGACACGTAATCTTATTTCTCTAGCAGGGGTTTCACAGGTCGAAGCACTCAATTATCAACTAATCAAGTTTATTCTTTACTATGTAACCTACAGTAATACTCTACTTAATAAGAAGTAGGTACTGCAAAAGAAAAGGAGGGAAGAGGATGAGAAATGAGGGCAGGAGAAGAAAGATGGTAAAAAGTCTTTTTTTCTATCTACTACAATTTGGGGTTTATATAGACTACAGAGGAAAGGAGGCAGTGCAATGCCAAGCATTTCAAGGCTGTGCTGAATCTCTGAATGACTCATATTTCAGCAGGAGTAAGCCAATGATTTGTAATGGCCAAGCCAAAGCTTAGTAAGTTAAGGCTTGCTGCTTAGTAAGTACAATTTTCCACTACATCCTGGAAAGTTCTATAAACTTCTCAGACATTCTACTATGTTCTTGTATGTCTTTCAAGTTATTTGAGCTTTTTATGAACAAGATCTAATGTCACTTTGATAAGTATTTGCAAAATACTAGAAGGTTCCGTAAAGTGCTTCAACTTTCCGTACAGTTCTTGTCATTTCCGCAATCTTTACTTATCATGTAACATAGTGATTTAAGACTTGTTGACTTAATAGGATGTTGGGATATTAATTAGGGGTCCCAGAAGTAAATAGGGAAAGGTAGGAAATAATGTCTATGATCGTTATATGAGGTCTGTTTGACTTGACTCAATTTGCAAGTGTATGCCTTGGTTTTATAGTAGCGTATGAAATAGCTACAAAACTCTAATATCCATGTCACTTACTACAAATCCCAATTTGGAGTATGACACCGGACGAAGGCCCAAAGGCATCCGCCCATGGGTGAACTTCATCCGCTTCCCATTCCGGATGAACGCTGGGATCGCCTGAGTGTCGACTTCATCGTCGAGCTTCCGGAGTCCGATGGATTTGACGCTGTCATGAATGTGGTCGACTCCGTAAGCAAATGCGCCCACTTCATTCCGACTCACACCACAGTGTCTGCCCTCGGATCCGCAAACTTGTACCTGCAGAACGTCTGGAAGCTGCATGGACTCCCTCGGTCTGTTGTGTCCGACCGGGGTCCGCAGTTCGTTGCAGAGTTCACCCGGGAAGTCTACCGGATGCTCGGAATCAAGCTGGCTGCCTCCACTGCGTACCACCCTCAGTCCGACGGACAAATGGAACGGACTAACCAGGAACTCAAGTCCTATCTCCGGATCTTCATTGGAGAGCCCCAGGACGACTGGGCTCGCCTCCTACCTATGGCGGAGTTTGCGTACAACAACCGGGTCCATGCGTCCACTCAGCAGTCACCTTTCCTCCTAGATACTGGCCGACATCCTCGCCTTGGGTTCGAACCTCATCAGCCACCGTCTCGGATGGAGTCCGCAAACGAGTTTGTACACCGGATGAAGTCCGCAGTCGACGAAGCTCAGTCTGCATTGGTCAAGGCTCAGGATGACATGAAGCGCTACTACGATCAGTGTCGGACCCCTGCTCCGGAGTACCAACCGGGTGACAAGGTTTGGCTGGACTCGTCGGACATCAACCTTGCCCGACCCTCCCGGAAACTCGGACACGCACGACTCGGTCCTTACAAGGTCGTCCGGAAGGTTGGCAAGGCAGCGTACCGACTCCAGCTCCCTCTGGGCTTATCCCGCCTCCACCCTGTCTTCCCCGTGGTCAAACTCTTTCCCTTCGTCCCGGACCCCATTCCAGGTAGACGCCCCGTTGCTCCACCCCCTCCACAGCTTGTTGATGGAGAAGAAGAGCATGAGGTAGAAGAGGTCCGTAATAGCAGACGGTTTGGTCGGGTCCTGAAGTATCTGGTACGCTGGCAAGGCTATGGCATCGAGCATGACTTCTGGGAGCCGGCGAGCAACCTCCAGCATGCTGCCCAGAAGGTCAAGGACTTCCATGATCGTCATCCGGACGCAGTGCGCTCACTCCGGACGAGTCCGACGACTCCAGCACCGCTCCGGATGACTCCTACAGCACTGGACCAGTCTTGGGAGCGTTGGCGCAGTCGGAAGGCTCCGGGCTCTGTGCAGTCGTACTTCGACATCTTCTCGCAGCAGTCCGGAGTTTCTGTAAGGGCAACCTCAAGATGGCCAACAGCGCAGGCCTAGCAGAGGGAGAATCCAAAGAAATGAATAAGACTAACTACAATACATGAGAGAGCTGCTCACCTAGCAGAGGGAGAATCCAAAGAGAACAGGATGGGGATTCTCCATGCTAGGAAGCGAAGTATATACTGTAGTAGCGTGGGAGGAATGAAGGGTAACTGTACAGTACACCAGCCACAGGTACGAACAAATATCACAAGGTACGAGGGGGCATGTGATAATGAAGTGAAAGGGGAATGTACAGGAGTCGTGCCAGTGACCTGGGGAAGTGGGGACAAGGAGTAATGAAGTGGGAAAGGAGGATAGAGGTAGCCCGGACGAGCCCCAAAGTGTATCTACGAGTCCAAGCGAGTCCGAAGCGTCCGAGCGAGTCCGAGGCGAGTCCGAAGTGCGGGAAGACTTCGGAGTCACCGGACGCGGCTCGGATGCGAAAGGAGTGGGTGGAAAGGAAGTGGAAAGGAAAGGGAGCGAAAAGGAACGAAGGGGAATGAAGGGAATGTAGGTAAGAGTCCATGGAATGAAGGAAAGGAGAGAAAATAGGAGTGTCCCCTTACATCACCCCCCCTTCAAGGTTGCGGCGACCCAACACGAAGATTCCTGCCTGCCGCTGTCATACCGCAAAATTGGATTTTGCATGTATGTACATATATTTGCACTCCTTATCAATCTGAGTATGTGAATCACAGGACAATTTACTTATTGATTTTATCTACATTTTACCATACTTTATAACACATACCAAGCATCAGTGACACTGGATAGGATTAACGGTGACTCCTAGCCCCTGACTTTATCTTATCAACTCCCTTTCTTCATCCATCATCTTCAAACATTGATAATCACTGATTCCCTCATGGATAATTCTGGTGATTCCTGATTGGACGAGACATGGGAAACTGATGAATCCAAATTGGTATAGCATGGGAAAGAATCTATTATTAGACCTGACTCACTCTGACTCATTCTGAGTCATGAGAAGCCTCTAAAATACGGAAGGCGACTCACAAGGTGACTCACAATGTGGCTCACAATGTGACTCACAAGGTGATTCACAAGACAACTCACCAAGTGATTCACAAGGTAGCTCACAAAGTGACTCACAAGGCCACTTATGGAAGGTGATTCACAAAGTGATTCACAAGGCAGCTCACCAATTCACACAGCCCAAATATAACATGTTATGAGTCATATTGAGTCATTAGCTTAGTAATAGTTCCTTCTTCGGTCCGATGGAGTACAAACAAGACCAAATCTTGTAGTAGTATATAAACCCCGGGCTGAATCCCGAATAAAACAAGTTTTAACCAAGTTTAATAACAACAGCTGGAGAGCTCTAAGAGAAAGACTACTGCAGATTCTACAACAGAATCCACAGTCTAATACAATCATCTGACATCTAACTAAGCAAAAAGAGTTGCCTAGTTAGTATTTGTGTGAAGAGGTCAATTTCAGCAATACGAAGTTGCTTAGGAATTCCTCTAGTGTGACATCAAGACTGCTTTTGAGAAGCAAAGACTAGCTGTGCCTAGTATCAAGTTATCATAAAAGTCATTTCAAGAGACCTGAGAAATACACAACGAACTGATTATAGGTGAGTCCTAAAGAGAAAAGTACTAACTTTATTTTTTTAGGACACCAGATAAATTCAGCAAGAGACACCCCTAAGTTGAATTAGGCATTGAAGTACAGTATCAATCAGCTCTTTTCAATAGGAGTATTGCATATTGTATCTACGAACCACCAGGTATCTACTTGATCTATAGAAAGACCCAGAGAGCCTGGACACTAAACTGTTAAATCAGTAAGTGTGTACGACACCGCGCCACGAATTCACCAACCCCAAAACTGTAAGGGGACACTCCTATTTTCTCCTACTCCCCCTGTCCCGCCCCCTTCCTCCTCGTTCCTTTCCCCTTTCCTTCATTCCCTTTCCTTTCCTTTTGTCCCCTTACCTTTCCGCTTCCCTTCCGTTCACTCCCTTCGCATCCGAGCCCCGTCCGGTGACTCCGAAGTCTTCCCGCACTTCGGACTCGCCTCGGACTCGCTCGGACGCTTCGGACTCGCTTGGACTCGTAGATACACTTTGGGGCTCGTCCGGGCTACCTCTATCCTCCTTTCCCACTTCATTACTCCTTGTCCCCACTTCCCCAGGTCACTGGCACGACTCCTGTACATTCCCCTTTCACTTCATTATCACATGCCCCCTTGTACCTTGTGATATTCGTTCAGACCTGTGGCTGGTGTACTGTACAGTTATGTACCCTTCATTCCTCCCACGCTACTACAGTATATACTTCGCTTCCTAGCATGGAGAATCCTTATCCTGTTCTCTTTGGATTCTCCCTCTGCTAGGTGAGCAGCTCTCTCATGTATTGTAGTTAGTCTTATTCATCTCTTTGGATTCTCCCTCTGCTAGGCCTGCGCTGTCGGCCATCTCGAGGTTGCCCTTACAGCTGCGCCCTCCTAGCCCTGCGGTGTCCCGATTTCGGAGAGAGCAAGGTGAGAGGCGGGCTCCGCAGAGGAGCCCGCAGTGAAGACTTAGAAGGCAAGATGGCGAAATAGGAACTAAGATTCAGAGTAGAAAATTCATGTCTACTAGTGCTACTATAAATACTAACTAACACATGTATGTAGTGAGGCTTAGTATGTAAGTACGCATGTAGGTGAAACATGTAACAGGTGAATCCAAGTGCTGCGCACCATGCATAGGCTGCGAGGGCGGAGCCTGAGGGGCTCCGAGGGTCCGAGTATCCGAAAGGGGCGTAGGGGGGGACCCCTAAGAGGGTGTGAGGACTGGTATATGACACCTTGACACAGTCCTTAACAAATACAGCCCAAATGATATAAGCAGAATATCATAAATAGATATGTGGAACCACGTTGATGTGTGGAAGACTCAAGGAAAACGAGATGAGAGGATCAGTGAGTATGATTGACTGTCTGTTAGGGCGACGCTAATACACAACAAGGCGTATGCGGACCCAACAAGAATACAAGTGGAAAGTAGTAGATTAAGAGAGGTGAGAGGTGAGGAGCGATAGCGAAGACGCTGACTTAGGCACTAGTATTAGTGGTATTCCCAAGAGAACGAGTTAACGTCTCTGGGTGTCTATTAGGGCACTTATATACTACTGTACATGCTATGTCCTCATGTCTAACTACATGCTGCATCCTGTCGTCTTTCCATGGAATGCTTAGCTCAGCTGCATGTGGTATGACGCTTGTTGACTGCGCCCATGCAGTAGCGGCGAGGCGCTGACTGAGACCATTAGTCAGACGGCCCGGATGACGTAAGTAGTAAGTCGTAATACATCATGTGCCTGATAAGATAAGAAAGATAGTTGGAAAAGAAAGAAAGAAACGTCGGACCATAACATCACCCCCCTCTTACGACTCGTCAATTCCACTTGACGACATTATTTCTTCGATATGAATACTACCGTCCCCTACTTCGCCACCTGGAATAGTCTTAGTTCCAACGAACCAGGCAGTACTGTGACTGTTGTATACAACACAGTGGCAGTAGTGCACCACCCGGTGGTACACCATTGTGGTAAACTGCCACTGGTGACAACCGTGGAATACCACTCAGTGGCAGTGGCTGTGCCCTTGCCGGGCGTCAAAACTCAGCCACCTTCCTTTTTGAGTGGATTTCATGCTCCGCGCCTTCCAAATCAATCTTGTAAATGATTGGCATAATCAGGCTTCCACGGTCAGTCCTGTTGTGAGATAGTATTGTGAGATAGTAGATTCTTCTATCGCATTTGTCCCCAATCCGTCTACCATCCCATCATCCACTTTGTGGACCTGCGAGCAGTAATACATGTCTTGAGATCACAATAAAACATGTGCACATACTGCAATCTTCTTCACAAAATATCATGAGACTCATAGGCTTCTGCTAAGTCCATTCTCCAACCCTTGGCTAATTTGCTAAGTCCCATACATGAGAAATGCTAAGTCTTATACCTGCACTAACTAAGTTTCTCCAAGTCCCTCAGTTCAGTCGATCATCTCGTTAAGTTCGCAAATCTCACATTAATGAACAAGAAAGGTTTTGAACATTGACGAATGATACATAACAAAGCTGTAACTACTAGCGACGACTGTTGGAAGCACACGCAGCGGAGCTACGTGTGACGCGAGTGGGAGGGACAGTCGGAGGGTCTGCTTGTTTGCGGCGCTTGCTAGAGACACGAGCAAGAGGGGCAGCCTCTGCTTGTTTGCGGCGTCGGCCGGCCAAGGTGGAGTTTTCTTTTCCAATGTTAGTGCCAGCACCTCTGCGCTCCTTGATAGTTGAACGCCTGCGGGGATCTGTATAAACAAAATACGTTACCATTAATATGGGGTACGCACTGGGGTACAGAACCCGTCTCCTCGCAGAGGTTTGCTAGGGCCTTCAAGGTGTGCTTCAAGTCGGCTGTGGCAGTAAGCCATAAGGGAGACAGGCCGACGGCCTTACCCCACCACGCGAAAGCCATCATGACGATCAGGAGTCCGTTAGACCCTGTAACCTTGAGGACACTCCAATTCTGGCCCTCCGGCGTGTGATACAAAGGAAGCGGTAGGGGGTCTGTCGAAGTACGCCATTCCGGCTGAAGATACGCCCACCAGGTGAGCAGCTCCTGCTCGTACTGTGCTATATCAGAGATGTCGGGATCAGTAGTAAAGTTTTGCCCATAGGCGAACCATCGTGCGATCTGAGGGGGGCGGTTCACAGTGGAGAAGTGTTGCTGTCGAGTTTGTGAGCCGGGTTCATGGAGGTTGAGGATACAATCACGTACCTTGGTGCCCTCAGGTTGAGCTTTCTCGAGCTGATTTCTCTCAATACCCTCCCACAGGTCTACCGCTTCACGCCAATCAGGTCCCTCGGTGGCTCGTAGACGTTTGAGAGCTTGTTGAAGCCATGAATCTGGGCGGAGGCCCTGTGAAGCCCGAAGTGTCGTGTTGTGCTCAACGGTTGCGTCGTGGGAAGGACTCCTCCGTCCGTCGTTTGTATTTTCAGGTGGTGGTGAGCGGGCTGGTGGTGGTGAGCCGGCAGGTGGTGGTGAGCCGGCAGGTGGTGGTGAGCTGGAATGAGGGAGTTGTGGTTCGGCACGAACTGGCCCATCCTCTCGACCTCCAGATGTGCTGCTGGGAGCGTTCTCAGGTGGTGGTGAGTTCGAGGCTTGTGGCTCAGCCTGTGCCGCTTCACCCTCAGAATGTCGAGGGGAGACGTTTTCGCTGCCATCGCCAGACGGAGGGGTGGGAGTGGGGGTTCTTGCCGTACCATCAGTGCCACCCTCCGGTTGGGCCATCTGAGGCGTTCTGTGCCCGTTACCAACAAGCCCTTCCTGAGGGATCGGAGGGCGAGGGATTGGGGAGCGAGACGATGGGGAAGGTGGACCAACGGAACCCTGATTGGGCATGTGTTCAAGTGTGCTCCCTTCCGAGGCTGGAACCTGGGCACCACTTTCCCCTTTTGGCATGAACTTGTGTCAGGCGCCCGTCAACTCTCAAAGTCAAACATGTACCACACAAATTCCTGACAAACGAGGTCCATGGCTTCATCACAACTTCGTTGAAATCGCTGTAAGCGTGTTCGAAATCAACACCATTCCTTGTTTGCCCGAGATGAAAGCTGTTTGTTCCCCTTAGCACAGATACCAGGTTTCTTATCGCCGTTGAAACGTACCTCGCCGTCTGGACCACACCAGCCGCACCACGCCCACCACTCAAGATCGTAAAGTACCATCCCGAAACGTCATGCATTTCCTTAGTGGCCACGTCCATGAGACGAGGAAGACGCCGAAGCCCTCTGAAATGAAAGGTAAGTACCATACTCGAACGTTGCTATAATATACTCACTCTTGTTGGTCATCTGGCATAGGATCGTTGTCCTCCTCAGACATTCTTCGCATTCGGCTCTCGTCCAGCGCAACCAATACCTCACTTGTTTGTTCTTCTGTCGCGCCCTTCCATGCCGCCATGATCTCAGCACCGTAGATCTTCATCCGACGACTCGATTTCTCCGCCTTCGTTTCCTGGATAAGCTCTCCAGCCGGATCACGAGGTGCCTCGTCTCGCAGTCGCTTCTGAACGGTCTTCTGGGTATCTGAGCCTTGGTAGAATCGTGCCGAATACATCTCTGTCGCCTTTCGAGAGTGCTTGCCAGTATTCTTCTGCTCATGCAGCTTCACAAGCTTTCTAATGTATCCAGGCGAATCCACGCGACAATCGGGACACATGTGGTTTCGAAACCAGTCTTGCAGTTGCTATTAGCTCTAGATAAGTAACTTCGCTATTATTATCATGAACGAGCTAGCTTACCGCTTTACGTTGCAGGATGCCCTTTTGAGCTGTCTCCTGTTGTTCAGGTGACCATAGCTCGGGCGCAATGTTCACTACATCGGCCGCAACAGCCTCAGGGAACGCGATGAACCATGCCGAAAAAAGGTCGTCCCAGAAAAACATGTAATTTTTCTTTTCGCTGGCTTGTTTGTAACGCGGCCCCCATCCAGTAAGAAACTCTTCTTGGTCTTTTGTCGTCCACTTGCGGCCCATTCCTAGTTGTACAGCGCGGTGGTCTCAGGGTGGAGATTGGGTTTCCCCAGCCAATCAATCTCCTGATGGTCAAATCGCCTGAGCCAATGAAAATTGGGCATTCCTTGCTTCTGCTTCTCACGGCATTCTCATAAAGCCCCGCTACAAGCCCCGTCCCCCCCATCAGTCCCACCATGGCTATTACTACTGACTCCGAAATCTCTCGCCTTGCTGAGATGGTCGCTAGCCTTGCAGTGCAGGTGGCAGCACTAACACCTCGTACGTCTCGCCTATACTCTCGTCGTTGTTTGAATTGGCTAATATACATGATTCACAGCGGCGAACAATGCTGGCGCTGGTGCCAATCCCTCTCCTCCGGCTCCGGCGCCAACTCCCGCTCCTGTGGCTGTTGCAGCCAACTCTGCGCCTCCAATTGTCCCTGGCGACGGACCCACCATGGGGTGAGCATGCCCGCCTAATTGGTTGATGATTCGTCGCTGATCGAGATTGCCAGGCTCCTCCGAAGACCAGGAAGCAGAGGCCTCGACTTGTAAGTCATAGTCTGGCAGATCGATTCCTCGGGTTTGTCCCATATTTTTAGGTTCGCACCGGCGCTGGTACGTTGTTATAGTTGGCCTCCAAGTGGGTGTTTTCCGCGGCTGGTTAGTTTGCTTTCCATTTCTTTGTGGGGGTAGACACTGATCATTGGCTAGGACAAACGCCGCCCCCCTTGTGCTTGGTGTTGCAGGCTCGATCTACAACAAGGAGCCTACCCGTGGGGCCGCCATTGTGGCTTTCAATGCCGCCGCTGCGACTGGCCAGGTCTGCCTCATTGACTAAGCTACTGTTTGTCTTGCGTACCAGCCGAATATTCGATATCTCTTAATTTCAAACATGTTGTTCGTGCGCTCTTTGTCACTCCATCTGGGAGAATATATTGTTTGTCTACATCTTACAAGCGGGATCGATACAACATTGCTAGTGAGAAATACAACTATATTCCCACAGTCAATGTAGACATCAGTAAGGTAGTCTTCCCACGGTCAGAGCCAAAGGCGCCCATATCTATCTTCTCATGGGCACTAATTAGGCCTTCAAACATAGCCTTCGACATAGGATACACCAGGGAGGTTAGTGCCAACTGCCCACCCACCACTTACGACTACGCTACGTCTGTGGTGTTGTATTCATTAACCCTCAAACAAACTCAAAAGTTTTGAAAAAACACTCACGTCTTCACCTAGGTTCACATACGGGGTTCAAAGGTTACTACGAGTCGCTGCGCTCCGTTTGACCAGTCCGACACTATGGTGAGCCCCCATACGCTACAACTCTGAATACGCCACATATTCCCTTTCATTATCCTTCTAGATGTCCCACCACAGTACCAGCGCTCTTTAATACCTCACCACAGTGCCAATAACACTCAATGTCAAGTACGAACTCGCCACGATCACCACGAACTCGCCACGATCGCCACGAACTCGCCACGATTATTACGAACTCGCCACGATTATCACGAATTCGCCACAATTGCCACGAACCCCGTCACGATCAGCGCAAACTTGCCATGCTCATCACGACCCGCCGTCCGTTTGAGTTTGCCCCATTGTCCCTCTCTTCCTCCTCCACTCCGATCTTCAAATCATGACGAATGTTCAACAAAGCAAACACCGTAAAGCGGCTGCTTCATACTATGAAAAGTAAGCCCTTCATCAATCTATGCATAGTCTCGATTCATATTCCGTCTCCCTCCAGGAACAAGGATGCGCTTCGTGAAAAAGCTCGCTTACGAATGCGCCGCCTCCGCGCAAGTGACACTTCCAAGGACGAAACAGTGGCAGCCAATGCAGCCGCGTCCAAGCGTGCCTCACAGGCAAAATACCATGAAAGGTGAGTACCCAGTTTTTGCAGACATCAAGTGCCATCCACTCAATCTATTCTGCAGTCGACGTGAAATTCTTTGCGCAAAAGAAGCACGCCGGCGTGTTAGGTTTGCAGGTTTCTATCGGATCTCCCATCTGATTTAACAAGTCATGTTTAGCAAAAAAGTGCTGGCCGGTATCATGGCCCTCTTTCCCCCGGCTGATCATGTCGACGCTGAAGAAGATAATGAATGCAGCGAAGTTAGCGATATTGGGTATTTGGGCAATGGAAACCCATCGGACACAGACAACGAAAGCGAGGCCAAAATCAAAGCAGAAGCGAAGACGCCCCCGATAGTTCCGAAGGTGCTTAGTTCATCCAGGCGTCGTGTAATGCCCCGATGGCTCGAACAAAGGCAACAATCACCATTCTCTGACAACTTGGAATAGTGGGCGTATTTAATATTTATTGATACCGTTACCTGAGGCAGATTCTGTGTGTCGACGGAAGGGAACATGGCCAACAAACAAGTTTCAAACAAGCTTCGCTCCCGTCGCCTGCGCCACTGACTCCCGTAGGGCATGCGGATCCCTTCCCGAAGCTAGTACGTTTCCTCTCGCAATAACAACTGAACACCCAGGCTGAAAGAACCTACGTGTCCCCCATCGCTTGCCACCCATGCCCCCGCCCGATCCACATTCCTCAGCTTACACCCGACTCCGAAAACGCAAGCGGCACACCAGTCCCACTGCGCACGATGTTCTACCTCCAGCAATTCGCCCCCGGACGGTTGTGGAAATCGAAGGGCCAGATGTTCAGGATGAGCTGGACGTCGAGAACGATTCGGATGTTCCGAGTGAACCAGATGTCGAGAACGACCCAGACACCGAGGACCCAGACACCGAGGACAATACAACCGAGTTAGACAGCAGGTCTGCAGAGTCGGAAACAGACACTGAAGAAGAAGATAGTCATTTCGCGCCCGACCACTATGTGTAAGGGGACACTCCTATTTTCTCTCCTTTCCTTCATCCCATGGACTCTTACCTACATTTCCTTCGTTCCCCTTTGTTCCTTTTCGCTTCCTTTCCTTTCCACTTCCTTTCTGCCCACTCCTTTCGCATCCGAGCCACGTCCGGTGACTCCGGAGTCTTCCCGCGCCTCGGACTCGCTTCGGACACCTCGGACTCGCTGGGACGCTTCGGACTCGCTCGGACTCGTAGATACACTCCGGGGCTCGTCCGGGCTACCTCTATCCTCCTTTCCCACTTCATTACTCCTTGTCCCCACTTCCCCAGGTCACTGGCACGACTCCTGTACATTCCCCTTTCACTTCATTATCACATGTTTCCTCGTACCTTGTGATATTCGTTCAGACCTGTGGCTGGTGTACTGTACAGTTACCCTTCACTCCTCCCACGCTACTACAGTATATACTTCGCTTCCTAGCATGGAGAATCCCCATCCTGTTCTCTTTGGATTCTCCCTCTGCTAGGTGAGCAGCTCTCTCATGTATTGTAGTTAGTCTTATTCATCTCTTTGGATTCTCCCTCTGCTAGGCCTGCGCTGTCGGCCATCTTGAGGTTGCCCTTACACTATGGACCTGGTCTACATTACTTTGTAGGCGACATCCCAAAGGCCCAATCCCGACACGTACTGACCACCGCACGTAGCACAACCGTCGTTGCACAAATGCTCAATGCCCAGTAATCCTGGCTCTTCTTGTTAACACAGAACACTGTACACCCAGTTAGATGGTGTGCACGTAACAGGGGAAGGTCTGGGGGTGTTAACACTGTACTCAGTGTTAACATTTAACCGCGTAGTAATTGTTAACACTGTACTCAGTGTTAACAATTTTACGCGTATACCCGTATTATTGTTAACATCGTACTTACCATATGTTGTTAACAATAATACGGGTGTACGCGTACGATGTTAACACCACACGCGTACACCCGTATTATTGTTAACATCGTACTTACCATACAATGTTAACAATATACGGGTGTACGCGTACGATGTTAACACCACACGTGTATACCCGTATATTGTTAACATCGTACTTACCATATGTTGTTAACAATAATACGGGTGTACGCGTACAATGTTAACACCACACGCGTACACCCGTATTATTGTTAACATCGTACTTACCATACAATGTTAACAATATACGGGTGTACGCGTATATTGTTAACATTGTACGCGTACACCCGTATAGTGTTAACATCGTACTTACCATACAATGTTAACAATATACGGGTGTACGCGTATATTGTTAACATTGTACGCGTACACACGTATATTGTTAACAATGTGATGTTAACACCATACACGTACACCCGTATAGTGTTAACATCGTACTTACCATACAATGTTAACAATATACGGGTGTACGCGTACAATGTTAACACCACACGCGTACACCCGTATTATTGTTAACATCGTACTTACCATACAATGTTAACAATATACGTGTGTACGCGTACGATGTTAACAATGCGTTGTTAACACCATACGGGTGTACGCGTATTATTGTTAACAACACTCCTTCTACGCGCGCACTGTTAACATTTTACTAAGGTATGTTGACCACTTAAGCTATACTTTGATGTTCAATACAGGTTCATAATATGTATGCAAGCAATACAGTCTCAGTTTGCGAACAAAGGTGGTGGCTATACATGACATATTCTAAGTATCTCGTAGTACCATATTATGCCCGTGTAAATCTGGCAACCACAACGCAGCAAATTGACTTCTCATAACGGACAAAGTAGCATTTTGACGAGTGGCGTATGCTTCGATCCCTTCTTGAAGTTCGGCGTTGGCATCTGGTCGCTGTCCACAGCGAGTCTTCCACCATTCCGCTTTCCATGATAAGTATGCGGCCACTCTTCTCATCTCCTCAATCACGAGTAATACCTCCTCGCCCCAACGAGCGGTGCGTGCATGGGATTTTGCCCATTCAACCCGGAGAGCTACAAATCAAATTAGCAGAGTAAAAGCATGATTAATGTAACAGACCTTCGCCGATCTCTGAGTCGGATGCAGAGTTAGGGACTACGGCTTCAGGCGTTGACAGCGGTGTCTGCGAGGGTGACGACGAGCTTGGTGGTGCATGCGGGTCATGTTGCGGCATTGGGCGTACAGTACGCGCCCGCCATATCCATGAGATCTCACGGGTACCTTCCGCTTCATCCGGATTGTGTGTTGGCCATCGAATATCGTTATCTTCCAGTTTGCGAAGACGGGTGATCCAACTACCCTGTGGGTCTAGGCAGAGTAGTGCCTGATACGCAGCACGGTAGCGCTCGGCAGTGAGAGTAATCTTGGACTTGAAGCGAGTGATCTGTGAGCGTGCGCGGGTGTTTGGACCCTGACCAAATCCAACTTGCGTGTACTTGTAGTCGACAAGGCCTGCCGTGATTCGCAACAAGCGACGAAGCTCAAGCAGGCTATCGTCGGCCTGCGCAACACGGATGTGTGCTTCCCTGGTTTGCATAGGCGCGAGCACCGCTGATAGCGGCAATTGAGATGGAAGGAACAGATTGGCTGTCTCAGGAGTTAGGCCAGCTCGAGGCTCAAGGTCCGAGGCAATCGAAGGCATATGTTGTGCCTGCTCTACCCGCCAGAGTTCGATGCGACGACCAAGGTTATTGCGTCTCTCCTGGAGTTCGGCAGCTTGTAAGGTTGTCTTCTCCTTCTGGGACATAGATACAACTCGTCTATGAAAATTGGTAAGCAACATAGAGTGTATACGGTTAGAGAGAAACTTACTGGAGTTCTTCAATCTCCAACCCCTTATAAAGGAACTCGTTCGGGCTATTAGACTGAGTACGGGTGAGCTCAGTAACTTCTTCCCTTGCTAATTCAAGGCGGACTGCCGCCATTGATGAGTCTAAGTTGGCCATCAGAATGTGCCAGTGATTACGGTAAACAATGGAAGACGTACAGGTATCGATCTCCTCAAATGGATTGGGCTTCGTGCGATCACTCTCCCAATCAATGATCATCTGCTTCCAGGCGGTGATATCCTCTTCATTAAACTCAGCGGTGTACTCGTCATGCAGAGCGGTGTGTCGAGCACTCATTGAAATCGCCTTTTGAAAGCGACCGTGTAAGCTATTCCCTATTTCTAACGGTTAATAAAATTGTAAATTCAGTCAGAATTGACAGGCATACCAAGGTCGACAATCTTCCGCCAGTTCCAAGCAGCCGCATGATCATCGATGGTATCCATCCTTGAACCCGGGCCCATGATTTTGGTACTCATACTGACGGGGTTTATATGTGCCCACCAACGTTCAGGATCTTCGCCGTCTGTTTCAGCGGACCACGGAATGTAGCTGAGTGAGTAGGTTGTCTGGCATTTGCTCCCATGGCCATAAAGGTGGAACTTGGGGATAACATAGCTGACACGATCGAGGGCTTCATCGGAGAGACACATGCTTTCGGGGATATTCGCCATGCGATCACGAAAGTTTCTGGACCATTGGCAGCAAATATCGTAGGATAGTACTAGTCTGACGAATGGGTTATTCTTGAGGGTCGATAGAACGATAAAGTCGGTATTTGCATATCTAGGAGATCGTTAACCAAACGTGAGGGCATTTAAAGATATGCCATACCTCTTGCCCTTCTGCAAATTGCCTAGTCCATTGCGGCGAACAAGGCCATGCCTTGCACATACGACGCCTGCAACTCCCGTTGATATGTAGCCGTTCGAGCGTCGCTTGTTCGCATGGTCCACTGCGCGAAGTTCTGAATCACAAAGGTTTGGCTAACGTACGAGGTATAAGTTTAATTATCGTGAATGATAAAAGCAGATGCACCTCAGGGTCATTTGTGTTCATGTTAAGATGCGACTTGTATGGACCTTCGGGTACCCAGTGACCCCACCCATCGCCAAGTGCCTTATCGTTCTCAAGGTGCCTATCCTTATTTTTCAGGCGGAAATTCGCGTCGATAGTGAGGATTAGGCCATAGCGCCATCTGGCGTTCACTCAGCCAGAAGTCTGGACAGTAAGAACGGAGGACGTACCTTGTTGATTCTGGCTCAGTTTCCCAGTTAGCAGGGATATTTATCCCGGGATGTGGGCATGCTGGGCAATCGACGGCGTATCCACCATCCTTTGTAGATGACACAGGCTCTGGGTCCATTCCAAGGCCGGCTCGTTTTAACATTCGGAGGTGACGGAATTGGCGCACGCAGATAAGGAATTGGTCATAGCGTAGCTATTAATGAGAATTAGGAACGTTTGGCGGACAGAATAACCGTGAATGTACCTGTAGGCCCTTGATACCGGCATTATCTGTCTTTCGTTCAATCGATAGGTAAAAATCGTACGCCGAAACCTTTCCTTGCAGTGTTAGCAGCTGGAAGGTATTGAGGAGATTGAGGGTGAATGCTGTGCGTGGTGCGGTAGGTGAGGCAGGGTACCACCGGTACCGTAGCAGTTGAATATCCTCGCCAAGAAAACGACAGCGGCAGAATCGAACGGACACAATGTGAATGCCCGAGGTGTCGATGATATATAGACTCTTGCGTAGGATACCAGGAAGAGCGCACGTTTCTTCATGGCTATGTCCGAGCTGAATTACAAGGCCGAGAGCACGTAGCGATGTCCGGACAAAATGTTTGTTCTCCCACACCTATGTTCCTACGAGTTAGCAGCGCCTGAGGTACAGAGTGGAACAAGGTTCACCTCAATGCGATGGAGAGGAGAGCGGCAATGTTGGTGTAAGATACATGTCAGGCAGTATAGATTCGTGTCAAGGCAGTCGATACAACGGTATTTCCCTTCGTTCTCATCATTGTGGCAGACATGGCTCAGGTTGCTGTCCCCATTTGCAGAGCCTCGCCCCTCGAGTCGGTAAAACTCTTCAAGATACGTTTGGCGCTGTTGTGCTGCCCATGATTGCTGTCGATGGAGCGCGGGAAGCTTTTCAAGACGGGTGAGAGGGTGAAAAGGGATTCGGAGGACCAGGAGAGACACACCTCTTCGTCGACAGTATTGATCTGTGTATCGAGGTCATTATCGTCGGCGCGGTGGGAGCCATCGTTGGTGTGGTGGGAGTTGCTGTTGGGGTGGTGGAGGTTGATGCCCACGTCAGCTTCCGCATTAGCGCTTGCTGATTCAGCGCCAGCGCTTAAGTTCATCTGCGTATCTGGCCTACTAGCCAAACTTACTTCCTTGTTGGGAAGAGCTCGTTCACCGTAAGTCGTAGTCGTAGATGCCATGAGTCTCCCATTAGCGGATCTTTGGACAGACCGTGATATACGTGCCGCAACCTGGTGCTCCTGGGGTGCCGCGATCAATACATCCTGGGTAATGTTGATTGTGCCAGACGTCACCGGTTGGATTTGCGATCCTCTGGATAGAGAGAAAGTGGTCATGTGTCTCTTGCGCTTTCGCGTGCCGTGAGATGAAGACATTGCATAGGCTTAGATAGATGGACATTAAACCCTCAATTATATATCTATTTTCTCTGCCGAGTGATCAACGAGTGCCTCATTGAATCCATGAGGCTTTGATGTTGCCTATCTCATGGTCGTTCGCCTCCTGCTGTCGTTCCATCACTTACGCATATTGTACGATCTAAATGCAAGTCTTTGAATACTTCCCTCGTAGGCTAATTGACAGTCCTCAATCAATAATACACGCCCGAGTCTTCATGATAGCCTCAAAGCTCACAACAACAACCAACCTACCTCACAAGCGCTATCACTTCATACTACAACTCTCGCATCGCATATTGCTTTCGTCGTCATTTAAATCATGCTCATTACCATTACTCCTGCTTAACTCACTGATGCTTCTTTGAACATTCGCTATAGCCACAGAATAACTGATCATGATTTACAGACTGATCATGATTTACAAAATGTAACGGTAAGTGTTAGATTTTCGTTCGTAATCGTTGTAGTACGCTAATGCCTGCCTCCAAGTTACCGCCTTTTTCTGAAATCCGTTGACAGGGCCTGTGAGAGCTTGAATATATGGCCTGCTCAAGATTATTCGTCAGTTCCAGTTCCAACTTGAGGTATGGACGAAAAACTTACCAGGAGTCGCAGAACACACCAATTTCATATCCTTTACAAACGGCCCACCATTCCTTGCCATGGATGCCACGGGAACTATTCGTGGACAGAGGATACTTGAGACGGAATTCCATGGGCACTGCGAAGAGTTGGGGAAAGCGATCGCCATCTACTCCGTCAAGGGCGGGCAGTCGGTGGAATGGAACGTGGAGATTGCTGGGATGGCTTGGGTTGTGGGTGGGCGTCGTGTCATGTTCTTGATCGGGCACTTCTCGACCCATGGTCTGGCAATCGTGGTGCTCCCGACCCGTGCTCCGAACACTGCGATCCATACACCCCTTGCTGTCAAGGCGCGCCCGTGCAGCTAATTCAGCCCAGGTAGGTAGTTCGTCTTCTTCCCTGAAATCTGGCACGTAAACCTTCCTACCAAATTGGGGTGCTCGGGACGGGTTGCGAGGAGACGAGACGGCGTCTTGGCGAGTCGCGTGCTGCTCATGAGTAACAGGATGTTGTCCAGAGTTTTCCTTCCGACGTTCGGCTGTCTTGACGGGTTTTCCAGGGTCCAAGCGTACACTATGACTAGTATAGTATGCTGCCGCTCGGCTAGGGCTCGCCGGCTGGGGAGAAAATGGGCGCAGGTTCCTCATCGATTCGTCGAGAGCTTCTTCGTTGTGACAACGTGAATGTTCGATAGGGTATGTATCACAGTTGTAATCACAATCAGGGTCATTGTTGTCGTCGACGCTGGTGTTGGTGTTGCGTATGATCATAACTGAGCCTTTATTCTTTGTGCCGTCAATCGTAACACGAAGGGAGTGGCCGTGAGCATTGGGAGGGATGTCGATCTCGAAGGTATGCTTCTCACTCCCAATAGAGAAGTGGTACACATTGGCCGATGCCATTTGACACGGGCGGTGGCGGAGATCTAAGTGAGGTGATCAATAAGCGATAAGCGGGAAAAAAAGGAAGAAATCACTGACGGCGTAAAAAGGATCCCAGATGATTGAGACGACGGTGTGTCATTGTCATTTATACTGTTTGCTGGGTGTGAACACGTGGTGAGTATATTCTACGCGAGCTTGAACCGAGAGTTGCGACGAAACGTGAACACTAAAGGGTCGTATATAAGTTAGTTGGTGTTCACGAGTAGCCAGCAGTACCCACTACTGGTTGATTGACCCTCTTGTGAACCCTCGCAGTCTCGTATAAGAAATGGCACGTCTCGCATCCGGACAGGCAAAAGCTGCACGAGGTGGTAGGCCATGGACCTCAGACGCGCAGCGCGTCTGGCTCATGGACAGAATGGAGAGCTATATGGAGGCACGACAATCGAAACAACGTGGCTCCATTGCTGGTTTCCGTCGCAAGGTGCTAGATGACTTCATCCAGGAATTCTGGAAAAATAAGAAAATGTCAGTAGAAGAGCGGGGAGAAGCTTTAGGAATGCTTGACCGGGTAAGTGCGTTAACTTGATGAATACGTATTACTGTTCTGACCAAATCGTTAGCGTATTCGGGAGTGGTTTGTCAATCATAGCCGAAAGGCAGGGCCGATCAGAGGATCCAAGGTTCTGGACCTTAGGGGCACCAAGAAGAAGCGCCTAGCCGCATGGCAGGCGTATTCACGCCTCTACTACGACACTGTCCTGAAGCCACTTGTCGAGGAGCAATGGCGTGAAGACCCAGCATATGACCCCACTATCCGTGAAGTCCCCTTCGAATTCTGCAATAGGGCCGTTTGCAACTTATGGCGCATTGAGCAGGACGAACGAGTGAAGGAGGAAGTTGCAGCTTACATCAAAGAAGAATATCAACGTGGCGGCGACATGGAGGAGGAAGACGACCTAGACGGTGACGACGATGGCGATGTTGATCCCGCGGAGCTGAGCAGGCGGCAGGCAAATCGAAAACTACAGACGTACGTACCAAGTATGACCACCTTGCACATTGCGCTAACGCAATATGTAGTCAAATCGAGGCGTTGCCATTGACTTTGCAAAAGATGTGCGAGCAGATCTATAGGGAACTAGGCTTCGTCGGTGTCGTTTGTTTCGCTGGTCCGGAGCCGAAGTCAGGTGGGAGTATTGTTGCCACTTTGTCTGTACCTCCCCTCGCTGTAAGGGGACACTCCTATTTTCTCCTTTTCCCCCTGTCCCGTCCCCTTCCTCCTTGTTCCTTTCCCTTTCCTTTCATTCCCTTTCCTTTCCCTTCGCCCCCTTACCTTCCCGCTTCCCTTCCGTTCACTCCCTTCGCATCCGAGCCCCGTCCGGTGACTCCGAAGTCTTCCCGCGCTTCGGACCCGCCTCGGACTCGCTCGGACGCTTCGGATACGCTCGGACTCGTAGATACACTTCGGGGCTCGTCCGGGCTACCTCCATCTTCCTTTCCCACTTCGTTATTCCTTGTCCCCACTCCCCCAGGTCGCTGGCACGGCTCCTGTACATTCCCCTTCCACTTCATTATCACATGCCCCCTCGTACCTTGTGATATTCGTTCGTACCTGTGGCTGGTGTACTGTACAGTTACCCTTCATTCCTCCCACGCTACTACAGTATATACTTCGCTTCCTAGCATGGAGAATCCCCATCCTGTTCTCTTTGGATTCTCCCTCTGCTAGGTGAGCAGCTCTCTCATGTATTGTAGTTAGTCTTATTCATTTCTTTGGATTCTCCCTCTGCTAGGCCTGCGCTGTCGGCCATCTTGAGGTTGCCCTTACACTCGCCCTCTATCTCCAGCGCTGACTTTTCAAATCAATAGTGGTACCGATGGCCGAACGGAAGCAGGGCGAGCACTTACAGATGTGTACCCTGAGCTCAAGGCGCAGCTTGAGGGGTTGGTGTACGACTTTGCTAGCCAAGTCACTCGTGAGTAGTCCTGTCTCCTTGCAACGTCTAAGGATAGTGACACGATTCTAGCCGTTGAACGAAGAGTTGCGTGTTCATTGCCAGGGACGGAGAGCAAGCGTGACTATTCTCCCCCTGCGACTTCATCGGCGTCCGCTTCTACCACCACGGCTACTACATCGAAGCCCGCACCATCACGTTTGCAGTCCCCAGATCTCGCAAAGCACCAGGCAGCACTAAGAAGGTTACTAGAAAAATCAAAATACCGATTCGACAGTAAAGCCAATGATGCCATGTACCTGGACGACGATGACTCGGGGACTGTTGGTCAAGACACGGACATGGAGAACGGAGAAGGTGGAGGAAGTGACGGCGGAGCCAAACCCAACGACGGAGGCGACACACCTGGGAACCAAGATGGAGAGGATGATGCCGACATGCTTGGTGGCAAGGATGATGAAGAAAACAACAATGATACCGACGCTCCAGAGGACAACAATGGAGATGGTAACGACAGGGAAGGCAGCATTCCTGAGGTCCACGATGATGTTCAAGGAGGTGAAAAGGTGCTCAAAGACGATGAAGTGAGGGAGTTGGAGGCGAAGAACGACGAATTGAAGAGGGTCATCGCATTGGAGCCGCTGCCTGGCTGGCTTCGAAAGGCTGTGAGCTACCTCCGCGCCTACAAAGGGCATGCTGGTTATTTGGGTGCGATTGCGGAGCTCGTCAACTTTGAGCGCCACGTCAAGAGGAACCCTGGGAAGGTGAGCAACTAAAATAATGAACAGTCAGCTGTTAAAACTCACGAAGCGTACAGCCACTCCCAGCTACCAGTCGTCCTTCAATTCTCAGCATGTACATCTGCGGCGGGCGAGACCCAGAAAAGCATACGAAACTCACGGTGGATGAACTCGACCAGCTGCGCAATGAACTCTTTTCGTGGTGGTTTGTGTTGCAACCGAAGAGCCGTATCCCTCCGAATTTCGACGAATCTCTGCAAGACTGCTCACTTCTTCTTCGCATCAGCACTACTAGCCACCAAGACTGGCCTGACTTGTATCGTGGATCAACGAACGGTGTTTACGGGGTTTTCATTTGTCTAGGGTGGTGGTTGGAAGCAGATTGCACGCCAGGCACGAAATACGACAACCTCATTGATGACATTTGTTGGGTCTTGAAGACTATGGTTACTGTACCTGCACCTGGTCTCGGCGAGAAGCCTCCCTCGCGACGTCGATAACGGACTTCGAATAGAAACTAGAGACATTTGACTGTATTAACTTACCTTAAACATTTTAATACAATTCCCTATGGTTTACCTTAGTAAAATGTTAACAGTGCGCGCGTAGAAGGAGTGTTGTTAACAATAATACGCGTACACCCGTATGGTGTTAACAACGCATTGTTAACATCGTACGCGTACACCCGTATGGTGTTAACATCGTACGCGTACACACGTATATTGTTAACATTGTATGGTAAGTACGATGTTAACAATAATACGGGTGTACGCGTGTGGTGTTAACATCGTACGCGTACACCCGTATTATTGTTAACAACATATGGTAAGTACGATGTTAACAATATACGGGTATACGCGTGTGGTGTTAACATCGTACGCGTACACCCGTATATTGTTAACATTGTATGGTAAGTACGATGTTAACAATAATACGGGTGTACGCGTGTGGTGTTAACATCGTACGCGTACACCCGTATATTGTTAACATTGTATGGTAAGTACGATGTTAACAATAATACGGGTATACGCGTAAAATTGTTAACACTGAGTACAGTGTTAACAATTACTACGCGGTTAAATGTTAACACTGAGTACAGTGTTAACACCCCCAGACCTTCCCCTGTTACGTGCACACCATCTAACTGGGTGTACAGTGTTCTGTGTTAACAAGAAGAGCCAGGATTACTGCAATGCCGGCGGGATATCCCTCGCAAGTCATTGATGCGCTGCGGTGCGTGCTACTTGGTAACTTATTGTGTACGTCCTTTCTATTGCCGCAGGGTATCAACACACTGATGAACCACTAGACTGTTGACTGCCAACAAGCCGATTGGAAAATGCACAAGCAGGTCTGCCAGCTCGTCTCCGCTGAACCACATGCTCGTGCAATGGTACGATTCAATTACCGATACGGACACTACATCCACGCCCTCGCTCTCTTCATGTTTGGGTATTGCGACCTCGTGGCGGGCCCTCGACACGATGAAATCTGGAAGAAGAGGGTCAATACCCACGCCGTTGTGCTCCACGTACGCCAACACGGTTATACGGACTCTCATCACCCATACCACGACTACCACTACTCCTCCTGCTATCTCTTCCCCATCAAACTACTCAATATCATTGAAGAGGGATGCAGAGCGCGCGCTGAAGCCCTTCTCCAAATCCGTCAGGAGGAGAAGACCTGTATTGTGGTCATTATGTTTGAGGACAAGGTCGGCTTCAGCCTCGGCGCTCGTGCCTTCCTGCACAAAGTCGACGAGTTTGAGATCAATCAATACGCCCGCGCCTCTACTTACAACGCTCCTCACTCGTTCCGTCGAATTTTACTCCACAAGGCTCGGAAAGCCACACCCGTTTCTGTCGTAGAATCACATATCTAGATAGAGTCGTTGTTTATTTTTTGAGCTCTAAATACATCTTTCATGGCAGTCAATAGTGAGACGGCCTTCTTTTTCTTAGTCGTAAGTTTGCCGAAGGCTGCCCTAAAGAATGGGTCACATGGTCTCACATGGTTTTGTTGGTGGGCACTGGCGCGACTCCACTGGTGCTAGCCATGTCCAAGGCAAAACGACGACGTATTACTTCGGTGTTTTCGTTATTCGTCGAGGACGCTCCTCCTGCAGATATCGCGTACCGACATGTCTCATATCAGAGCCACGGGAGCTCGCTTCGCCGGTCCACAGGCTCTGTCCTGCTCCCCCCACTTCTGGATAGCCAATCTCCAGCATGGGAACCCGCTTGGAACGACGAATACACCACCTCTGAGCAAAACTCACTATTCCCCCCTGATTCCTCAAGTACCCTCCCTGATCCCGGTAACTTTGGAGACCTCGATATAGCGTACATCAATGAGCTTTCAGAGCTTGACATAGAGCTGGTCAAAAAGCGAAATCGGACAGCGGCAGTAAGTGTTTGATTTGCGTGGTAACTTTAGGGTACATGCTTATCCAGTAGGACGAACCCCTGGCCAGTTGGCTACCGTTTAGACAGCAATATCTACTGCAACTACTTAGGAAGGCCGGTCGTGGTCGGGCGGCTAGTGCCATTGTCTGCCCCGGTTGTTCAGCCCCCTCCACCGATACTACCTTCCGTTGTCTCAACTGCCTCGATGAGGCACTCTACTGTGAGCAATGCATCGTTATTAATCACCGACGGACTCCTTTCCATCGCATAGAGGTACGCGAAGTGTCTCTAGTTCTTAACCCACAAATTCACAATATCCCTTGAAGCGTTGGACTGAAGAATCGTACTTCGTTCCTCACAGCCTCAAGGCGCTGGGCCTACGGATCCAACTCGGCCACGACCTGGGCAAGATATGCCTGAACCCCACTTGAGCCAAAGCCGATACTTTCGTGGTCATTGACGTCCAAGGCATACATGAAGTCGGTCTCGATTTCTGTGGCTGCCAAACAGCTCAGCCGCTTACCATCCAACTTCTACAACGAGGACTTTTCCCCTCTACTGTCTCGACTCCTCAAACGGCGGCCTCATTCCAGGTCCTCGACCTTTTCCAAATGCTCTCGGTTGAAGGGCAGGTTTCCGCGTTCGAATTCTACAAGACACTGGCTCGATTAACCGATAAAACCGAAATTGATGCACCCCGAGTTCGTCCATTTGACAGTGCTACCCATGGATAAAACTGATCGTCTTCTATAGGATCGATATACGCAATTCCTCCGCATGAGTCGCGAATGGCGGCACCTTCACCAACTCAAGCGCGCAGCACGAGGCCATGACCCAGAAGGGGCCGATGGAACCCAACCAGGAGAGCTGGCCGTCCTATGCCCAGCATGTCCGCAGCCTGGCAAGAACTTACCTGTGGCAACGGAACACGATAAGTGAGTACTGGGAGTACGTATGCCGCAACACATCTGATCTATTTTTGTTAGCTGGTTGCATACGCTGTTCATTGGCATCGATGCCAATTTCCGTCTGAAACGGAAGAACGTCTCCAGCGACGTCCTGGATCCTGGCCTCAGTCAGGGATGGAGCTACTTTGTGGAGGACAAGACATATCAAGCCCACGTCACCAGCGATGAAACACCGGTGGAGAAAAGTTCCTGTGTGTCACACAAGGCCGTCAACGACGCAGACAAATGCCCTGCGAAGGGCCTGGCCGTCAATGGGGTGGGGACGGTCGAGTGCACGCGACATGATTTCAAACGCCCTCTGTCAGTCGGCGATCTCCGATATGGTGAAAGGTCAGTGGCAGTTGTTATAGGTTTCTTCATAAACTAAACACCTTCGCTAGATATGTAAATATGGACTATATTTTTTTCTCAAGCGTGAATTCCGTCGCATCCAAAGTTCCCCGGATTGTAGCCTCGTACGACATTGCATGCCAATGGCACATCCATCTGTGGCGTCGCATGGAATCTCTTCCACCTCATCTTCAGTATGCCGCCCCTCACGACTCTGTGACAACGTTGGTGCCCAAGTTCCATCTCCCAGCTCACATCGCCATGTGTCAAGCACGGTTCTCTTTTAACTACACCCTGGGCGTCGGGCGAACCGACGGTGAAGCGCCAGAACGTGGCTGGGACTACCTGAACCCAGCAGCCAATCAAACGAAGGAAATGGGTCCAGGCTTGCGTCGTGAGCTTCTGGATGATCTAATGGGGGACAGAAACTGGAAGAAGACTGTCGCGCTAGGTACGTTCGCCAGTTTCTTTCTACAAGGATACACATGGCTAATGAAACATTTGTAGGCAATACTTTACTTCGGCGGTTGAAGGAGGCTATCCCCCAATGTAGTACGCATGTTGAGAATCACCACGAACTGGAAGCGCACCTGGAACCAGCGACAATTCTCGAATGGCGCTCGCTAGTCGAATCATGGGAAGCCGATAATTCAAAACCCAACCCCTACATGGCAGAAACAACAAGTAAGTAGTTATTACATTAGCTTTTGCTTTCACGCTAACATCCCCTAGCACTATCGCAAGATGCCGTTCGCCTTCAGCTCGCCAACGAAGAAGCGGAAGCCCTCGCAGCTGGCATGCTAGAGCAGCTTCATCTCGAGGTGACGCCCCTCATGTATATTGCCTCGGGATTGGACCTTGAGCTGCAACAGTAAGTAGTGGCATATCCGCTATTTACTCTACTCAAATCTGCGTCAGACACCAGCTCCTCGAAGCTGTGGCATCACTCGGCCAACACGCCACCGACCGACAACGTCTCGCAGTCGTCAATCGTGCAAATACTCTGCGTATGAAAATTTCGAACTTCCATGATGTCCAGAAGCTATACTGTCCGAGTGCGTTTTGCATTGTCGCGCAGGCAAACGATGCCAACGAAACATCATCTAATCCCACCGAGGACGTCGCTCGACTTCGGCTCTGTCTCCCATCTACCTTCAGGACACCACTTGGATGCAGTGAGGAACTGCGCACGATCGAATGGCAATTACGATACACGCAGGCCCTGGACGCTCTTAATGCTCTACGGGCGGGTCTTCATCTACGGGTCTCTGTCTTCCACTACAAAGATCGCTTCGATCGTGGCCAACGCGCTCTCACTCGATCAATGGGCAACATCTCACGCGTCCAAGGCCAAATTGATAGAGCATCCCATCGCTACCGCGTTGCTCATGCGGCTCTCTCAGTACTGGCCCGATTTCTTGGCAAGGACGGCAGCTGGCGCGCTGAGCTCCAGGAGCTGAAGACTGAGGATATTCGCGGACTCGGCGTGGCGGATATTGACAATCTCGGCGAAGGTTACCGCACGATCTCGTGGATTTGGAGAACAGCAGGAACGGCGGGTAACGAAGAGCGCAACGACGGACTCCACAGCTCCTTGTGCCTCGAGTGGTGCAAGAGCCGTGCTCGAGCCTTGAGATGGAGTGAGGAGGTGTTGCTGCTGCAGGAGGAAATGCGGCGTGTATTGGCTTTCTTGCGCTGGCAAGCGGAGTGGTGGAAGGGCCAGATTTGTGACGACGAAAGCATCCCTGGTCCTGAGGTCCTGAGGGAGGGATTGAATGCCTATGCGCGACAGCAAGCCAACGTTAGGACTCGTTTAGCAGGGAGCTTTGAAGCGAGGTGGGCCTGCGTGCCTCAATTTCTCGAACTATACAACCCTCTCCACCCCCCTGAGGGGCCGCCAACCTAGATATATACATGTATTTTTGCTTAGTCTGATTGGAATCCATTCATTTTGTGGCCATAGTATTTAAATATGAGTAAATATGAATAATTCTCCCTTTTAGGCAACCTGTGAGTTTGGGGTGGGCGCTGGGCAGCGGAATTGGAACTCTCCAATAAGGGTCTCTTGCCTTATGCAGTAGGTGAACCCAGTGGCAACTTGGTACATTGGTGTACTAATGGTTGTGTGGTACCATGACTAGTGGTATACCACTGGCACAATATCTAGTGAACGAACACAATGGGATCATTGCTATGGTGGTGGTTGTGGTGCTGGCCAGGTTGTTTGTTGCCGGCTTCCGCCTCCACACTCAGTTCGTATATTTTTGTTTTTGTGGTGTATGTTGGTGACGTAAATACATACTTCGGTTTCCAGGCAAGCTGTTCAAAGAGAGCTCGAGAGATGCGCCGTGGAGCTCCAGAATGTCAGGAGCGGAACGCCTCAATTTGCTCCGGCACGTTCTCAAGATTCCTCTCCGGCTCCCACGAGTCGTGCTCCGTCGTGTAGCCCTTCCACCTAATTAAATATTCGAGGCGCCCGCGCCTCATTCGACTGTCCAACACCTCTTTGACCTCGAATTCCTCTTCTCCTCGTACTCGCACCGGTGGTGGTGGTAGGACTCGTTGCCCTGGGATAGTGGGCTGGTTCGCCTTCTCAGTACAATGAGTGGAAATGGTGGGGTGGATAGATAAATTTTTTGGGAGTTTTAATGTTATCGCGTTTTTTGTTGGCACCGCAATCACCTCATACGGTCCGATTTTCTTTTGCTCTAGTTTGCGCGACGGCCTGGTTGTGTTTAAGTTATCCGTAAAGATGAACGCCTTGTCCCCGACTCGGTATTCCGGCGTGTCTCCTACTCATCGGTCCGCATATTTTTTCATCTCCTCTCCTGCTTTTGCTAATGCGGATCGCGCCTCTTCCCACGTCTGCTTCATTTGTTTTGCGAATTCGTCCACCGCCTCCATCTTGGACTCTTTCCGCGGCTCGACGCCCATCCGGGGGTGTTTTCCGTAATTAAGGTAAAACGGGCTCTGCCTGGAGCTCGTCTGGGTTTTGTTGTTTAATGAGAACTCGCAGATGGCCAGCCATTCTGCCCAGTCGTCCTGCCTGTGGTTGATGAACATTCGGAGGTAGGTTTTGATTTCTCGATTCACTCGCTCCGTCTGTCCATCCGTCTGCGGGTGGAAGGCCGTGGACAGCCTCGTTTGAATTCCCAATAAATTATTTAGTTCTCTCATCA